GAGAGGAGGAGGAGGAGAGGGAGAGAAGGCAGGAGATGAACATCAAATACCAGCCAAGCCGAGCTGTGAGCTGTGAACTGTGAATGGATGAATGAATGTATGTATGTAGATATGTAGATATGATTGATACAGATGTCTGCCTAGCACCCCCACATGCCTACCTTGGTACTTGGGTTCTCACATAGGTATTCAGAGGTACAGAGGTACAGAGGTACAGGGATACAAATACTTGTTATGATTATGATCATGATACGTTGCTATGTTGCTATATTGATATGTTAGATACATCAAATACCCAAGTACCAACGCACCCAAGTACCAAAGTACCTATATAACTCGAGAACGAAAAACCTAATTGCCATATACGGGTTGATCCTAGAGGGTGATCGAAGGCCGCTTTACGCCAAAGCTTTAACTGAGCCTTTTGGCTGAGCAATCACCGAGTGTTCAGGGAGGAGCACTCTTTGAGCAAAACCCACAGGGAGGCTAATCTGGGCCCCTTGCGAATCGGTTGGTTTATACCTGCCTCTCTGCTAGGCATTCGTTTTTCAGATGGGCGTCAGGAAATCTGATAAGATTCGCTGCCCTTCCGCTTGCTGCCTAAATTTTCCTTGTGATCTTGTGTGGCGCTGTCCCCTAGCAGGTACAGATATTCCTTGATACATATATACACCCAAAACCTCCGGGTACAAGCATGTCGCTTTAGCAAGACCGGGATCGGCGTTTTGTTGTTATCGACAGCGCGGCAGCCTCGATCATCATTGGCTTCTTTTGCCATTTGGAGACTTTTTTCTTCTTCAAAACCGAACACTGAAAACCCCAAGTTCGTCAAATGTCGGCCGAACAGCTTCGACACCTCGGTGCAGTAAGAGATTGCAACAGAGTGGGATTTGATGATAGGGGATTCCCCGAGAGCAGGACGAGATCAAGGCCAAACTCAGCCTTGACATTTCATATCTTGACAATGTGTGTGCTGGAAATCCATTCTCCGCCGACTTGCTGCTGCTGCTGCTGCCATCTCCCAAACATCAAGTACTGATCTACTCTGCCATGATGAGCATCGGGCATCTCAATGAGTTTGTTCCAGGTTATTCTGTGGCCTTCGGGGGGAAACTCGGTCTTGTGAGCTTGTAAGTGGAACACGCCTCCTTCACTACCGGCTTCTTCAATCCCGATACAACGTTTCGCGACTTTGGCCATGGGCTCGGCTTTGAACGTGTTTTCGATCAAAGGTCCGCTTTCGAGTAAAGAGACGGCTTGTCGGCGCACGACCGGATCGCGACATTTGCACGCAATGAAGAATAGAGAAGGGAGGAATCGAGTCTCGAATACAAATACCGGACGGCCGCCTCCACTGTTGCGCGTTGCGGCGGCGTGACGTGCATGCTCGATCATGGCTTGGAACGGGGTTATAAAATGGTCAAAGACAGTCTCGTCCATACTTAAAGACGTAGCAACCCATATATAGTAATGGCTGAACCCAACATTCAAGAGGGCAAACCGCTCAATATCGTCTGGTCGAGACACGGTGTCTGGATTGCTGCCGACAAAATGTCGAAGAGCGGAAAGCCACTTCGATAAGTTTGCCTCGATAGAACTTTGCCATGACATCAGGTCAGGAGATGGTTTCCAGCCTTTCTTCGATACACTAATTTTGATTTCACCCACATGGACGATAAATTCATGAGCCTCGCTCATCAAAACGTAAAGCTCATCCCTCGCATCCTGTAATGTGGAAAACTGATAGTGCCGTTCCGGGCCATCAACAGCAACAACAGGACCACCACCGGCACCGGCGCCGGCGCCGGCGGCAGTAGCAGCACTTCTTTTCACTGGCAAGCCCTGCGAGATGGCCATATGGCGCAGCAGTGCTCGAACCGTTTCTTCGAGCGTTACTTCACGTCGAGTTGTGGAAGAGTGTCCACGTTGATGATGGTCTGACACCGGTCCGATCATCGCCACCGCCCGCCGATAAAGTGCAGCGGCCTCGACATGGTCGTCTTGCACGCATTCGATGCAAATGTATAATATGCAACTGACGAAGGTGATGGTGGTGGTTGTTGACAACACATTTTCGTTTGAGATTCGTTCTTGCAACTTGGCGATAGATTGGTTGTACCATCTCAGGGCTCTTCGATGCTCGTCGGTCACTGCAGGTTGTAGGATCTTCCTTCCAGGGAGCGTCCAGGTCGGCGAAAACTGCGGGTGGCGAATGAGACAGGCGAGAGAATTCACAGCGTACCAGATGACGGGGTCCGAACGACTGAGCTGGGGAATAATTTGGTGCCAGAAGGCTTCGTCAACCATGCGGGTACAGCTGGGCACCACTTTCTCCATGAAGAACTCGAAAGATCGCAGCTCCTCGGGCTCGGCGTGGTTATGAGCTGTAGTGGAAACGAGGCGGCGCAGATTGCCGAAGCTCGTTGCCCCCGCAGCCGCCCGAGATGCATGTGAACCGACATTTTGGCCGTAGCCATCACACTTTCTGCCAGTGCCCAAGCACCTTCTGCAAGCTGGCCGCACTTCGTCGCACTTTACCTTTCTGATTTTGCAGGTAACACAACCGTTGTTGGACTTTGTGCTTCCAAGGCGACCTCTCCTGGGTCGTGACGAGAGAGGATTCATCGCCCCCAATGTGGATTATCTCAATGCCCTCGTCTGCATGCATGGAATCGCAGCAATACATGGTCAGTTCGCGACGAGTCTAGATGGATTGGTAGTTCAGCGTACAGACAATTGAGGGAACACCTCTGACGAGGCTGAGGCCAAGCCTTGGCACCGAGAGGAAAAAAGATCTTCCGAAGCGACGACGTGAACGACCGAGAACTCTCCCTGCGGCTTACCGACTACCCAGCGTTGAGTTGTAGACGGAGATATCGGCCTCGAGAATAATGGTCCGGCAAATCCGAGTGGAAGGTTCCCCAATACCTATACACAGAGTCCATCGTAACTGGCAGGCTCTTGGATTTACGGTGATTAAAAAGAGGAGACGGACGATAGGTTTTTCGCCCGAGACCACCTAAGTACCTATGTCCCATGGTACCTGGTACCTACGGTACTTGAGTACATACCCACAAAATATGGGAATGACTTACGACGGGCAAGAACCTGGAGAACGATACAAGACCAGACGAGACGACACGAGAGGTCTGTCGCCTGCCACATGCGCGATACGATTCCGCTCATCTCCTGCTCTATTATACCCCAAGCAAGCGAGTGAATTTTGTAGTAATCTTTTAGATGGTGCTAGTCTTCTATGGAGCCTTACAGTAGGTAATGCCATGACTCCTATCCACCTGCACCTCTACAGCACATGCTAGGTGCCCATGCAGCCATGGTACATAGATACACTTATACACACATATAAGAGAGAAGCGCGCTCCGTGCCTGACCTGTGTATGCTCTAAAAAAAGTTTTTGGGTTCTTCACAACCTGGCCTTGCGCGGCCTCTCAGCGTCCTCCTTGTACAGTTCATCCAAGAGGGTGCGAAACCTCCTGACCGCGACGGGCCTCTTCAGCTTCAGGGTCGGCGTCAACAGCTCGTTCTCAATGCTAAAGGGTTCGAGCAGGAGCTTGAAGCTCTTGACGCGCTCGTAACCCGCAAATTTCTTCTTGCGGCCACACTTCTCCAAATCCTGGAGCACGGCCTCTTTGACCTTGGGGTCCTCGCATGCGCGGAGGAGTGCAGGGACGTCGGTAGGCGAGATGTCGCGAGACAGAATTTTGGACGCGAACGGGGCAAATACGTCCGGCTGGATGCCGAAGATGGCGACAAGTGAGGTCTGTGACGAGTCGCCGTGCACGAATGCTTGCGCCAAGTACGTGCATGAAGACAAGTACACGCCTTCAATGCGTTCCGGTGAAATGTATTCTCCTTGCGCGAGTTTTAGGACGTTCTTGCGACGATCGATGATTTGGAATCTGCCCCTCTCGTCCACACTGGCAATATCGCCGGTCCTGAACCAGCCATCCTCCGTAAAGGCCTTGGCGGTTTCTTCCGGGTTCTTATAGTATCCCGTGAATACAGACGCACCTCGGAGCAAGAGCTCACCACGAGGATATGGTTTGTCTTCGACACTGTACTCCATATCGGGCACCGAGAGCAGACACGCTTCCACACAGGGGACAACACCACCACAGTTACCAACGGTAAAGTCGTCGGCTGGCTGGGTCAGCGCGATCGCGTACGTTTCCGTCAACCCATAGCCCTGATAGACCCTAGACGACAGAACGACGCGGAGAAATTGTTGCAACGAGGGATCAAGGGGTGCTGAGCCCGACACAATCGCCGTTGCGCGGTCAAGACCCAAGGCGGAGGAGACCTTGCGACCCCAGATCCGGTCGTAGATCACGTGCCGGTAGGTTGGGCTTGGCGCAGCGGATCCTGGGGATTTCGACGCCGGATTCGAGTTGGCCAGTTTCGTACGGACAATGTGGCGGCTCAGTGCCCCCTTGACGCCTGGCTGCTCGACTGTGTTGGCCTTGATCGCTCCACCAAAGCGATTCAACAATCTAGGGACTGAAGCAAAGTTGGTAGGACGGAGGAGTTTGATGTCGTCCACGAGTTCGAGGATGTTGCCATGGAAGTAGCCGATCCGACTACCACTCCAGATCGCAGTGTGTTCCAACAAGCGGCCGTAGATGTGGGCAAGTGGTAGGTAACTCAAGACCACGCCATTCTCCTTGACTGAAATAGAGATGAGCGAGGAGGACGTGGCTGCCACGCACATTGCGTGGGTGAGAAGGACACCTTTGGGTGCTCCCGTGGTCCCAGAGGTATAGTTGATGGTGATGGGATCTGAAGGTTTGGGAGGGTTGTTGGGTTTCCCTAGAGTTGCTCCAAGTTTTTCCACGGCTGCAAGAGAGTAGATTTTGAGCCCCACGTCTGCAGCCATGGAGTCGAGCAGCTGCTGCTTAGACAGTTCCGGCTTCTCGTTCAGGGTCGGTTCAAGAGGGTCTAGGACGACAAGGAATTTGAGGTGAGGGAGGCGCTGCTTCAACCTGATGAGGGTGGGGACGTGTGGCAGAGAGCAAACGACCGACGCCAGTTCGGCGTGTTGGATGATGTATTCAGACGCATCAGGACCGAGCGTGTCGTAGAGAGAGACCGAATACAGCGACTGGGACATGCAAGCCAGGTCCGTGAGTTGCCATTCAGGTCGGTTCTGGCACCATAGTCCAACGCCATAGTTCGCGCCCTGGATCCCTTCTCTTGCATGCAGCTCGACGAGTCCTGCGCCGAAATCCGACCTCCTCTTGCGGACTGTCTCATAATCTAGCCATTCGTAGGGACCGTAAGCTTGCTTGGAGGAATCGTAGGGTCGGTAGCCTAGACACGGAGCGTGAGGCCATCTCTGTGCGGCGTATTCGAACATTTCATGGGCCGTAGTGACAGAGGGATCGAGGGTCTCGAGGACGCCATCGCGACATTTCCGATGGCGGTAGACGAGAGTGCGGTCAGGTTTCTCCGAACCAGACACGGTGATGGAATACGGCTGCCCCTTGGGAGGTGGTTGGTAGTATTCGTCGGCTTTTTGCGCATAGAGCGCCTTGGATGAGAGAAGGGGCATGATAAGGGCGGCCGACGAAAGCAAGGACGAGGACGAGGACGTGCGAAAGAGACCAAAAAGGAAGAGAAGAAACGGTCAATCAATTACGGGGTCTCCAGGAAAGCGGAAATGGAAGAAAAGGAAAACTGGATCGATGGAGTCAAGGGAGGACAATAACATAACTTGCCAGTTCTGATCTGACAGGAGGTGGGAACTGATTCGGGGCCGGCGTCACTCAGTTTTCCTGCGACTTTTGACTCGACAAAACTTCCACTCGTAAAGGGGGGCGCATGTCTGGGACCAAAGAATGAATCGAGAATGCTCGGTGTGGCATCTCATGGCATGTCATCTGCCCTGCTCCCTTTCTTGGGCTGCGTACCTGCGGTTGCAGATGGTTCGGGCGGAGGAATAATCACCATCATCATCATATGCCACGCCACCAAGTGCCACTAACCACTAATAACTACGACGCGATCTCCATCACATCAAGTTAATGCCACCAGAATGCCTCGGCATCCCCGATCTTAGCCAGACAATTGCCAGGCTCTATTACTTGTAGTGGCAAGCTCCCGAGTAAGTGGACCAGACCAACGGACATGTAACCAAAGATGGACAGCAGTTGGTAGACTGCCTGACTACACACACGCAATACTGGATACGGAATACGGGCTCTGGGGGTTAGAAGACTCGGCGAGCCTTGGGAGTTGCAACATCTCACCGAGCTGGGCGAACAGATTTCCTCGTGATATTATTGGAATTGCCGAATGCAAAAGGGTGTCCGAGCATGTGAAAATGAAAATATTCAAGTCCATAATTGTCGCCCTACAACCACCATCATCACCGATTGGCTGTCGCAGCTGGTCCCGGAATTCCCCTTTCCAGCCTCACCGAGTGGCTTGCAGCTCTCCAGCTCTCCGGCTCTCCAGCTCTCCAGATTCTACGTGGTATACTTCTTTCGCTTAGACAGCACCAAGGTCACTCCTTCCTCCCCCTCTGTATCGCTTTAGGTATAACGAAGCCTCTTGTGTTCCATGTCACTCTCTTGTCGGTTGAACTCCATCGTTCTAGAGGTTCGGCCCTGTATCCAAATGTGTCATCAGGATCCCTCTTCTGCATCGCAACGTTCCATGAAACGAAATAAGAACAAAGGTCAGGGAAATCAGGTAGCCCCACTGAGTGCTGCATCACCACTTGGCTTCGCACCAGCCGCTGCGTTGTCCTTGTTGCCCTCTGCATCCGGTCGTGCGGCTTCGCTGGCAGCAAAACTCTGCTCAAAGTCGTGAATGATGTCGTCGATGTGCTCAATTCCAACACTGATTCTAATCATGTCTTCAGTGACGCCCGAGTCTATCCGCTCCTGCTCGCTCAGTTGTTCGTGGGTTGTCGACCACGGATGAATGGCGAGCGTCTTTGCATCACCGACACTGCACTCTGATTAGCGGGCACAGCTTTGGGACAATTCAGGAAAGAATACTCACTTGGCGAGGTTGGAGATAATCTTGAACCCGTCAACCACTTGCGAACCTGCAGCAGAGCCACCCTTGACACCGACAGACATGACTCCTCCAAAACCACGGGGAAGATATTTCTTGGCTAGTTGATGGTAGGGATGGCTCTCGAGCCCAGGATACGACACCCACGCGACGTTGGGATGTTTCTCGAGCCATCTGGCCAGCTTCAGAGCGTTTTCTGCAATCCTCTCGCATCGTAAGCTCAGTGTCTCAGTGCCTAAGATGAATTGCTGAGCGTTGAATGGCGACATGCAGGATCCCAAGTCACGCAAGATCTCTACACGCACTCGAATGAGGAAAGCCAGAGGGCCAAAGGTATCAACAAATTTCAAGCCATGATAGCCGGGAGCGGGATCGTTGAATTGAGGGAATCGTTTCGCGTTAGCTGCCCAATCAAACTTGCCTGAATCGACAATGATGCCACCAATCGAGGTGCCGTGGCCGCCAATCCATTTGGTGGTGCTGTGCACCACGATGTGTGCACCATGTTTGATCGGCTGGCAGAAGAAGCCACCGGCGCCAAAGGTGTTGTCCACCACCAAAGGCACACCCTTGGCATTGCAGATTTTGGCAATAGCCTCAAAGTCTGGGACGTTGTAGCGAGGGTTGCCAATGGTCTCGACATAGACAGCTTTGGTCTTGTCATCAATAGCTGCCTCGAAATCTTCGGGCTTTTCCGAGGTCAAAAATTTGGTGTGAATCCCCAAGCGCGGGAACATGACTTTGAACTGGTTGTAGGTACCGCCGTACAGGTTGGATGTCGAGACGATGTTGTCCCCGGCATGCGCCAGCGCCGCAATGGTCATGAACTGGGCAGCTTGGCCAGACGAAGCGGCAACAGCAGCAATGCCCCCTTCGAGGGCCGCAATTCTTTTCTCCAAGACATCCACGGTAGGATTCATGATCCGGCTGTAGATGTTCCCAAACTCTTTCAGGCCAAAAAGCCTGGCGCCATGAGCGCTGTCATTGAAAGTGAACGAGGTGGACTGGTAGATGGGGACAGCGCGAGAGTTGGTGGCAGGATCTGGCGAATGGCCAGCGTGGACCTGAAGGGTCTCGAACTTTTGAACCCAGTCGTCCGAAGGCATTGTGAAGATCGCCGGTTCTGTAGCAGGATGGGCTTTGACAGCTCAGCTCAAGAGGGGAGTGACACGAGGTGGTGAAGTACAAGACTGCAGGCTTGCTAGAATGGCTGGATTGCTGAAGAGAGGTTATATGTTTTCTTAGTAGAGGAATGGAGGAGGGGAGAAGGAAGTTGGTCTCGGGTCAATGGCCACGAAGAGATGCACCAGTGACCTTTGTGAGAATAGCTTCTGAAGATGGCGTGCAAAAGAAAGAAAAGTCTCTGTGAGCTCTGGAGGGGTTCCTCCCTCGTAAGCTCTCAGTTGGTCACCTTTTCCACCAGCTTCGAGTGCCTCAAGGCCAGTTTCCCCGCATTCGAAAGACTCAATCGGACGCGGTGCTAAGAATTGCGTGATCGGGCCATCAACCCACGTCAGTTTCCCAACCAGAAATCCTCCTCGTATCTCGACGAGTGCACAAACTCAAAAAGCGAGAGAGGAGACGAAGAAAGAACCGACACTTGCTTACCCATGTTCGTTTCCCCAGTTGGTGACTTGGCTGCGCTGCGCTGCATTGCGCTGGGAAGTGAAACTGCGGAGCTCGACTCTGCAAGAATCCCATGTACAAGCAGCAATGCGAATAGCCTTGTCCCAACTCGGTCTAGGTGTCCTTTCGGGTGGTTGACCACTTCTGGTACCTGGCATGGCTGCATGGGAAGCCGGAATTCATTCAGTTGCTAGATGGCTATTATCTTGTTATCTTCCCATTCTGAGATCCGAGGCTGAGGAGTTAAGACGATCCGGCCCAGATTCTTCGGATCCGGAACGGAGATGGACGTCCACTTAGCTAAGCGAAATTCCTCGAAACAGAAAAACTACTAGAACCAACGGAGCTGCAAGATCCATGACGGTGTGTTCATCGACTTTGTGAGCCCTGTGGTTTTCTTGTATATGCAAGAATAGGAACAGTCAAAGCAGACGACATCACCCATGGCTCTGGGGCTGAGCAGCATAAGCCATGATCTGCGCAATCAAATAATACCCCTGCGCGGCCACAGGCCAGCCTTTCTTGAATTCCGCTCGTCCAAGATATTCATTGTTTTCGCGGTGTGCTGGTCTGTCTTCACTGTAGGTACCTCCCTGTCAAGAATTCATGGCGGTACAGGTGCTCACCTCGGTCCAGGATGTCTTCCTTTACGGGGTAATCGTTCCCGTCATCCCCTTTGCCCTCCAAGATCGAGTCCATGTGGACCATGATGATACGCAGCATTGGGTTTCGGTCCTGCTCTCCGTATATGCAGCTGGATTGCTAGTGTTCGCTCCGATCTGTGGCATCATGGCCGACTGGACCAGCTCTCGCCGTGGGCCATTTCTTGCAGGCCTGGTCATCCTTGCCGGGTCAACTTTGATGCTATGCTTGGGCAAAACCATCCCAGTGCTAGTGGCGGGAAGGGTGTTACAAGGAGTGTCGGCTGCCGTGGTATGGGTGGTCGCCCTAGCACTTTTGGCTGATACGGTGAGTGAGCAAGAATCAGGTCAGGCTATTGGATATGTCAGTCTTGCGACTTCGCTGGGGGTCTTGGTGTCGCCACTGATTGGCGGTGTGGTATACGAGCGGTCAGGGTACTACGCCGTGTTCGGGGTGACCTTTGCGGTGATCGGATTTGATATCGTCTTACGACTGGCCTTGATCGAGAAGAAAATCGCAGCCCGATGGCTTGAACCAGAAACTACCTCAGATCAGCCAATATCCACCGCCCCCCTTCAACAGGATATCGAACTTGACGATCGAAATAATTCAACCGCTGTGGCCGAGAAAAACGCAACAACAGCCGTCGCCGAGCCTTCTGTCACGCGTCCTAAGCGAAAATTACCGTCCATCTTGATTCTGCTCAAATCGCGACGTATTCTGGTGGCGTTCTGGGGGAATCTTGTGGGGTCCATGACCTTTACGGCCATTGATACGACTCTTCCCTTGTATGTGAACCAGGTTTTTGGCTGGGATTCTCTGGGAGCCGGATTGACTTTCCTGGCATTGATTGTGCCAGGCTTCGCAGGCCCATGGATAGGACATCTGACAGACAAGTACGGTCCGCGCTGGATCGCAGCGTCTGGGTTGCTGCTGTCAGTACCCTTTTGGGTGTTGCTGAGGCTGGTTGACCATGACACGGTCGGCCAAGCAGTCTTACTGTGCGCCCTGCTGGTACTTTTGGGAGCTGCTACCGCGCTTCTCTTGACCTCACTGATGGCAGAATTCAGCAAAGTGTGCGATGCAAAGGTGCGGCAGGAGCCGGATGTCTTTGCTGGGAAGTCTGCGTATGCCCAGAGCTATGGGATCTTCAATGTGTCATGGGCCGGAGGGAGTCTGCTCGGGCCATTGGTATCGGCCGCCGTCAAGAATGCTTCGGGCTGGAAGACCATGACGTGGACCATGGCACTGTGGTGTGCGGTGGGGATTCTGCCTACTGTTCTGTATTCGGGTGGGATGATCTCGCGGGAGAAACGACGTGGAAATGCTGCAAGTAGTGGCGAAGTGGTAGCTGTTGAGAGTGCCTAGAGACGCGCAAGGTGGGACAATGACATGACCGTAAGGGAGGGTGAGACGTAGCACCAACTCGTGATGGCGTCTCTCTGATGAGGATCGTGGTATTGGTGACGATGGTGATGGTAATCAGAGATGGTGTTGTGTTGTGCTGTCGAATCAATCACCGTGACGCGGTTGAATCTGAAACGCGGCCCCTGCGCATCGCGACTGTCGCAGCCTTGGCCCCAACAAACTGCGCCGCCTGCGTTTCTTTGATCTCCATCATCTTCGTCTGTTTCATCTTCTTCATCTGCTTTGTTCTCCGACTTCGATCAAAAATGTCAAACACCATCGCCCTCCTCCCCGTCGTGACCGACCACAGACCGTCCATGCAAGTCATCCCCTCCGATATGATCTCAAACAGCCAATCTTGCTGTCCCCCCAAAGCGTCGTCTGTGTCGCATGTGGGACAAACGATGCAAATGCTTGACAGACATGGCTGATTGCTTTATGAATACCTTGTCTCGCCCGTTCCTTTCCCATTTCTCTACCTGACAGAGATAAAAGTTCTGACCATCTCCTTCTATTCCCACATTCGCGCCGGCTGTGAGTGTGTTAGTTGTATTAATACTAGCAGTTGCAATCTTTTCGGCGGGTCTCAAACTTCAACTTCTGGGCGTCAATATTTTGATCAATTTAAATTCATTTGCCCTCTCCGCAAAACCGTTAGTTGAATCCATCATAGTCGTTGACGACCTCCTCCAACCGTATCCGCATCTCTCAGATTCAGGGTCCTCACTCTCGTCACCAGAGCCTGTCTACATCGCCAGCAAGCACAACAACCAGCGTTCATCCAAAATGTTTCTCAGTCCAGTCCTCATCCTCCGCATCGTTCAAGGAGTGTTGGCTTTCATCGCCATGGCGCTTGGAGCAACAGGTGTGTTCTGCACTTGTTGCTTGAGAGCGATGTGAACTGACACGATGATTCAGTGGCCAACGTCCTGAACACCCACCGTCCTGCCCTCGATGTCCCTGCTGGGGTTGTCTTCTTCATTTTCATCACCGTCTTCACCTTGCTTGTCACGGTTCCCTATACAATCTTGACACCCCGCTACTTCCCAGTTCTGGCTCATCCATTTGCCATGCTCGCCGCTGAAACCACCACGTCCATCTTCTGGCTGGCAGGGTTTGCCGTTATGGCAGATCGCTTGCGCAGAGCAGACATCTGCGAGGTCGGGGCGTGTGCGTCCGCTACAGGTAGTGTCGTGGTTGGGGTATTCGAGTTGTAAGTCGGAGTGATTTCATCCCTCCTGGCTCTTGTTGACCGACTCAATAGTGTCCTCTTTGGAATCACTGCCTTCTTCGCCTTCTCTCATATCTTTCTGGGTGACAGATTCAGTGCGAACAAGCCCCAAAACAAGCAGGGGCAGGTGAACCGGGCCGGACTTGAGCTCGTGTAAGGCCAGAAATCAGCAATCGGTGTAGCTAGCAAAAGACAAGAAAGAAGAATAATACTGCGACTCTGACCACATTTTTACTGCTGACACCCGCCTCAAGCCTCAACTCGCCTCATTGTTGCTTCACTTTCGTCGCTATGTTGACAAGGACGGTGACCTGGGCGTGATTCCTTGTATTTTCAGTTCTTCAACATCAACGTCGAAGTCGAAGTCGGGGGCGTGCACACCCGACGCACTCATCCGCCCTTCCCATCGTCGTTGTTGTCATGAAAGCGTCCTTGTCGTCCATCGAGATGACACCAAGTTGTCAATTTGAGGTAAAAGCCATCCATCCATCTTTCGGACGCCTTTCACACAGCTCAATATACTCTAGAAGACAACAGACGCCAAACGCTCAACAAACACGTCTTTCTTTGAGACGCATGAAGGCTCCGTTTCCATTCCCGAGCTTTGGTATAGAGCGTCCGCTGTATCGTCATCGCCATCGCCATCGTCCCTCTCGCTAGCTAGATCCCCCTGAAATATAGTGTGGTACATATGTCTATCATGTCGTGTCGTGTCGCATGATGTCATCTAAAATTTAGGTAACGACAATTAGTGTGCAAGTGTGCCGACCACGACCGTGAGCAGAGGCACTGTGCAAGCAGGACGCGAGACGCAAGATACAAGACAGAGGACACCTGAGAGGCGGATCCTCGTCCACATACATACCTCGGACGAGGTACATATATCTCACAAAGACAAGCACATAAGAGTAAAGGAGAGCGAAAGGCAAAGGGACGGATTGTAATAGAAAGGGAAAAGCGTGAAAAGCATGAATGCAACCCCTGACCTCCCGAGGCTGAAAGTGACCGATTGACTGACAGATATTAAATGGATATCCAGAGACACTCAGTTTGTCATTTAGTGTAGGACTTTTTTCCAGTTATAATCTGAAATCCGAATCCGAATCTGCATACAAATCAACATCCTCCCTCCTCAATCTCTCAACTCAATGTCTGTGCGTGCACGCTTGCAGAGAGAGCAACTATATCTCGTCGCAGTAATTAGGCAAGAAAATTCTTCGCTCCAAGAAGAGGTCGGTCTTAGTGCACAGCTAAAAAGGAGATTTTCACACAAAAGCCAATATAAAGGAGAGAAAGAGGGAGAGAGAATAGAAAGAGAACCAAGCCCAAAATGTAGGGGGCTTCCACCGCAAGATCGAGACTGTACAGTTTTTCTCGCCTTTTTCTGCTTCTCTTTTCCTCCCTGGCTAGGGCCAACGAACTGGCTCTCTGCTCCGAACATATCCATCTGTGGGTGATACAGGTCATGACCGAGGACTCAAGAGCGGAAGGTCAGGAAATCGGCAGCCTGCATCGTACAGTCAATGGTCAGCATAGGAGTCGAAATAATGGCTCAACGCAAGGACATGAAAAAAATCTGTGAACTATATGGCTAGATAGCAGGGGGGAACAACAGTTGCACGAGACTCACCTTGTCAATGTTATAATCAAACTTCTCCAGTGCCGCAAGACTCTCCTCGCGTGACCATCCCATGGCAGTCAATCTCTTGAGGATTGGGTCATCGTGCTCCGTACCCGTACTCAGAGCTCGACCGATTTGAGGCCGCTCAGCTTTTGAGCTTGGCGGGGGCGACGTCTGTGCTGGCGTGACAATAGTCGGGGGTGGCGAAGAGACACCCGACTGGCCTGGTGGTGGTGAGGGCGTGGAAACTTCAACGGCCTGTGTTTGACTTGGTGGGAAATCAGATGCTGGCTGTGACGACGCCGCGTTATTTGCATTTGTGTTCAGTGGTGCGAAGAGAGCGTCCCAGTCGTGAGAGATCGGAGATGTTGCCGGCTGTGCTTGCTGAGGAGGTCCAGATGTCGTGACCGCAGAATAGAAATCGTCATTCTCAAGCTTTGGAGCCCCGTTTGTGACTGGGGCTGAAGAGAATTGCGCCCGCGGGGGTTGCGGAGGAGAATCGAAAGTCGGGTCAAACTCAAGTGCAGCGTTCTTCGGCGGACTGAAGACAGCATCATCATCGTCCTCGTCGTCATCGTCTTCTTCAACTGGGGCCACCCCCACGCCTGAAAATGCAGAGTCAAAGTCAAACGGTGCACTCGCGGTGGGAGGTGGCGCAGTGGGTTTACTGTCTGAGGGGCTTCTGGCTTGGGCTTCAGGACCATATGCTGGCGGAACGCCACTAGGGGGAGGTGCAGGGTGACTAGAACCACCGGCCGTCGGAACTGGTGAAGTTGGGTCTTCACGCTCTGGTAGCAAGCCTTTGTATTCTCGGGGAAATTGGCTTGGGTTGTCCTCAGGCACTGCATCGTTATAAGTAGGCGGGGATTGTTGCGATTCCACCCCTGGTAGTGAGCTAGCATTTGATAAAGAGCCGGCAGTGGCAGGGCGTGGTGACAGGGTGCTGCTGAGCTCGGGTGCGACCTCCGGTCGCTTGCCAGTTGCCACATCGGTAGGACTCTCTCGAGGTGGAGATTTTGCATTGAAATCGTCGTCGAATTTCATGGGTGTCTCGTCTTCGCTGTATTCGCTGCTATCCTCGTCGTCGCCGACTTCCTGGATAGCAGGAAATTCTTCATTTAGTGCGACCTTCGGCTTGCCCATCTCAGCAAAAGCAGAGTCAAAGTCCGCAGCCTTCTGAGATGCTGAACTTCGCGGTATCGCGCTTCCAAAGAAGTCATCAAAGTTCTGCTCAAGGCTCTTGCTGGGCGCTGAGGGTTGTGCATCGTTCGGTTTATCACCATTGGTCGTGGCGGAGACGGCGGCGGCACCTAAACCAGCAGCCACCGCTGCAGCGCCAGCTCCAGCAGCAATCACAGTTGGGTCAACACCTGGAGTGTCAGACCGTGAACCTGGAAATGCTCCTGGAATGTCTTTCGCTTGGTCGGCTGATGCCTGACCGAAAGTTTCGTCAACAGTTGTTTCTCCGGCGGTGGGCTGAGGCAATGTTCTACGAACAGATTCCTGTTCTTCATCTGGTGCGGCGGCTGTAAAGGGGTCTTCGCTTGGGTCCTTGTGCTCAGCCGGGCTAGCGGTAGACGCAGGAGTCAGTGCTTGAGGGGTGTCACTGGGACTAAGCCTGCTGGCCGGTGCCGCAACCTTGACGGAGGAGCTGATCGAATCTTCTCTCTCAAGCGGCCTGCGGAAAGGAAGCGCGGCCGAGCTGATCTGTCGGGACTGGGGTGGAGCTGGCGGTTCAGCAGCGTCTCTAGGTGTAGATGAAGGGGCCGGTGAGTCAAGCTGTGGGAGAATTTGTTGCCCAGCTGGAGTCGATGGTTGTGCAGAGAAAGACGTTGTGGGAGCAGGACCCGCAGTAGCAAACGACGGCCCGAATATGCTGTCGAAAGCACTTTGTTGGTCCTTTGGTTCACTCGCACCGACCGCAGGTGGGAAAGTCGTGTCCGTTGTCCGCCTGAAGAATGGATTGGAGTTCGTAGATGGCGCAGGGCTCACAACAGGAGGGCTCTTGACCGTAGGCATTGGAATATTCCGGGCTTCTTCCAACTCCTTCTTGGAGGCTTCCACTTGTCGAGCCGACTCCTCGGCCTCTCGTTGCGCGTCCTCAACTTCCTTCTGAGCAGCAGCTATCTCGGCCTTTATTCTATCTCGCTCGGCCTCGTTAGTAGCTAACTGCTTCTTGTTGATTGCAACCAAACCTTTCTGTTGCCTCGCATCCGACTTGATCTTTTCGAGCTGCGGTTTGAGCTGGTCAATCTCCTGGTTCAGCTGCCGAATGCGTTCCTTGAGCGAAGCATTTTCACGCTGGTCAGATTCCAGTGCAGCACGAAGTTGCTGGTGCTGTGTTGCAAGATCTTGATGGGTCCCGTCAATCATGGCCATTTCCTGCTGCAGCCGCTTGGTATCATTCTTGGAAGCTGTTAGTTGTTCTTTGAGCACCTTGACTTCTTGAACCTCCTTTTCGTAAAGAGACCTGAGCTGAGCCAATCGGCCTTCAAACGCTTTCTTTTGAGCAGATGCGCTGGACAGCTCTTGTTCAGTTTGCCTTCTATCCGTGTGAAGTTCTGTCATTTGCGTAGATAAGCTGCTGACTTGATTGGACAAATTACCTAGTTCGCTGGTTTCGTTTGTGAGTTTCGAGCTGATCTCTGGATCTGCGTCCCCGAGCAGGTCATCGGGTTGCGCTCTCGGCTGTGGCGCTGGTGATCCGGTTGCCTGTGGGATGATACTTTGGCCAAACGAGCTGGTTGGCACAAATGGTTTGAAGGTTGTGGCCGTCGTCTGTGGGGTCAAAACACCCGGGGGGTTCGCGAACGGGCCGGCGTCAGTGCCACCCGTTGATTGAGGTACTTGGATAGGAGCGACCGCAGGTACCGTGGGAGCAGGACCGAATGCGTCGAGGCCAAACAGGTCATCGGCGGCAGAACGTGGTTTGGTCGGCGCCGCATTTTCGAATGCTGGAGCGGTTGGCTGAGGGGGAGCAATCTGCATCTTTCGCATGCTGGGAGGGATGAGAGCAGGGGGAAGAACGGATGGCAAGATGCCTCGTCCATCCTTCGTTCCTCGTTGTTGTCGGATCAAGTACATGGCCACTGCAAACTCGTCCCTGTTTAATTGGCCCTCAGAGTTGATGTCCGCCAAATCCCAAATCTGGGCCAGGATCTCCTCTGGTAGCCTAGCATTTCCGAAGAACTCGACTGCTTGCTCTCCAGTGATAAACCCTCTTCCTTGGCGATCGACAGTCGCAAAAATACTGTCGAATCGAGCTTTGTCGGCCGGAGTTATGGCCCATGGCTCTCCTGTCGACTGCGCCGACAACGATAACGGCGTACTCACTTGCGGCTGCCTCGTGATGGGGCTTTGTGGCCGGGCGCTGTAGTTCACCGCGGGAATAGTACTTGAGCCCGGACGAGATCCACTACTTAGCCGTACAGCCGAGCGACGAGTTGCAGCCTCAAAAAGGCCCGGAGGAAGTGTGCTGGGAACACCGCGCATCTGGCCTGACTTGTACGAGGCCAGAAGGTGCATAGCGATCACAAATTCCGTGACATCCAGGGCGCCCCGACCCTGCGTGTCTGAAAGCCCCCATATGCGCCCAAGAACTTCGTTGGGCAACCTCGCTTTTTCAAATATTTGTTTAGCTAGCAGTCCGGAGAGTAGTCCGTTCTCTGCGCCTGATTTCTCAAACATGGTCGAATATTCTGCGACCTTTTCTGGCGTCAAAGCAGGCACACGGATCGGGGGATGAGCCGCAGGAGTCGGGCTGGCAGGAGGTCCAGTGGATTGCTGGACAATAGGTTGAATGGGTTGAGGAGGGGGAAGGGGTTGGGCCAGTTGCTCGGATTGGGGAGTGTCAAATCGAGGAAGAGGCGCAGCTGCGACAAATTAGTTCAGTCATCTCCCGACGTTCTCAACTGAACGTACTCTGAGTTGCAAGCTGAGCTGAAGGTGAACGGCCACTTTGCGCATGGCCAATAAGTCGGAGCACAACTCCAAATCCTGCTGGCGTGAGGAAGCCTCGATTTTCGGTATCGGCAATCTGCCATATCTATTGAATCGTCAACAGGGGCGCAGAGAATCCTCTCAATATTCCCAACCTGTCCTAAGACATCCGGTGGCAGCTTTGTCCTCTCAAAGAATTTGACGGCCACATCTCCAGAGACAGCTCCGAACCCATCGGGGTCAGCTTCTTTCAGGAGCTGGCCGTAGACTCGCTTTTCCTCGGCCGTTAGGTTGAGATTCGGATGCCCTGGAATCGAGAGTGTCAGCACCCTAGCTGAATAGACAGCCACTTGAGCAGGAGGAGCAAACCTGAGGCTGCGGATCCAATCGTCTCCGACATGGCCGGGGGGGCGTGGTAGGCTCGTAATGCGATCGGGATACGTCTAGAAGTCGCGCATTGACGGCATGGAGAGGTCGAGGTAATGTTCAGGGAGGGACAAAGATGAGGCGCGGGTGATTCTGAATTAAGGCAGGATAACTTTTGATCTCGCGGGAACACAAGGACAGGCGACAACGGTTTCTAAGGAAATGGCTGGAAGTCTTACGGGGATGGAGAGAGAAATGGAGATGGACTGGATGGGGTGGATCGCGATGACGAACGAGGAGCCCGGTTGTTGCCAAGCCCTGGAGCTCTCAAGCTTGAGGCGCCGGTACGACTAAGTTTGGACTGGGGGTTCTAGGTGGTGGTTCCAAGCTCAAACAAGAGGGCGGATGTTAACCTAGGTAAATACGAATTGAATCTACCTGAGATCGAGCATCAATACAACCCCTGAAATACCAGGTGCCAACATGAAAGGAATAATTGTCAGTCTGGACGAGTGACTGGTGATGCTTGGTGTGAATGGCCTGCATCGATTATGCACCACGGATGCCAACCTACAGTATGCCATCTTGTCTCACAGAGAGAATCTTCAAGAACACAATTGACTCCCAATTCTTTGTCGACGGACACTGAGGATCAACTCTGAAATATCGCTTGCTCCCTGCACTCCTTGCAATAGACTCTCACGGGGTCGGAGAGGATACCAAACGCGGGAAGATACAAAAACTAGTGCTCAATCTCTCCCTCATCGCCCTCCTCAATGGAGTCGCTGGCCACTTCCTCGTAATCTCTCTCCAATGCTGCCAGATCTTCACGGGCTTCAGAGAACTCGCCTTCTTCCATACCCTCACCAACGTACCAGTGGACAAAGGCGCGCTTCGAGTACATCAAATCGAACTTGTGAGACAAGGCAGACCACGCTTCGGCGATGGCAGTGGTGTTGGAGAGCATGCATCTATGAAGATATTAGAAGACACGTATAGAAGGTGCATTGACATGGAACTTACACTGCGCGATTAACCTTGGCAAGATCACCGTTGGGCACCATCTGAGGAGGCTGGTAGCAGATACCAATCTTGAAGCCAGTCGGGCACCAGTCCACGAATTGAATTGTACGCTTGGTCTTCAGAGTAGCGACAGCCTGGTGCACGTCGTTGGGAACAACGTCTCCGCGGTAGAGTAAGCAAGTGGCCATGTATTTGCCGTTGCGTGGGTCGCATTTGACCATCTGGTTGTTCGGTTCAAAGCAAGACATTGAAATTTCTTGCACCGAGTGAGCCTCATGCTGCGCCTTTGCCGCCGAAACAACGGGTGCATAGGCAACGAGAGGGAAATGGATTCGTGGGTATGGCACAAGGTTGGTCTGGAACTCGGCGAGATCAACGTTCAGGGACCCGTCAAATCGGAGGGAAGCAGTGATGGAGGACACAACTATTTCTTTATCAGCCGGATCTTACCAAATGGAGGAGTGATACCCACCTTGGGCGATCAGTCTGTTCAGGTTTTCGTAGTTGGGTCGCTCGATTCCTAGATTGCGTCTGCAAATGTCGTAGATGGCTTCATTGTCTACCATGAAACTGCAATCAGAATGCTCGAGAGTTGTGTGCGTCGTGAGGATCGAATTGTATGGCTCGACCACGGAGGTGGCGACTTGAGGAGCTGGATAGACGCAGAACTCCAACTTGCACTTTTTGCCATAGTCAACCGAGAGACGTTCCATAAGCAAGGCACCGAACCCGGAGCCGGTACCACCACCGAACGAATGGAACACGAGGAAACCCTGGAGGCCACTGCAGTTATCGGCCACACGGCGAACTTTGTCCAGCACTTGATCGATCAGCTCCTTGCCGACGGTGTAGTGTCCTCGGGCATAGTTGTTTGAAGCATCCTCTTTCCCAGTGATCATCTGCTCAGGGTGGAAAAGGCTGCGATAGGCGCCGGTCCGAACCTCGTCGACGACGTTGGGTTCAAGGTCACAGTAGATCGTTCGGGGGACATATTTGCCGTTGCCTGTGCAAAACTCAATCAGCAACGAAGAGATAGGGATGATTTCCGATGCCGTACCCGTCTCGGAGAAAAAGGTGCTGAAGCCTTGGTCTGGATCAGCGGCTTTGCGTTCTTCGGTAAGGTATCCATCGGGCTGGTTCAGGTCAATTTGTGGTTGGAGCCAACGACAACGGTGCACCACCCACTTGGATTCCATGCTCGAGGCAGTACAGCTGCAACCATCAGTAATTGTCCGAGCCGATGTCTTTTGATAAGGAAGATTGTTTACCTCCCAGCATGAGTTGGCAATTTGACAGCCAGCCTGGCCAACTACAATTTGCAAATGCAGGTCAGCTTGTGGTCACAAATTCTCTGGTACAGGGGGCTTTCCAAAAGGGTCGGTCAGGGACGCGTGCTTGGATCGTCACGTACCGTTCAAGCTGATGACTTCTCTCATGGTGAAAGGGTTCCGGAGAGGGATGAAGAGGAGATGAAGGAGAAGATGTGAGATGGATAGATGCAAGACAAGTCAACGGACGAGCAAAGGATTGGAAGAATCAATTGTTGATGGGGGAGAGAGGGTGCAGTGGGTGCAGTGGTTTGCAATTGTGGGGTGGCTTCCAATTGTTGACAGCGCGCTCTTTCTTTCACCGCCTGTCCCCTGCCCCATGCAGCCAATCACAACGGCTGTCTCTAGTGACTCCACCTGTTCGCGTTACAGCCAATAAAGTGGCCGCTGCGGAAGCGTTAATCAACTGCGCCATTCACGACAAACCACCGACATCATCCTTCATCTCCTATTTTCTCAACACAATGGCTTATACATTTATCATCGTCTGGCTTCTGTGGCCTTACTGTGCCTTCGCCAATGTGGAGAAGGTCATTTTCCTTGCTCCTGCGGCTGGCAATCTACCCCAAGATGCGAGTATTGACAATCTGTTGCTGACACGCCTGTCGGAACAATATCCAAGTGTTAGAACTCACATCAATGCGAGCTTCCCAAGCACAGACTTCCCAAAGGGAATTGAGAGCTGGTTCTTACTCGAAGGTCTGCGCCCCGGAAGACGGTATGAGCTTCGAATATGTTGGTTGGCAACTGTAGGAGGATGTCCTTTCTGGTAGCGAACGTGGCTGACTCTCCCCAGCAACCAACATCCTTCTGGCTCTATACGCATTCTCTGGATCATACCTTTGCAACGCCCAACCTCCTGGCCTCACTGAGTGACTACGCTTATGCACGGCATGCACAGCTTGGCTCCGAAGATAGTCGGAGCCTCCTGCAACGGAAAGCCGAGGCCAGTACAAGCGATGTCGGGTCAACTTTCTTGTTCCTCCAGGTGCTCGCTGCTGCAGACTATTTCAGCCTAAACCAGACACTCATGGAGGTCGTGCCTCCCGTGGCCGTCGACATAATCTTGGACCCATACGTCCTCAACGTCTTGCCCCAGTCACTTGCTTCCACGGGATTATATCTCCTCGTGGTCGCAGTGGGCGCATGGTTCCTTTCAACCTGGATTCCAAAGCTCTTGGCCAGCCCTGTAACACAGCAGGTTCAATCAAAAGCAAAACAAACTTGACTGATGCTGGTCATGGCCTGACCATCGAGAAAGGATCCTGCAGCTGATCGAAGTCCGTCATTAACGAGAAGAGTGGGAACTCTTCAGTGTATGATGGTAGACTTGGTATTCCGGACCCATCTGGTGAGAGGTAATCTGCTTCTGGCATCTGTCCGAAATCGGTGCGTGGCAGAGGTGGGATGGGATCAGTAGCCTCCTCCCCATTGTACGCTAATACTCCAGAGGTGGTCAACACAGGGCCGCGACTCTCTGGCGGCATGTCGAAGCGCAGCTGCCACGGTGGCGCGGCGTCACCAGATTCCTCTGCGGCATCAAACAGCGCCGTTGTGCCATCATTGGTCTGAGCGATTTCTGAGGCCGAAATCTGACTGGGTGTGTGGTTGCCGGTAGTCGCTTTGCTTGAACCTGCACCGTTTGTCTTGTTGATAGGATCACCAAAAATGTTGTGGATGTCTTGTCGGCGCCTCTGCATTTGCATTTGGTCTCGCCGTCGAATGTGCTCAATCGCTGCCAGGCGCAGATAGCTGGTGATCTCAAAGTGTCGTCGGGCCGACATGTCATCCTTTGCCATGATTGTCAAGATAGCTTCCGCTTGGGCAATGCTGCTGAGCAACGGGAACGTCTTATCGAAGTCGCCAAAGATGGCAAAGCCGATCACCATAGCCGATATAAATGTGCTGTTGGTAATCATGAACAATCGCTTGGGTACTCCCGGGGTATGAACAATATCGGTCGCAATCTCGATGCTCCTCAACGCAGCATCAATACAGGCCTCACTTAGAGTCATTGTCACCGAGTTTCCGGCGCCGTCGTCATCCTCGGAACGGCCTTTGATCTTCGAGGACACCTTGAAGATCAGAAATGGTCTGGTCAAGAGAATAATCGACCAATAATAAGCGCCCTTCAAATGGGCGATGCCGATTGTCTGTCGCAGTGTCGGGGAAGTAGAGCCACTCTTCTGGTCCAAACTGTCGGCTTGCAGACCTGCCGGCAACTGCATGGTCCAGTCTCGATATTGCCGGGAGATGCTTTCCACAAGCTGAACAGATACTTCCCGACGACAATAGACCTCATTCAATATCCGCTCAAAGATAAAACATATCCTCAATGTCGCCGAGGTGTTGCGTCCGTTCATCTGGATATCTTCGTAGTCTCTGGTGGAGCGGTTCCAAGACACACTTCCACCGTCTACTTCGGATGTCGCTGGCGGTCGGCCGAGTGAGCCGCTCATGTAGAGGTCGAGGACGCGCAGACTCTTCCACACTCGCTCGCGCGCGAGCCTTTCTCTCGGCTCGAACAAGTTTGATATGTCGCTTCTGTGCAACCCTAGAGCATACGCAGCTCGGACGGCAATGCCTAGCAGCATGAATGCGCCGTTTCTTCTCACGGCGGACAACATGTAGAACGTGATCAAGGCGTAGGCCTGGATGGTCAGGACACTGGGATCCTCCAAGAAACTCGAGACCCCGATCTCCCGACCACGGGAGAAGTAGAATTCTGCCTGATCCAGGTCCTCCGCGTCGCGCGTCAGGGCGCCGATAGCCATGACTAGATAATATATGGAACTGTTGAAATCCGTCTCGGCGGATGGGTCGCTCGTCCACGCACACAGATGGTGAGTGATATCGTCAGGGTCGAAGAGGTCAATCACGCCGCTCGACGCCAGCAGATAATGTTTGATCAGATCCTGGGCCTCAGCCAAGCTAGGCTTCGGGTGTTGCGACTGCGCCGGCGTCGGCGCCTTGGGAGGTGGAATGACCTCGCACATGGCATGTCGCAGCGGGTCCGAGGTCAATTGACACTCTCCAATCTCTGCCTTGACCAGGCGGCGAATGTTCTGGACAAACGCCAGGTTGCTCGAGTCACCGACGAAGATGAACTTGCCGCGACCATCGCGGAGCAGTCTGGCCAGCTTCGGCACAGGGGCTCTCGACACGAGTGCATCCGGATCCTTGTCGTACTGGGGAGACTTTGGGGCGCTTCTCGACCCGGACAGCGTGAGGAGCGACTCGATGGCGATCTCGGCATCATTCGACTCGTTCAAGGCATCCTTGAGGGTAATGGGATGAGATGACGCGGTACTGCCCTGACGCTGTGAGCCTCGTTTGGAGTAGGCCTCGGTGAAGACGCATTCAGACTCGCGACAACGGCGCTTGCAGAGCAGGCAAGGTTGTTGTCCGTCACATTTCTCCTTTCTGCGCTTGCAGGTGTCGCAGGCCCGCGCCACGCGTTTCCGGTCTTCGTCCTTGACGCGCGGACGAGGCATGAGGCATGCGACCACTCAGCGTTCGTCTGATCATCAGCCTCGTAGCCTTGTGACGGGCGGTGTATCGATGACTCACTCACGGGGTTCACTTTCCGGGTTCTTTGGATGGGTGCCAGGATAGAAAAACTCGGATATAGCACCTTTTCGTGTGGAGGTGGAGTTTTGTTTTGGGAAATCTGAGGTTTCGGTCATCTGCTGGGAACCGTCGGAAGCGGGCAGGGAAGAAAAGTTGGAGAGAGAGGGGGGGCGATGAATAATGGAGCTGAGACAGCCCGTGACTCCCCTAAATTTGGTGGCTCTCTGTGCCCAGATTTCTCGGTGGGGGCGCGGGGAAGCGGCCCAATCACGCATGGTGTATAGTTAAAGGCGGGACGTTCAAGCGAGTATATACTCGGGAACTCGTATTCGAGCAGGGGTGGTTTCTTCGGCTCATTGGCGCCAATGGGTGATTTCAGTGGCTGGAGGGCCGCTACATATCAAAACACTCAAGTTTGCATCCACCAAGTATTCATAAGCTTGGGATTAAGGGCTCTTCTCGTCCAGGTCATACCACCCAAACACAGCTTGTACATCCTACATCAACATAATCAGCAGCTCCGTTGTGATCCTTAAAAGCCGCGACCCATGCCTTCGGTCACTAACGCTTCGCCGGATTCTCCCTTGGAGGACAGCGGAGCCATCTTGATGTCATATCTCAATTCCTTTTGGGCCTGCGCGTCACCTTGCCGGGGTACGAACTCGACAATCAAGGAGTCCTTGACCGCAAAGACAGAATCATCGTCGAGATACTTGCTCTCCTTGTCGAAAATCTGGGTCGTGATGGGCTTGTAGCCCTCGGCCAACACCTGCGCGACTGTCACTTTCTGACCTCTGAGGCACGGAGCTTCAATACTCACGATGAAATGGATGTGGGCTGGTCTGTAGGGGTGTCTGTCAAGCAATTGGAGCAGTTTACCCGCTGGTCCATCGTATGGGATCGGGTAAGGGGTTGGTCTCAAGCAATAGAAGCCGTACTCTCCGTTCTCATCCGTGTAGAACTTGCCGCATAGGTTCGACTTTGGTTGGTTCTCGTCCTGTTGTTCGTACAACCCTGCAAGGTCCTACGTCAGCACTCCCTTGCTCACCACATGGGATTGTGTAGACCGACCGTTTGTGGACGCTTGCCAAACATCGACTGAAGCATTCCTCAAGGGCTTGTTGGTAGTGGCATCCGCAACTTGGCCGTACAAATACACAACTTCGGCATCCTGCGGAGTATTGGTGGAGATGCTGTCGCCCTTCTTGCGGATCGTGTGGTCAGTCTGGAAGAAGGGACCAAGTATAGCGCTCTGAGTGGCCAGATCGGCGGCTTCGGCTGCCTTCTTGTATGTGATTTCATCCACGAGTCTGTACAGTCAGCATAGGCCCTTGCATACCCTTTTGAGTTTTCACCTACGTTTCCAAGCCGACAACATCGCACACCAGTTGACCTTCATTCCGTCTGTCATTGCTCATCTGGCCAGCCCAGTTGATCAAACGGACACCCTCATCCCACTCTTCCACTGTCAACTCAATCTCGCGAGCAAAGTCGTGAAGGTGTGTGATCAAGCTGGTCATGACTTCCCGCATCCGAGGGGAAGTCTTGGGACCCATGGCATTGATAACATTCCGGGTGAAGGTGGGATCGAAGCGCGCAGCGCCGGATTTGTTGTTGCCGTTCATGTTGGACGAGTTTTAATTCGATGGTTGGATTCAGGTGGCCCGGAGGACTTGCGGTGAATTGCGACAGTAGAGGCAATGCGTCACTGACGGTGAATGTGGCGCGCTTGAAGTTTGTGCGAGAGGAAAGTAGACAGGATGCTCTGTGCAAAAGAGAGGAATTGTCTGATTCAAATAGGATTGCCAATTGCAATGACCTGTTTCGTGGAGAGCCACCATCGGCGTCAGGACGGGGAGAACCATAACCCTAGTCCAGACCCCAGACAACCCGCAGGCTGAGGCCAAAGGATCCATACGGAACTGTGTACGAAGGTTCGCGCGAAGGTGTCGAGCTCATCCCGCAATACCCCGCCCCGAACACTTCCTGCATCGGATCTCGCGCCGCCTGGACTTCTGCTTCTAACCACTAAACCCACATAGCTAGAGCCGAGACTGGTTAGACTGGTGGCGCTAGTTATACAAATAAGGCTAGTGCACCTCGCCGTTTGAACTTCGGAAGCAGACTGTACCGTCAGGAGCTCGACGCTGCCCCGTCGGCTCCCAGTTTCGGGACGCGCACTCACTTCTTCCTCTACCCATCCACACCTCGTTCTGATATTGTCGACGCGCACAAATGCTCAAAGCTCTGGTCTTTCTGTGGTGTGACAGTCTAGTACGCGCCTCTGACATACCCGATCGCACCACGAACCATTATTAACCAAGACGGAATGCTCCGCGGTTCCCCCATGATGTGGGCTGATCTGTCTTCCATCGAGCAATTGCTTCCGATGATAGCGAAGCAGATCAGATTATATTCACCGCCATCATCATGCTTGACCTGTCTCTCATAATCCACCACGATGCTGCATATACGGTACAAACAGATGATTGGGCACCGCTCGTCTTTGGATGGTACGCTCTCAGAGAAAAGATTGGACTAGGAAGTCGACAGAAGCGACGAGGTGCAAACTCATAACCACACAAGTCAGGTTATCGGTCTCAATGATGCTGTCCTCACCGAGTCGGAGACATCTACTGCAAGGAAAATCAAATCAGGTGTACAATCTTGGTCACTGGGGCGGAATCGTGCTTTGCAAGACATTCATCGATGCTCTGCAACCACCCAGCCATAGATCAGGCTGCGGGACCAAGACAAATTGAAACACACCCATCAAGCAACCCCAGCGAAGGAAGGGAAGCCCTTCCACGACTTCTGCAAGCCCATCTCTCGGCCCGCCAGCTGCCAGTCGAGATCGACACCGGCCATGCGGCTTGCCGTTGACTTCGTGGCACCAATCTGAAGTCAGCAAAGGCTTGATGCTGTGTTACCGACCGATTGCTCTTGGTTCTCTGGCTATCTCGTCCTCTCATTACGAAGTTGTCGCACATTCTTCGCTTGCTGTTGCGTTCTGTGATGCCCATTCATCCTATCAAGATGGAGGTCAGATGTCCCCCGTCCACTCTTCCTCTACCTGCACAGGTTTCCTTCCTTCAAAATGCTTCTAATCAGCAGGAAGTACCCAGCAGTACATCGAGTTGAACCAGGTACCGACCGGTCATTTCCCTATTTCGCGCAAACTTCGCCCAGAGCCTTGTCCAAGTGATGTCTTCATCAACTGCGCAGTATCCCAAACGTACCTCGACCCATACTTCACAGATTTCGCAAGAACGGCCTTCGCTTTCTGAGTCCTCCGTGCCCGCATCTCCTCAAGCTCGATTCCCACGCTCACCTCCTCCGCGGCCGCCGAGGCCAAAGACTTCACTAACCAACATCCGCCCAAAAATTATCCTCTCACCACTCGCGATTCCTCCTCCCAGCGCGTACCGCCTGCCGGCTCCCAGCCATTGCTCCCGACTCGACCGGTTTTCAGACGACGTCTTCAAGTCGCTTCCTGAGCATTTGAGGTCCTCATTGATATCGCTCAGCGGAGGGGGGACGCAGGCATCTCCTTGTGACGCGGCGCCATGTCCCTGTCAAGACCGCTGTTCCTCTGCTGCACAGTCCTGCGTGGCCACGAAAGATTGCTACGATGTCTGCGCTATCCCCGATCAGCCTCCTGTCCGTCTAAAATGTCAGGACCAGAACCTTCCAGCAACCAATTCCTCTGCTTTGGGCGTCGGGAAATGTTGCGCTTTTACGCCGGATAGAGTAAGGGAGATGGACAGCTTCGAGCGCGCGATCCACCAGTGCCAGTATCCAGAGTCTCAAAGTCCTGGTGGACCGGTCAAGAGTTGCCTGCCCCTAGCCACCACATCAAGTCCGCGAGATCGTCCATCCTCAATCTCTTCCCCCTCGAAACCTGAGTCCAGCACGGCGGGCTCGGCACAGCCACGCCTGGACATATCGCATGCTTCTCAGCCGGGGTCCCACCACGACTGGGACGACCAGCCCTCCTCAAAGTCCTGGCACACCATCGTCTTCCGCCACAGGATCCTCTTACGCATGGTGTGCACCGCAATGTTCGTGATCGTAGCGTCAACGGCAATAGCGGGTGGCGTGATTTGGAAGTTGACAAGCTGTGAGTCCAAGTCCCATTTTCCCCTTCGGTGTTGTCGCGTCATTACTGGCGCCCGCAGACAGATAGCGAAGATGTAGACTCCTTACAATACATACTATTTCCCCCTTGGCCTCGATTCTCCGGCTCTGTGATCCGAGCTGACTGCGGCTTGTCTAATTCTAGTGGACCGAGTGGATCAAGAGTAGTGAACGGCAGTGAGGCTCTGCTTGACGACACATGAGCTATCATCTCCCGCGACCCAATTGAGGAGACCATTCTACTATCAGAGTCCATCCGGCATGGACGTCTTTTGGATGTGGGCTCATAGAGAAAGAAGAGTGCACAAGCGGCTAGAACAATTGGTGGCATGGCAGGCAGGTTATTATCGCTTTTCATAGCAGTCAATGCATACTTTTTATTGTCACAAGCACATGAAATCGACTGGCTGACCGACTGATTTATTAATTGACTGACTTTTTTTGAGGCGGGAGCTGCCTGCTATTTACTTCTTCGCCTTGACCCCCTTTGCCTTCGACCTTTTACTGCTCTGTTTGGTCTCGACGCCACCGCTGACGACACCCCCATTCTTTTTGGGAGGATCCTGCGTGTCCTCGCCCTGCTTCTTGCGATCCGCCACCCTGGGATCAAGTCCTCTGGCCTTGAGCCACTTTTTCTCGGCCCGCTCGATAAGCTCTCTGTCTTCGTCGTCGTTGAAACCGCCGAAATCATCGGCCGACGAGGCGGCGGCGGTGTCCACTGCACCGTTCGATTCCGAGGCGTGGTCTCTGGCTCTGTCTTTGTCTGCATTGACGGCAACGGAGGACCGTGACTCTCGTCCATCAGCCGCCCCATTGGTCTGTTGTCCCGGCGCATTCTTGGGCGTCGGCCCCGTCTTCTTCAGCTTGCACACGAAAAACCCGTCCACGTTCTCCCGGTGGGGGAAGTACCGTCGCGTCAAGTTCATGCGGTCGTCGAACTTTTTGTTCATGTAGCTTTTGAACCCCTCGGAGCCGAAACTCCCCAATCCGGTGTCGACGATCTTGACGTTGGGTCGCTTGCGCAGGATGTACTGCACAACCCCTTCGTTCTCTTCTACCGTGACCGAGCACGTCGAGTAGACAATGTACCCGCCCGTCTTGCTGGCGTGGTCGGTCGAGTCGATGGCTGCCAGGAGGAGTTGTTTTTGCAGGTGCGGGAGGGCCAGGAAATCGCGTTCGTTTTTGGATGTCTTCACGCTGGGGTCTTTGCCAATGACCCCGGTGCCGGAGCAGGGGGCGTCCAGAAGCACACGGTCGAAGCCACCGAGGATTTTTGGGAAGGCTTTTTGCGCATCGTAGTTGCAGACAATGGTGTTCTTGCATCCAAGCCTGTGGATGTTACCAATGAGACCTTTGGCTCGCTGGCGGTTGGCATCGTTGGCAAACACGACGCCGGTATTTCGCATCAAGGCCGAGATATAGGTCGTCTTTCCACCGGGCGCGGCAGCCATGTCCAGGATTCGTTCATTCGGTTGCGGGGCGAGGGCCATAACGGGAAGGAATGAGGACGCAGCTTGGAGGATATAGTGTCCGGCAAGGTACTCTGGTGTTGCACCCAGCGGTACGGGAGCCTCAAAAACTTGGAGGCCGACCTTGGACCATTTTCCGACGGGCTCCAGGACGACGCCTCGATTAATCAATGCTTGAGCAAGGGTGCGGCGATTGGTCCGGAGGGTGTTTGTACGGAGGACGACGGGGCGGGGGGTTTCGTTGGCCTCGAAAAAGGCGAATGCTTCCGCTGGGGTGAAAAGCGAAAACAGCTTCTCGGCGAGGAAAGGGGTGTAGCCGTAGTATGTACAGATGTCGGCGAGCAGCTGTTCGGTATAGTCGGTTCGCGACTTCGATTTGTCCGCAAGCTGTGAGAAGTTGCCCAAGACTCGTATCGTCTCAGTCATCCTTGTGCGAATGATGGATAGGTCGGGCGCTAGACCTTGTGTGGTGGCCGAGTCGAGCACGCCTTCGTCTTTGGCAATATTTGTTTGGAGGGCCGCGTCTTCCAGCTCCTGCTGAGCTTCTGCATCCTCCTGCGCCTGTTGTTGGTCGAGCTTTCGCGAAAGACCTTCGATGTTGGCAGCGGTGAGCTTGGCTTCGGCATCGGACTCATCCTCATCCTCGGAGAACATGCGGCGCGGTTGTTCTTCCTGATCTGAGTCGAAGACGGAGTCGTCAGAGATTTCCCCGTCGAGATCTGCTTGTGCCAGTTCGTCATCATCTTCATCTTCGTCCTCATCTTCCAGGTCTGACAGCGAGACAGTGTTTAGGGCGACTTCTGTGGCATTGAGATCGCTCTCGTCGCCCTCGTCCTCCTCGTCCCCATCAATTCCCTCGAAGGTACCAGCAGGTATCGGAGGCGGCACAGTAATTTGCGCATCGTTGTTTACCAGTTTGACTTTTTTCTGTGCACCTGTCTTCGCTGACACCGTAGGAGGAGGAGGGTCATTCCGAGAGGCTCGGTCGAGGTTGACGAGTTTCTTTGAGGCATTTGCTGTCAGCTGCGGTTTCTCCTCCGACTTCCTCCTTTTCCGGGCGGGTTTATTGGGCTCTTCGCTGGCAGATTTACGCTTCAGATTGAGGCCCAATTCCTCCAGAGTCGCTGGGGGACCCTGCTTTCTCATGCGGCGTCCCACGCCCATTGCTTTGGAGGGAGGAGGTTTTTCTTTATTTGGGGTTGGGGTGCAGCGAGGTATGAAATTTAGAGAGAAATTTTGGTCACGCACAAATTTAGAGTTAGTCCATCGTGTCCGTCGTATCCGTACAAGGATGTCGTGGCTAGCGGCCCTGACTCGTAATGAATTATACCGAACGTTTGTCTAGCGTGGTGGTAGCGAGGGAGATTCCACCCGATAATTGGTCAGTGGGTGCGCTAGCAAAGTTAGAAGGCTATAAGCGATCCCAAGGGGCGGCCATCCCCGCTCCCGAAAAGAACCCGACCCCTCCATAGACGAGATCCACACCAAGCGCACCAAGGCGACCCTATCTACCAAGTCTGTCCCAGCTGAACGGTAGGCAAATCAAAATTTACACTTCCCTTCAGGCTGGAACGTCCCTTGTTCGGAAGGCTTTGGCCAGTGGACCTGATGCCGGGCAGGGATGGACTGCTTCTCTTGCGGAATGGGTACGGGCCAAACCTTGACTACAGTGTGACGGCCTAGTAATTCCAATTCCTTGAGAAGAGGTGGTGCCACGGCCCTTGTCGGGTCAGGTCCGTGTTCAATTTCTCTATCCCAAACAACCCTCACCTCCCCCCTCCAAAAAAAAAAAAAACAAACCCCCTGGCTACGCGTCGTCCAGAGCGCCTCCAGTATACGTTACCACTATGTCACAGAGGACCGGCCTGTCCCCCTCCAACGTCTCCGAAGCATCGACATCGTCGCAGCCCTCAGTCGCTCAGCCTTCGGGCTCCGGGGACGTCACGTCGCCCGAGGCCAGAAAATATGTCACTCAGGCATGCCAGCCGTGCCGTGCCAAGCGCTCCAAGGTTTGTCCAACCTGTTGATGAAAGGGAAAAAAAAAAGGAGATGAACCGTTGACCCCTGCTTTTCAAGTGTGACAACGCCCATCCCACCTGCTCAGCCTGCGTAGCGCGAGGAACGCTATGTGTCTACTCCGATGTCGACCGTCGGAGAGGCAAGCTGAGGGCGAACGAGACGGACGCTCTGCAAGAGCGAGTCCGGAAGGTCGAAAACATTATCAACGTTCTGACACAGCGATCCGAGGAGGAGGCGTACGACCTGCTGAGGAGGATGAGGACTAACCCACCTCAATCTCTGGGCAGTGAGGGGTTGGCTGAATGGACGCAGGCGCGGGAGAGGGAGGGGGAATTCAATGCTCCGGTAAGCGGGAATGTGCCTTCGTCCACAAGGGGTTTCTCTCTGGGGCCTCTGGGACAGGGTGTTTCTCTTTTTATGGTCAGAGGTGCAGGCTGTGAGCAACAAAGGCTGTCCTTGAAGCTGAAATTTTTGTCCAGGTCCGGCGCGCTAATCTATCATCAGGCTGCACGCGTCTACACGGTCCATGACCTGCCACCGGAACACCTGATACAGTACGGCATCAGAGCATTCTTTAGCAGCACCTATACATTATTCTATATCTACGAAAAACAAGAGATGGACGACCTCCTGACCAGGGTATACCGAACCCACGAAGCCGTCGACAATGCGACCCTATGCGAACTCTGCGCCGTGGCCGCGGTCGGGAGCCACTATGATGGCGACAAGTTGGACGGACCGGTCTTGGACGCCTTGTTCCAGACCGCCACGATTTATATGAGTGACTGTATCGAGTCACAGTTTTTGCGAGGCATGAGAGTGCTTCTATGTCTCGGCATCGTTTCATCTTTGACCAAGCGCACGAGCGCTCGTTTATCGATCGGTAAGGTCTAATCCGGGAATTTCCGGGATCTGGGACGGCTGATATTGGCTGAAGCTTCTGGATTGAGACTGGCTCGCTGGGCGCGTCTGCAGCAGCAAGATATCTTGCCCTGGGTCGCCTACCGGAAAGTCTACCGATCGCTCGTCTTTATGGAATGGTGAGTGAGATCTGTGTTGCTCGTATTTTTTTCCCCCTGGTCCACACTAACCCTCGTATAGCTGGCTTGCTTCGACCCTCGGATACCAGCCCGATCTCAGCCACGACGAGGCCGAGGTGAGTTTGGCTTTGCGACTTTTGACGGAATCTTCCTTATGAAATGGAGAGAAAGAGAGAGAAAAATCAATAGCTAAGCCATTGCCAGCTTGCGAGCCAAGAGATTATCGAAGCCCAACCGACAACCGAGAACCGCATCCAAGCCGAAGTATGTACGATTGGTTTGATGGTGGCAGGGATCATGCTGGATGTCGACAAGCCGACTTCAGCAGTGTTTTCCGTGGTTGAGAAGCATTCAAGGATATTAGGTGAGTGGCAGGAGAAACTACCCGATTCAATGAGACTGGATGCGCTCGTCCCCCCGGGCCACGGGACCGGGCTTCCAGAGCCGCACCGTCATAGCCTTATTCTCGTTCATGTGATGTTTCTGGGAGCCAAGATGATGCTCCAGAGACGACTGCTGGTGGAAATGGCCAACTGTCGAATGCAGAGGCGATGGACGCTGGATGGAACGCCCAGGCAGGGTGAGAGCATTCAAAGAGAGTGTGTCGAGGCTGCGGAACTGTGTGTACATCTCTTCGACGTGCTTGGGTACACGAAACAAAAGCGTCGCACCTGTTGGCTCTGCGTGTAAGTTTTCCCAGCCCCAGATATCCAAAGGAACTGAACATCTGCAGAAACCAGAAAAGATGAGGGCTAATACCTTCTTTTCCCTTGATCCTGCCAGTGGTCAGGCGTTTAGCGCATGCAGCGTTCTCCTCTTCGCGGCCGCTCAGCGACTCTTGTACGATCAGAGAGATAGGGTTCAGGTCTACCTCTCTGGGTCCCAGGAATGCATTAATATGCTCGCCAGTTGCAGTGTTGTGGACCGTGTGGCAAACTCGTTGCTCCAGATCGTCCGCCCGCTGCACCAGGATCTTCAGCGACTAGCTAGTACCGAATCCAGCAGTCGACCGAAGAGCGGAATCTACGATCTACTCGAAAATCCACACGCGGATGCTGCCACCAGTCCACCCACCACGGCAGGCATGCGAGGGTGGTCCCCAGGAGCCCAGCAATACCAAGGCATTACCGGCGAACCCAGTGCGTTGCCGCCGCCGATCCGCACAGCCGCTATACCGGCCATGCAGCATGCGATTGAAGTTCTGGGAAATCCGTTTGGCCTTCCCAGGAGGCTGAACACCGATTCGTTCGCCGCCGGGGACCCTATCGCTCCGAGCTGGAGCTGACGAACTGCATATCGCAGCGACTCCTGGCAGGGTTCATTGGTAAGAGGACTGTACCCAGAGAGGTAGTATGAGCAGTACGGTATGGATGGAATGATGTGCCTCGTTTGTTACCGAAGTATAAGTTTGGTGGCTCGAATCGAGGTACCTCAGGCGTCGCATAGACGCACTATATATTGAGGAGGAATATGGTACCTAAAGCGCTACTCGATTGATGAGGGAGTGATGTGATTGGTCCGTGGATGCATACATGGATGTATAGCTAGAAGGATAGATGACTTGATGACAGACAGATAGACAGATAGACAGATATGGTGCTGAGTGGTTGATGGACTGATGGGTCGATGAATGGCTGTATGGAAGAACAAAAGGATCGGTGACGACCACGGGAATAGAAGGACAAATGGATGATTGATGACTGGATCGATGAGTCGATGCAGAGTATATCAGGTGGAACAATGGACAAGCAGAGGAACGGACGAGTCGACAATGGACTGGTTGACAGAACGATGGCGACAATGATGGATGGACCTGGAGGGTGTACAGCAAGATGGATCGATGGATAGCAGTACGTTGGGTCCGATTCCAACAGAATGGGTAGACTGATGGAGGATATGATGGGATAGGTAAAGAGGAGGTTGACTTGGCTCATCGATGTCCAGGACGGTAGTGATATGGAGGATCTGATGCAGGACGGACCGATAGAGGAGATGATGGATGGATGATGAACGGCTAGTAGGATGGGTGACTTGATGGAAGGATAGGAGGACGGATGATCTGATGGATTGCTTGATTGAATGGCTGCTATGAGGAAGATGGAGTATCCCAGTGCTGGATGAGAGTTGTAGAGAGGCAGACAGTAACCGTATATGATGACAGTAGACGGTCATCTCTCCATTAGACCGATCATCTCAATAACGCTTCCGGCAGAAAAATGCAAATGTCCCTGGCCTCAAATTATTAACTTTCTTCTCTTTCGTCGCTATCCTCCAGGCCTCGTGCCAAAGGATGCTCTCATTCCTCCACCTGATCCGAAATCTTGTGCTATTGTCGATCAGACTGGGTATCCAACCCTTCATTCTGTCTACTGTGTCCTCAAAGTGTGGGAGAGTTGGTTACTGGCCGTTTACAGGCCCCACGAGGGGTGCCGGAGAGTTGGGCCCAGAGCTCTTCTTCATCTTCAGCGTCAGTGGGAACGGGTAGTCATCAGGTTCCTCTTCCTCACTATGATATTGGTTAGTCCATGTTCAAGACATATCAAGGCAGCCGACTTACGGCAACCTCCATGCGATGTAATCTTCCGTGCTTAGACCCTCTTTGCCCTCTTGCAATGAAGCGAAATCACCTGGCGTCATCATACCAGTTCGATCCCGAGGCGATCCTGGCACAGAGAGCGGTCGAGAGATCTTCTGTTCAGTGCCGCCGATGATATCATCGAACTCGTCGGCGTCCGTGAAGGAAGCAGGATATGCGCGGCGTAAGGCAAGCTGTCGAGCCTTGACATATTCCATGCCCATTCGTTTCCAGTCCAGAAGATCGCTGAGGCGTTCGGTGCGATTTCGCTGATTAATTCGTTGCCTCCGGGATTTATTGGCGAATTCGAACATGTAATCGGTCAGTTGATTGACTGATTCGTCCACACCCTTGGTACGACGATCTACAATGTAGATCCCGTAGTCCGAGGAGTTCTCGATAAGCTCCTGGATCAAATATTAGCCGCAGTCGCCGATAAGTAGAGCCACATATTCGAGTAGTTGAGTCTGTAACGATGTTCCTACTTTTCCTGAGCACTTACCTCCATATAACAACCGAAGCCAGAGAGGTTAGTGGTAATGGACGGCACTCCCATGACTGTACATTCCGCCTGTTGAACAATTAGCGTCGATTCCTTACAAGTATATGAGCTAATACTTACAGGTGTATAACCCCAAGGTTCGTAATAGGAAGCAAAGACGCCGAGGTGAGTACCTCGAACAAAGTCGTCATAGTCCAGGGACAAGACTGGGTTCGCAGAGTTCAAGAACTCTGGATGGAAGACGACTTTGACACGGTCGTGTGTGTTATTGAAGAGTTGGACGCGGCGCAGTTGATTCAGGACTGGATCCTCAGAATCATTAACCATGTTGTGGGTGACAATGGGCGGAAGACCGTGGCGTTTCATGGCAAAGAGTCGCCGTCTAAGCAAAACCCGATCAGCTGGAGTGATGAGCTCCTTGTCGTCAGGCATTGGATCTCCCTCCTTCCAGTGAACAGCCCTTTCGAACAACCTTCGACCAATACCATGCTGAATGTTGGAAACAGTGTCGGCCAAAGACTTTGTCACAGCTTGACCTTTGAGCGACTCGACCGAGAGGGATGTTGTCTGCGCTGGCATGATCAAAAATGCCACAATTGTTGTCTTGCTGCCTGCGCTCTGCATGCGATAGTTCAGTCTCGCCAGCGATTCAATGAACATATCCACACCCTTATTCCGATATTCGTATCGACCCGCAGTGAAGTAGTAAAGCGTGTTCTCCAGGTCAAAGTCCAGACAGCCATAGAAGTGTCCCCGTACGAACTCGTGGATCTTTTCTTTCTGTACCGAGTGGAGGTTTTGGAACTCATGGACAGCGGAGAATTTCTTAACATTCAGGCCATTGGGGAGGACCCCGTCAGGTTTCCGCTTCAACAGATGCTCGCTCTCAAAGGCGGTGATGTGGGAAACAGTCGTGAAGACGTCGGCAGAGTGAGCCGATGCTCGTTCAATGCAGTATCGGTGGTAGATTCCACGTTTTCCTGCCTCTGCATCCACATCAAAGAATTGTAGGTTGTTGTAAAAGTCGACTGAGCCGGCGCAGAGGTATCGACCGAGGAGGGTGGCGTGTGTGGTGAAGATGGTGGTCAAGTCCATCTGACGTTTCTTGGTCAATGGTAGGGCGACCCCGGCGAGCCATTCGTGGAAATGGGCAATGACTGCGCGGTCAGTCTCGCGAGCGATAAACTGGATCATCGTCAGCGATAGCATAGATCAGCGCCATCTCAAGCACTTACTTCACCCAAAAACCATGCCACCAAATATCCAAACACGATGGCTTCATTTGTCTCATGATCTCCGGCAGGAGAAGGGATCCCAGCGGCGGACCACAGGTCACCTTTCCATTCATCCAACCACCGGTAACCAGTCCCAGTATTGATGAGGAGCACCCTCGGAGCGCCTTCGATAAGCCAACGGCCGTACATGAGCTCAATCCCGCGTTCCTGCATAGATGAAATGGTATCTCGAAGAGGGCCCGGTGGCGGATCCAGGGTTTCAACTTCAACTGCGGCCTGCAACGATTAGCTCATGCCTGCATTCAGTTTTCGTCCTGCTTACCGAGTTCTTGTTGAGAGGACCGATGAGCGTATACCGGTCGCCATATTCTGCTGTTGTCACGGGCGCTTTGGACTTGAGCACTGAGTAGATGCCACCCACTGGTCTGAATTAGCACATGCGTCAGGTAAACAGATTGACTGGTGATCGTACCTCGATTGGCAACCTCCGTTGCAACTTCGAAGAGCAGATGGTTTTTGATATCCCTCTTCTTTTCCGTTTCGCCGTTCATGTTGCCGGTCCTGTTTCGTGTGCCTTTGTTGACAGAGCAAGGTCCGTGGTGTTTATCGATTGGCCGGAATATGCAGACGAGAGCTTACCCCACAGCCTGCGGAAGCTTGCAGGTAGGATTCACAGCTTAACGATAGGAGGGTGAGAGGTCGAAAGGTGAAGGTGAGGGGTTGCCGAGCTCTAGTGATAAGCTCGAGTCAACAATTCCCGCTGGCAAGAAGAAATACAGGAGATGGCAATTCGTGAATGGCGTTACGAAGGCAACTGTTGAAAAGAAATTGAGGCAGGCTGGGACGATGGCACCACAGCAAGCGATCTCTGGGGGCAGGGCGTGTGTGGATGAAGGTAGGGAAGCTCCACTGCAAGACAAGGGAAGCAAAAAGATCCAGTTCGTGGCTTTTTATCGAAACTGAAATTCCAGCAACAGTACAGCTTTTCTGAAGTTTATTCCAGGTGACAGCAGGGATAGAAATCCAATGTGAGGACAACAAAGGTTGGATAGAAAATTATGCTGCTTGTCACTTTCAAGAGATGGGATAATGGTAGGAACATGACGGCATTGAGGAGAATCATACGACTGTTACTTTTTGAACGGTGGGTTGAAGCTCTCTTTGGCATGGCGACCGCACCTGGCACCTGTGGGAAATGCACAATGACGGGTTGCACGTCATTTAGGGTTACGGCCTCCCGGATTGGGCCTAGCAAGGCCTAGATAGCCCAGCTGTTAGACCCAAAGCCGGGGCTATCGAGGCCCAGCAGTACCACTGACTTCCCTGGCCACATCTGTGGGCACCCACTCGATGCCCACTAATCCACTCTCCAGCCCCGATGCCGCCTCTCATTGAGGGAAATTGCTCCCCCCAACCTTCTTGCAGGAGCCTTTTGCCCCGCATTCTGTCTCGCCTCCTCGCCTGCGAGGCCCATTCTTTCTCAAACACCCCAATACCTTGGAAAAAATGTGAGATGGTTGTGTTGCCATGCTGACGGATTTGCTCTACTCGGCACAATAGCTCCAATCATATCGCTCACCTTCTCGGTTGCATCTCCGCCCAAAGAACCTCAGTCTTCAAGTTTCCCAGCACATCTCGGAGGATTGAAGCGATCGTTCGATGCGGACGAGATGTTACGCTGCCCTCTATGACAGCAACCCTTTTGTCCGTGAACACCGAGTATCATGGCGGAGAGGAGCTTCTCACGATGGACACTAATCTGGTGCTTGATGCTAGCGTCGTGGGATAGCATTGCTAATAGCTTGAAGCAGCAACCCATTGCGCAGTCTGCCAGAAAGCCGAACCTCATCTTCATTTTGACCGATGACCAAGACCTCCATATGGGCTCCCTCTCGTATATGCCCCTTCTAAAACAGCACATGGGTGACCATGGGACTTCCTTCCGAAGACATTACTGCACAGTGGCTTTGTGTTGTCCATCCAGAGTCAGCATGTGGACTGGCAAGGCTGCCCATAACACCAATGTAACCGACTTACATCCTCCCTGGGGTCAATACTGTCCATTCTCGTCTTTGACGTCGCGCACAAGACTCACCAAAAGCAGGTGGATATCCAAAGTTTGTCAGTCAGGGCTTCAACGACGCATACTTGCCTATTTGGCTTCAGGAAGCTGGTTATGATACCTATTATGTGGGCAAGCTGTTCAATGCTCAGAGCACGTCCAACTACGACAAGCCGCACGCAGCAGGATGGACTGGTTCCGATTTCCTACTTGACCCCTACACGTACGAGTATTACAATGCCATTTTTCAAAGGAACAAGGATCCTCCTACAAGCTATCAAGGTGAATACTCCACGGATGTGATGGCGCAGAAGGCATTTGGCTTTCTCGACGATGCAATTGAAGCGGATCGACCCTTTTTCCTCACCATCGCGCCAACAGCTCCGCACAGTAATGTCCATTTCAACAACAACACGGCAGAGCAATCTATGCCTCGACCTGCCCCGCGCCACAGAAGTCTCTTCCAGGACACAAGAGTCCCTCGAACTCCCAACTTCAACCCTGATGTGTCGAGCGGTGCTTCCTGGATCCTCACCTTAGCCAAGCAGAATCAATCGAACCTCGATTACAACGATGAGTGGTACCGCAACCGCCTCCGTGCACTGCAGGCTGTGGACGAAATGATTGGTGGCGTTGTGGACCGCTTGGAACGAGCTCACATGTTGCAGAATACCTATCTTTTCTTCTCGACTGACAATGGCTATAGCATCGGACAACATCGAAGGCAGCCCGGGAAGCAATGTGCATTTGAGGAAGACATAAATATTCCGTTGATCGTACGAGGACCTGGTGTGCCGGAGGGCCACCTTACGGAAATCGTCACATCGCACATCGACCTGGCGCCCACATTTCTGAGTCTCGCAGGTGTTGCGGATGCACAGATAGCACAATACGAACTGGATGGCAGTGTGATACCGTTCCACCTATTGGACTCGCTGCATTCGGAGCAAACATGGCCTCAAGAGCACGTCAACGTAGAAATGTGGGGGATCATCATGTCGGAGGGAGAACACGGCTTCGTCCTCTATCCCAATCATACCTACAAGGCACTCCGGGTCATTGGTGACGGCTATGATCTACTCTATACCGTGTGGTGTAGCAACGAGCATGAGCTGTACGACATGACTAAAGATCCGTGGCAAATGGACAATATCTACGTTGAAAGAACCAGATCTGATAATCTGGCTATGCCTGCTGCAGGATTCAATGACCGACCGTCTTCTGCCGCATCACTTGCAAGTACCGAACAAATCCTCTCGAGTATTAACGTCACCACCACACTATCGCACCTCTTGTCCCGCCTCGATGCTCTTCTCCTGGTACTCAAAACTTGCCAAATGGACGAGTGTCGATACCCATGGTCGGCCCTCCATCCAGCCGGCAGCGTGCACAGCCTCCGCGACGCGTTGGATTCGCGATTCGACGAATTCTATCGCACGAGGCCGAAAGTGCAGTATGAGCGGTGTGAAAGGGGATACTTCCCTGCCAGTGAAGGGGCGATGTGGGATGGAAGTATGTCCTTTAGATCAATGGAGCACGAAGTGTGGATCGATCCGTGATGAAGGAGGACGATTAATGACTGCACTTTCTAACCAGCGTCTCTTCGTCTCGAGAACTCCCATCTATCCATCGAAGCCTTTCTGAGTCATCACGCGCCGAAATCATTTGCTCCTCTTATAGATCTTTGCCAGGTATGCATCAAACACACCTTTCTTCAGGCCCTCGCTCTCATCCACGGCCGCGATCAATCCACGCAGCTCTCCAACACGCTTCTCCTCGTAGTCTTGATATCTCTTCTCTAGTTGTAGCTCGTTGTACAACTCCTTCACCTTTGCCTCCTTTGCATCATCCTTCTGCCCATAATTCTCGTCCAGCAGCTTTCTTTGCTCCGGTGTGCAGATCAGCAGTGCTTGATTGACCAACCACCCACACTTGTTATCCTTGATGTCTGTGCCAATCTTGCCGATGACCGAGGGATCCCCAAACGCGTCCAGATAGTCGTCTTGGACTTGGAAGTATTCGCCTAGTGGGATGAGAATGTCGTGTGCTTGTTTCAAGTTCTTGGGAGTGGCGAGACCAAGGTAGTGCAGGGCCAAAGCCACGGGGAGGTAGAAGGAGTAGTACGCGGTCTTGTAGATGACGATGAAGGTGTACTTGGTCATGGAGAAGTTACTCAGATCAACCTGGTCTTCTGGTGCAGTGATCAGATCGCACAACTGGCCCAATTCCGTCTGCCAAGTGACTTCGTGAAAGAGCTCGACCAGGTCAATATAGGCGGCGTGGCTGCGGAAGTGTTTCTTCAGAATGAGGTAGATAGAGGACTCGAGCATGAAGGCATCGTTGATGGCGATCATTCCCACCCCTGGATGGCGGTACCAGCACGGTTCTCCGCGACGGGTTATGCTGGCGTCCATGATATCGTCGCTCACGAGGAAGAATGCTTGCAGCAACTCGGTGAGCCATCCCAGGGTTGCGAGGTCTTTGAATTCCTGAGGGGACAAGGGCCTCCCGAGGAGCTGGATGGCAGTGTCTGGTACTGACATGCCTCTGTTCAGCTTCCCCGTGGGGGTGTTCACATTGAGAGACTGGTAGGAGGAATTAGCCCTGAGAGCGCGCCAATGCGAGGAATTCGGTGTAGGTAGGTACCTTTTCGAACCATTGCAAAGCATTTGCTGGAAGATTGAACTTGCGACATTCCCCCAGCAGATCCTCGACCAGCGAGGGAAAGACCTTTTCGAACTCTGCTCGCGTTGTCTTCGTCGCCATTTTGAGCGGCCGACTTGATTTTTTGGTTTGATCGACAAGTCGGTGGGAGGAGGGGGAACAAAGAACTTTTTGGAGAAGCGGCCCTGGCGAGAACGGAGGCGACTTCACCGAGTGGCGCCGCCAAGTTGTGGCTCGTCAGGAACAGGAAGCGCAGTCTCCCCGCAAGTCAGCCTAGGTGATACTCGTATATTCCCAGTCATCCATTTTTTATTCTGGTGTTCACATCTCACCCTCGTCGCACTCATGGCTTCGCGGCCCTCGACTCCCACACCCCAGGCTGCGGCCGGGCCAAAGTCCCCGCTGACCCCAGAACAAGTGAGGCGCCTAGAGATAAATCGCCTGAAAGCAAAGGCGTTGCGTGAACAACGAGAGGCGGAGGCCGCAGCCACAGCGAGTCTTAATCGATCAGATGCTCCTACCAGCGCAGGCCAGAAGCGCTCCTTTGCCACTTTCGCTCAGAGTTCTGTACCTCCCACAAGCCGCGATGCCAGAAACGAGGTCGACAATCGTCCTCTCGAGGCCATCCAACCTGCGCGCAACTTTGCCAAGTACGTCGACTATGATTTCAGTAAGATGGCAGACACAAAGGGTGGGTTTTTGACTGCAGAAGATGATCCGTACAACAAGGCGATGCACGCCGATGAAAAGGATCAAAAGCCCTCACATATGACTCAAAAGGAATGGGAAAGACAACAGCTGCTGAAGTCGCTACGGAATCGACAGGCGGGACCTTTCGAACCAGGTATCAGTGCAATCCCTGACCAGACTACAAGGTCATGTCGAGAATGCGGAACTCTGGAGGTGGACTGGAAATGGCTCGATGTCTTCCATCTTGCTGTATGCAACGCTTGCAAGGAGAAGTTCCCAGAGAAATACAGCCTGCTCACCAAAACGGAGGCGAAAGAGGATTATCTTCTTACAGATCCAGAGTTGAAAGACGAAGCCCTTCTCCCGCATCTCGAAAGACCTAACCCTCACAAATCTACATGGCACAATATGTTTTTGTATCTGCGCTGTCAGGTGGAGGAATACGCATTTTCGGACAAGAGATGGGGTTCTGCAGAAGCTTTGGATGCAGAGTTTGAGAAGAGGGAGACGGAGAAGAAGAGAAGGAAAGAGAACAAGTTCAAGTCAAAGCTGGCTGACTTGAAGAAGAGGACAAGAGTCGAGGCATATCAGAGGAGCAAGAAAGGCGGCGGTGGAGGAAATTTTGGGGACGACATGAGCGGTGGCAAACACGTTCACGAATTCGGTCGACCGATTGACAATCCGGAGACTGGATTCCCTGTCAAGACATGCATGACATGCGGACTGGAAGTCGAAGAACTGGAGTTGTAAGATAGCAATAAATATGATACCCCTTAGTAAATGAAATTCGAAGACTCGACGAGAGATGTGCAATAATTTGATCTATATGCCTTTGTATTTTCAAGGCCTAGTAAAATGGCGCCCTGAGAACATATCTCTTCCTCGAGTGAGTCTATTTCTGGAAAACCGAGCGAAGGGATTCGCAGAGGCAAACTGTAAGCCCTGGCTGGTACTGATATTTGGCAGTAGTGAGGAGCAAGCGATGATAGGTGGAAGTTTTCTTTAGTCGCAGTCAACCGCCGCGTTGGCGCTAGGTCGGGGCTGGCTGCAAGCCGTTCCCAAACCCGGGGAGGGAAGTTGCTGCAACTGCTGCTCGCGCTTCTAACCACCAGGAGACAACCTGAACCATCAACCAGCTCGACTGTCCTTCACCCTGCCAGCCGTCCACCCTTTTCCATTCCTACCGAGTCTGTTTTCGTCCGCGTCCCTCAGCGTCTGCATCACAGATTTCTCGTCCCCTTTACCACCACGAGTTCTCCGCATCGACTGAAATTATCCCGACCGAAGCTAGCGTGACCCTTTCCCAATCTCACAGTCCACCAACATGGCTAGATGAGAGAGGCACACGCATCCGAGCGCCAGAAAGCGCATAATGGCGTGGCAGCCCGGGGCTGGAGGGGGCGGCGTAGGAGGAATGGCCGGCGGAGAAGCGAACGGTGTTCAAGCGTACACGCTACAAGGTAGATAACTTTGTCTCGACGAGCCTGGGTCAAGTGCTGACAGCTGCGACCAGGTGTTATGCGATTTTTACAGACAGAATGGCACCGCCATGAACGAGACCGAAATGCCTGGGAAATCGAACGCGAAGAGATGAAGAACAGGATAGCCATACTCGAAGGAGAGACCAGAACGAGCAAAGGCATGCGGGTTTCCCTGGAACGACATGTTAAATTGCTGGAATCAGCACTTAAAAAAGAGCGCGAGAAGGTCAAACATGCTGCGAAAGGTGAAACAGTCGACCATTCCAAGGATGCCAAAGAACTGGCACGGGAAGAATTAAAGGCCATCAACAACGGTATGCTATCTGGCGCATGTTCTGTCTACTGTTATTAACTCAACGCAGATTTGCACGTCAAAGGAATCAGCCAGTTCGACGCCGAAATTGATCCTGAGAACCCACTAGGTCAGGGAATCCGACAAGAAAAAGAACGTGACAAGTCCAGAAGCTTCCTCTCAAAATGTTCGTCAGAAATCACGTACCACGTCCTACCTACAGCCCACGTACCTCCTGATGTAAACGACCTTGCGACCTCGACCAACGGCAACCATGTCTTCCAAGGCCGGCAACCTACGCAACAAGAGCTCCAAGAAGCATATCTACAGTTACAACAAGTCAAACAGCAGCATCGCAACGTGGCCATGGTCCGAGAAAACGCTTCTCAACCACCGACGCAGTTCGCCGAACCTTCGCCGCTGAGCCGGACGAGTACGCAGATCAACACTTCAGAACTCCAGCCCGGTACAGCTGACAGGAGATTACCTGAACATATCATCCAATCTGTTCCCGTGGTGGACCCCAGGAAAAACTTCTACAATGAGCAAATTCCGGTCATCGAGGATCAAGTGGAGTCGATAACGCACAGTTTCGACGCCTATGGACAAGAAATTCCTTTGAAAGAGCCAGTAGAGATACGGGCAATGGACGAACCGAAGCAAGAAATGGCCGACGCGTGGGATTTCGATGATGGACCAGCCCCTTCCGAAAAGACGTCTGAAGTAGCTTCGCCACACAGACCAGACACCGAAATTTTCCCCAGCGCCAACATGATTCCTTCCAAGTCTCCACCCCGAGCACCAGGTTCCTATCGTCGAAAGAGCTCGGGGGCAAGACGACGGAGCGAAGGCAGCAATGATGCGCGTGAATTAGCAGTCAAGTCAGATGCCTCACAGTTCAAAGTTAGGTTTGCTATGAGGGGCCATCTGGATGTCGTGCGCTCCGTCATTTTCACGGGCGGCGGCAGCCCATCTGAACCCGAATTCTGCACGGCCAGCGACGATGGTGGAGTCAAGAGATGGCACATTCCGGCGTCTTATGGCCACAACGTTTCTCTTGGGGATGATTTGGACAGAATTGCTCATTTCACCCACCGAGGACATATCGGAGCCGTCTGTTCGTTGGCGGCATGTCCAGCTTCACCGAATTTCTCCAGCGGTGGCCGGGCAGTCGGAGATGGTTGGATCTTCTCTGGTGGCGAAGATGCCACCGTCAAGGTCTGGGAACGTGGTCGAGTCGATGCAAAGGCCACCTTGGAAGGCCACAAAGATGCCGTCTGGGCATTATGCTGTCTCCCGGGGTCAACAGGCACAATTCTCGGGGATCGATGCTCACAGTTCGGTGGACCGGATCGTGTCCTCCTCGTGGCTGGTGGCGCCGACGGCACCATTCTGATCTGGGCTGTCAGTACTCCGCCACAATTGACCTCGCCGCAAGCCAGTAGTCGATCGGCCAGAGGGAGTAGAAGAGCCAACTCGATATCTGCCGGCTCGAATTTCCCCAGCTCACCTCAACCGAGTATCGCCAGCACGACTCCTTTCAACTACAGTTTGGTGCATCGCATAGAACGGGCAGATAAACCGGCGCCTACATCAATTTCGCCATTGGGCGCGCATGGTGAAAATTTTGTTGTTGGTTATACGGACGCGAGTGTCCTCGTGTTTGACACGCGGACAGGGGAAGAGATTGTCGGAATGGCCAGCCAAGAGACTTACGATGGTACGCCAAACACGGGCATCAACGCAGTTGTTGCCAGCAGCGCGGGCTTCGACACAAGGGACTCGGTCGCACCTGGTCGACGTGGATCGATGGGTGAAGAAGACGTGGTCCACGGCGCAACCGGTTCAGAAGGCGGTGTTGAAGGGGTCGTGATTGCTGGTTATGAGGATCGGTATATTCGTTTCTTTGATGCAAACAGTGGTACGTTATCTTTTTGCACTGAATGACCCCCACGAAGCTGACTTCTCTTCTCCCAGGGCAATGCACATACACCATGCTCGCACATCCATCGGCGATTTCTTCCTTGTCATTAAGTCCGGACGGCAAAGAATTGGTATCAGGGGGTCACGATGCAAGTTTACGGTTTTGGTCACTCGAGAAACGCAGCTGTACACAAGAGATCTCGAGCCATCGCATTATGAGAGGGGAAGGAGTATGTGGTGTCGTGTGGAGTCCTGATGGAAGATGGGTCATCAGCTGTGGTGGAGATGGCGCTGTGAAGGTGTTTTCGAGAAGTTGATGTTGATATGATGACGGCGATCATGGAGACTTGTGATCTGTATCCATTTTGAAGATAATGAAACCTGCCACAACTCCTCTCAAGTGTTCTTGCCTGCGCGTGCTGATGATCAGTAAGTATGGGGCTCCAAGTTGGACTGTGATATGGTGGGGTGGATGAATTCTAGTTCCTCTTGCCTTGTTTCACACCGATCTCGCTTCTGTCGGTTATCTCGGATCTCCTCTTGTGTTACTCTGCTGGAGGAGGACCCTAGGGGATTGGGTGTTGCAAGCCTCGTCGCAACGTGAGCAACTACTAGTACTCCTACTAACTAGTAGTAAGTAGTAATCCAGGACTCCGTCCGATTTTCTCCCAGCAACTTGAACTTGATGGCCGTCAAGAGCAGCAGTTTTTCGTTGACAGCATCCCTCCTCAGGAGTACTTACTTAGTACTATGTAGTATCCTCTTCGAATCCTTCCTTGTCAAGCAGATCATGTACCGAAATGCGAAGAAAAGAAAGACCAGAGGGAATGGGAGAGGCGCGACGCTCGCGAGATCTTGTCGCAAGAACTTGAAGTTACTAGTACCTACTAAGAATCGAGTCTGGTGGGCTGCTGAGACCCATGGTATCTGTCTGGTCTTGAGATCGAACAGTGCTGTGGCGGAGAGAGTCCTGTTACCGCTATGATGGAACTTGCACCTCAGTCTCGCCGCTCTCTCGTGCTGATACAACTTGAAGTTAGAACCTTTGCGTTGCTGGCTGTGCTCGTCAGTTAGTCCCGTCGTGTCGTAGTATTGAGCAACGTCTTGCAACCACGAGATACCAAGATGAGGACAATGTCTAGTCAAGCCAGGAGCACCCTGGGTTCGACAGAGCTTGTCATTTTGCTTTAGTAGAGTCTGAGGCTGGACCGACAGAGAGCTCGTCTGGTATAGATTACTTTCTCCTCTCAACACAACTGCCGTGGCGTATGTCGGGAAGATATCGCTCGTGAGGATAGATAGTACAAGACAGGGGAGAGACTTTCCACATACTCATCATAATTACATACTTGGTATTAGTACACAACTATGAGCGACTAGATAAGAAAGCAGGAGGAGCCTGCTCCTTGTATCCTGCTTTCTACGACCACTAGAGAGTACTACTTAGTACTTGCTCCTTTTGGCGGAGGTGAAGGTCACGTGAATGCCAGAAGCAGCTTGCGGGCAGTGACAGACCCGCTCTCAAAAAAGCAGCTAAGCTAAATTAGGAAGTTTGGGTGACTCGTTTACGGTGACGACAAATGCATGGTCAAGGGCTCTTTGCTGTTACTTACAACAGAACTACAGCTTGGAGTTACATCAACAGGGAGAGCGCGCGGTGGCATAGCGACACCAGTCCTGAGAGTACCTCCACCTTGTTCGTGGACAACTGGACATGAACATTATCGTCTGCGTACTTTCTGAATGGACCGAGACTAGCCTGGTCAATTGAAAACCCAATTGACTTTGCGAGAGGGTCTGCAGTGATATGAATTCGATCTGATCGTGTGCATAACAGAGGGGTGTCACCTAGTACTATTATTCGCCTGTGCTCACCAGCGTCTTTGAAGTTCTTCACAAGCACAAACAGCCCTTAACCAGTGACTACTTGCACCCAGTGACCCCAGTCATGGATCAAACGACCACAGCATACGTCGTCACCAGCCGACAAACAGCCTCGTTTACACCTCTACCTCCAGGCCCCTTAAATATCTCTGAACCTCTCTGCTCCTTGTCGACCTTTTCTTCTCTCCATACAATACAACTTCATCAAAGCCTTCCAACCTCCATATACCAACAATACCAAGATCCAACTTCAAAAAACTCCAACCGCAAACTTCGCAACATCCGCAATGGCAACCTACTCAGGTAAGCTTGCTCCTACTCCAGTTGCAGTTGTCAGCTACTAAATGCTAACTCGAATTGAAACAGGAACCAACTTGACCATGGTCGACTTCGCCATGCCACCACCCAACAAGCCTCCCCCCAAGCCATCGAGCGAACCCAACATTCCCGGAGTCAGCTAAATGTCTCCTCAACCTCGCTCGACACCACTGCAATCAATCGTTCCGAGGACTCTGCTCTCGATCTCCTGAACGGGAGGGGGGATGACTTGGACCAGGATTGGAGGATCGGGCCAAAGAAATGTTACAAGTAAATAGAATTCTTCAGAAGCAATGACATGGAAACACCAGCATCAGGGTGTTTTGAGCTGGCGATAGGGTCCTAGCTTGGTTGGTCGGAAGTGGCTATGAGCAACAATCAATCTTCAGCTGGTTCATAGGTCCACTTACCAATCAGAGCAGACATACTATCATGAAATGACTCTCTCCTTCTCCTTTCTGTCTGCCGATCGATAGTCTCACAACTGCTATCCAGGATGTACTACTAGTACACTAGTAGTAATAGTACTCCTTTGTTTGATACTACTTTGCTTTAATACTACTCTGATGCCGCTCTGATGGCGTGCGGTTTCAATACTGCGTTTGATACATTTCGGATGACGCAGTATTGAAACAGCATCAGAGCGCCATCAGAACTAGTATTATGTTGTAGAGTGTCACTAGTAATATGTATGTACCTACTTCTGCTAGTAATCACTTCCCGCGATCGCCAAGCGTCCGAAACAAATCGCTGTGGAGATGGCCGCCTCGACAATCTCCAAAATACCAAGTAGTAAATCTGGGGAGCCGAGGCTCTGGGATTGACCTATTATAACTACTACTACTAGCCATCAACAGTACATCAGCACCAAGTGTCTGTACCTATCCTCTCACATCTATGACACAGAACTAGGAAGTACTACTAGTACTTGGAGTAAGACTGGATTGGCTGGACACTTCAAAGATGGGACCAGATTGGACAGATTTCCTCGCATACATCACTTCGACTCCAGTCCCACCCGACGAGATTGAACACTTCCGAACGACATGGGCGAGAAAATACATTGACGATCCGGCATACAAGCCCGTCGTGACCTTCTCTCGCATACCAAAGTCCGAAGGGGTCGACACGTTCTTTGCAAAGACCATCCGATCGCCTAGCACCGTCCCGAATGCGTTGACCTTGATCCGCAAAAATTTTGTCACTCCGCCGGAAGAAGCGCAGTCGACGGCGAAGGGGCACCGAGATGACGCTGCGCCGCAGCCACCGCCAGACTGTATCTGGCTGCTCGACCTGCGCTCCGACCTCAACGGCTTCAAGGACACCACGCACGGCGGCGTGCTCTGCGCGCTCATGGACGAGGCCCTCAGCATCTGCGTCGAAATCCACCGCCAGCAGACCATGGGCATGCGCTCGAACTTGTACACCGCCTACCTCACCACCAACTACCGCGCACCCGTCATCAACCCGTGCACCGTGGTGATCAAGACGCGGCTCGAGCGGCGCGAGGGGCGCAAGTGGTTCTTGGTTGGGTCTCTCGAGGATGAGCAGGGGAGGGTCTTGACTGAGGCGAATGGTCTCTGGATCGCGGCCAAGGAGAAGTTGTGATTGATGGAGGAAGCCTTTATGCTTTGGTGGGCGGGTTTGGCTACCAGTATATCACTACTATACATACCATCAAAACTTAGTATCTACCTCCTCCAGACGATATATATATATATATATATATATCCAGACGGATCACTTCAACTAAAGACACCCACACACAAACACTTACCTAAATTTCCTAAAGACAGCGGATAAAAGAAACAGATTCGATTGACCTTATAATATCGCCTCCTTGGATGTGTGGGTCTTTTAGCTTTGGTGTGGGAGAATCATCAATCTACGTCGTACATGAACCCGGGGTCTCCATTCATACTACTCGTACATGCTGCGGGGACTGTAGTACACTTCGGAATGGTTCTGTTGAATCAAATTCCGATGTACTCGAGCTTTACCTAGCTCAGCTGGGTTCGGTGACCTTGAGATCGACCGGTCTTATAAAGAACATTGGGCATGAAGTTGCTCAGCGAATTAGCAAGACGAGGAAGATTTTGTACTAGTCGTCAAAGTACGGTCGTCAACAGACTACGTGTACATTCTTCCGACTGTAGCTAAAAAACCGGTAATTAGAAACGAGTCGCTGAAACTCATTTGCAGAGCGCACTCAGTGCAGTTCTCCCGCCAGAGTCTTTTCTGAGAAAGATGTTTCTGTGCTGACAAGTGTTGACAATAGCATACAAAGCCAGTCAGCCCATCGTATAGTGACTAACACTCACGCATTGAAAGATTCATACATACTAGCTTATCCATCAAAGATGAATGATCTCAAAGGCCTTGTATGTTATTCTTCCTGCCCTGACATAGTAGATTGTGATTGGTCGCTGCGGTGGAAAGAATCCCTCACAGCGTGAAGAAGCATAGACACAGTAACTGACCATGTTTTGGCTTCTATAGGTCGCAATCGTGACAGGCTGTTCTTCAGGAATCGGCCTGGCAAGCTCACAACATTTTACCGAACTGGGAGCTTCGGTCTTTGGCGTTGACCTCAACCAGCCCCCGGAGGCTCTTGCAGCGCAGACCAATTTTGCTTTTGGCTCTTTCGACCTCCTCGAGCCGTCGGCACCTCAGGATATCGTCGAAGCGTGCGTCAAGAGGTTTGGCCGAGTCGACATCTTGCTCAACATTGCCGGTGCTCGAGACAATTTTGCAGGGCTGGAGAAGGTGGATCCCGAGACCTGGAACCGTGTCATGACAGTCAACGTGACGGTGCCTGCATTGCTGTCCAAATATGCCGTGGCTGAGTTCAAGAAGCAAAAGAGTCCGGGGAGTATTGTCAATGTGTCGAGCAAGGCTGGCTTGAGCGGCGCCATAGCGGGAACAGCATATACTGCTAGCAAACATGCAATTGTATGTCTCACGCGTCTTCACGAGTCTCACTTTGTCGCTCACAACAACAATGTTTGCAGATCGGTCTGACCAAGAACGTCGCATGGCGCTATCGCAACGATGGCATCAGATGCAATGCCATCTGTCCGGGCGGTGAGAAAGAAGCCTTGATCCTTTCCCAAGTCCGCGTTCGATGCCTAACCAAAACGGTCTTCTTCTAGGCTTTCTCACGGGTGGTACTCAGGCGATTGATCCGGAAAAGATTGATGCAGAGTCGATGGAGCACTGGAGGTTTGTAACAGTCTTTCAACCATTTCTTCGACACTTGGGCATGTATCGAGACCAAGTGCTGATGATGTATTTATTCTCAGGCCTGTCCATTTACTTCATGCAAGTCCTACAGGTCCCGCGGACCCGATCAAAGCTGCACGGCTTCTTGCGTTTTTGGCTTCACCACAGTCCGCACAAGTCAATGGCGCCATCGTTCCAATTGACAATGCCTGGAGTTGCACATAGTGACATGGGATTTCGTGACATGAATTCAAGTGGTGACATCCTGTAGTGGCAAATATAACTAGAATCTGTGGAAATGGAAATGGCTACAGCATAGAATGCCGGGCACTTGCATCTTGGCTACTTGGTAGCTTCTTATCTCTTCTTTCGCATCTTTTGTTCGAACCTTGTGCAAACCTACTGGCTACAACGCCCTTCCAAATACTGGGGTACACACCTGCCGCGAGACTATGCCTGCTCGACCAGGGGTCCACGGAATGCTGAATGAAAGCCCCGGAACTGTGCCGGAATCGACAAGGAAATTGAAGAGACTGCCCATACCTTGTATAAGCATGGTGGTGCCATCTGATTCTGTGGTCAAACTTACTGCCACGAAAGGGAGTTTTTCTACGACATCTACTTCCATCAAATCTTACACCTAAAAATCACGAGGCGTTCACCAAGACATACCAGTACTACCGCCAGCTTCTCAACTCGCTCTCTACCCGGACAATGGCGCTTGTCACCTTGTTGAATTCTCCGCAAGCTGTGCTCGCCGTTGGAGGAGCTTTGTTGCTTTTGGTAAGCTTCCAGATGATAATGAAAAGGAAAATACCAAAGCCAGGTCCGACATTTTTAACTCTGCGATGTCGAAATATAGCCTCTCGTTTACTACGCCAGTCTGGCCATCTACAATATCTACTTTCATCCTTTGGCACATTACCCTGGGCCGATACTTGCCCGTGTCAGCCATTTGTGGCGTCTGAAAGGATACTTGTATGGGACCGAAGCTCACGACATCTTGGAGGCCCATAACAAATATGGCGGTGTCGTTCGCCTTGCACCGGACGAGTTATCCTACGTGAGCCCAATTGCATGGAAGCAAATCTACGGTCACAAGACGGCGGGTCAGCCAGAATGTCCAAAGGATCCCGGGCACCACGCGGATCTCAAGATTCAGACCATCCTCAATGCTGATCAGGAATATCACGGTGTCCTTCGCAGGCTGCTTGCACACAGCTTCTCGGATAAGGCATTGAGGGAGCAAGAATCAGTCCTGCTCGAGTATGCCGATATCATGGTCCGGAGAATTGGGGAAGAAGGGCAGAATGGAGCACGAGCTGTTGATATAGTGGAATGGTATAACGTAAGTTCCCAAAACTGCCTCGAGTTCCAAGAAGTCTCGTCTCTGTATCATGCTGATGGGAATTTTATCGCTCCAGTTCTTCACCTTTGACGTTATTGGCTATCTGAGTGAGCACTTATCCAGACAGGATATGGTTTCTAATCCCATTGTACTAACCGTTGAGGTCTTTCTGCCGTTTATAGCCTACGGTGAAACGTTCGGCTGTTTGTCCAGCTCCGAGCTACATCCATGGATTGATCTCATGTTTGTCATGGTCAAACAAAAGGCCTTCTACCAATGCCTTCATCGTCTACCAACCCTTTTCCGACCGGCATTCAACCACTTCTTTCGCCCCGCCGGGCGTCAAACTACGACGACTGTACCAAAGGGCTTAGCCAGGGTAGGGTAGTTCCTCATCGCCCCTTCTCCACCCCTCCTACTCGGCTTCTTGTTGCTCTGAACATGGTTTTTACTTGGTACCTTTGGTTAATGAATAGCAAGCTCACTTCTGTTGTTGACACACAGGACAAGATTCAAAATCGAATACACCATGAGACCAAGACTCTGGACCTGGTTTTCAAGCTGATCGAGGCATACAAAGACGGCAAAATGACGTTTGAACAGCTCGAGAGCAATACTATGGTTCTTATCGTGGGAGGAGCCGAGACCACAGCGACATTATTATCTGGTAAGGCTATCTATCCTATCATCTTCTGGCCTCCTCCCTCCTCATTTGTTCTGTTTGATTTTCCTCTTTTCTTCCCGGTCTAATGGGTGGCTCACGTATATAGGTGCGACGTACTATCTCCTCACAAACCCGGCCTCCCTGGCGAGATTGACAAAGGAAGTGCGCACAACCTTTGCCAGCCCGGCGGACATCAACTTGACCTCGGTGAACGGGTGTCCGTATCTGCTCGCCTGCCTCGAGGAGGCTCTTCGCGTCTACCCACCATCCCCGCAGACACATACTCGCAAAGCCCCGCGCGGAGGGGTCGAGATCGACGGCCAGTTCGTGCCGGAAAACACGACGATCGGTGTCCCCATCTACGCCGCCTGCCACAGCCCCTTGAATTTCGGGGCCCCGGACAAGTTCATCCCGGAGAGATGGCTGGGGAACGAGTCGTCGTCGGCCTCCTTTGCGAGAGATCGGAAAGATGCCGCCCAGGTCTTCTCGGTCGGACCTCGTGCGTGCATCGGGCGCAATCTGGCACTTTTGGAAATGCGACTCGTCATGGCCAAGCTGTTGTGGCATTACGATTTGAAGGATTGTTCCAGTGGCAATGGCAATGGCAGCAACGTGTGGGCAGACCAAAGGATGTACATGCTCTGGGATAAGCCACCTCGTATGATCAAGTTGGTCAAACGAGACTCGGCATAGAAAATAACATGTTGCACCGGTGTTGAGGTTACCAAAGCAAAGGTGCCTCACGAAGAGCGAGTGGGTTTGGGTATATGAGAGATGCTTCCTCAATTGGACAATAAAGGACGGACGTTACATCCATTTTCATTGCTTATACACCCCCCCCCCCCCCCCCCCACCCCCAAAACTATCAGACATGACCTGTATGGCAATTCTCTTTGAATGACATACATTCTCAGGCTCGCTCGTTCGCCTCGCTTTTCCCTTCACAGATCTCACTCAGCCGCCTTGATGTCCTCCTCATGAGTGGCTGCTGCTTCTCCGTCGGCCTTTGGCTTCTCATCATATGTCATGTGTTGTGCGACCTTCTTGGTCAAGTGGTGAGACAGCTGAGCACACCCATCAGTTATGGGGTTGCGGACAATCATCATGATTTGCAGAGTTGAGAGAGACTTACGTCCTTTGTTGCGACGGCGCAGAAGAAGGCAATGACACCGAATGGGATCGAGGTAAGCCACACATATCTGAAGGAAGCCAGATAGGCCTTTTTCAGAGCCAGCACGGACGACTCGAGAATTGTGGACGTGACGCCTGGTATCGAGGTGAGTGGGACGTCGGTGACGACACCGGTCAGGACACCGAGCAGCTCCGGGAGCGAAGCTTCAGGAAGACCAGCCTCGATGGCTGCGGCGGATACGTATTCCGGAACGAGCGCGGCAGATCGGTCTTGAAAGATGGTGAGGTAGATAGCACTGCCAGCGGAGCCACCCATACTGCGTACCAGGCCGAGTGCACCGGTCGCGAAACCGATCCATTCGTCCGGTGTCGCCAGTTGTACCAGGAGGATGGTGAGCAGCTCGATGATCCCGATGCCTAGGGGTTGTCGCAAAAAGCGAGTTAGTTGGTGTTTTCGCATGATGTGTACACTCCAGGAATATATTATTGAAAACATACCAACTCCAGCCATGAACGAAAAGGCTAGCGCCATGGACTTGCGAGTCTCGTCAACCAGACACATCATCGGAATGAAGAGGACTTGCAGCAAGACTCCAAAGGCCAGAATATTTCGTGTACCGACCTTGGGTCCAAGAAAAGGTAACAGAATTGCTGCCCCAGAGCCACCCAAATTTGTACCGATGCCGAACGTAAAGCCGTCAATGCCGACCTTTGACCAACTATTCCCCTCGAAGATGAGGGTGAGGTAGGTTGGCCAGAACACCTGGAGGGAGTAGAATAACATGCCGCCAACACCGGCACAAACGAGGATCAGAGTGAAGGTTCGGATGCGGCGGAAAAGATACGGATGCAGCAGTGGGTTGCGTGCCCATTTGGCTTCGTAGACACCAAGGAGAATGATGACGATGCAGCCCGTGATGAATGGTCCCAGAAACCGTCCACTTGTCGCGCCGTACTCTGGTACCCAACAGATTCCCATCAGGAAGAGAGTCGGACCGATCTGGTTCCGTATGAGCCCAATGGTCTGAAAAGTCAGGGTAACGCCTTACCATGATACCAAGTATGCCAATGTAGTCGAAAGATTTCAGGATTTCCCTTCTGCTACCCGTAGGTCGCGCCAGTGCCCGTGCTGGAAAATAGGTCACGGCCACGGCCACAGTCCCGACGATATTGCCGGCCAGAGACATCCAGAAGACAGTCCTCCACGTCGGGGCGGTGTTGTAGGATACTGCATGGCCGATGAGAGAGCCACACATGACGAAGCCAGCAGAGCCGAGACTGATGATGCCGATGACGATGCCTCGTGTTCGCGTTGGCACCAGCTCGGCGATACAAGCAAACGTGGTGAGACAGCCCGCTTGGTTCAGGCCCTGGAAAATGAAAGCCACGATAGCTGGCGCAAAAAATTGATTTAGTTTCTTCTCGGGCTTCTTCTCATCTCTGGTTTCTTGTCAGAGTCTTACCGGTGGTCATGTCCTGTGCAGTGATGCCGAGAATACACCCGATAATGGCAGCAATGCCGCACCCAATGATGAACCATCTTCGACCGACGAGATCAGAGAGTGAGCCCGTGAGGATAATACCAGTGCCAGCAGCGACAGTCCATGCGTTGGCCATCCAGCTGTATTCGGGACTGGGTCCAACATCTTCATTGATGATGGTGATGACTGGGACCAGACAGAGGAACGTAGCCAGAGAAACAATGTAGAGCCAACCCATGGAAACAACTGCCAGCCAAGTCCTCATTGGGACGCGGGTCACTATCTGGTCGAGTCTGGTGACCTCGTGCTCATGCATTTGTATCTCATCGTCACCAGAAAGAGAGGGGTGGTGGTGCTCCAAGGCGGTGTCGGCGGCAGTAGCACCTTGGTGCTTTTCGTGGTCAGGGGACATGGTGTCGTAGTCGTCCTTTTGATGCGTTTCACGCCAAAAATGGGAAAATGAAAGCACTGTAGCGAGAGGGAAGATGTATCAACTCCGAGTGCCGATAGATGTTGATATTGCTGGAGCAATACAACCTGCCGCACTTTCGCGACAGACAGCCTCTACTAAATATTCCAACTCGTCTCATCTCTCGGATGCCAGGCTACCTAGCTGAAGCTTTCCAGAATTCCTGGGGTAGGAGAAAAGCCAAGGTAATCCGGAGATGGAATTGTTCTTGCCACTCGGCGGAATATCGAGACCCAGATACCGAACAAGCACGATTCTATAGTTCCGCTTCGAGGAGGCTGGCTTCAGATCCTCCGGAACCACCATTTCATCTGCTTCCACTGTTCCGGCTTTCAAGTTAGACTTTGGCTCAAAGGGACTAGCTGGTCGAGTGGTTGATTTTCAACTCGATATATTTAAATATCTGATTCGAGATAGAATGTCGGAGTCTTGCGATCCTGTGTTTGGGTGTCTTGGGGCTTTAGACCTCACAGATCGACCCCGACGCCATGTGAGTATTGACCGAGGACATTGAGATTACAACTGTCAGGGCGACTAGCAAACTTTCTGTACTATATACCATTAGCGTAACGCTAGTCCCCACAGGAGGAACTACACTCCCACTACTCCACAGCTTAAACCTCTTATTGGAGAGCACTACAGGCTTGGTCTGCCAAGAGTGCCAAGACATCCGATCCCATGTTAGGACTCGTACTAAAATACCCAGACACAACCAGAGCTACTTCTACTTGTATATAGCTTAACGAGTCAAGCTTCCTCAGACGTAACTTGGAAGGTATAAGTAGTATGGTAACTAAAGAATAGCATAATCAAGAGGATAATACAAGCTAGCTACGGAGAGTACAAGCTAACTAGCTCTTGACCTTTCTCCTCACCCCCCGGCTCCTGCGGTCGCACCTGTCGTAATAGACACCTGCCAGGTCGTTGGCAACGACAATATACCATCCTGCCAACGACCATGTAACATCCGTACTCCTTGCCCTGAATTCGACAGAGGATTACTTTAGACGACATAGGCAGTAACGAATGAATCCCGTCTTGCGGTCATTCTTCTCAACTTGCGCGCCTAGGCTTAACCAATACTTATATTCCTTAATCTGGCCCATTCACACATTGGGCGTAAAAGAACTACGTTCAAGTCCATTTAAAACATCTTCACCACTCAAAGTCTGACTGAGCCGAACATGTCTGATACGAAAACTTCCGGGAAAAACCCCAACATGGTAATCAGTCGGTCCTCGAGAGATGGCTCGGCATCTTTCAATGCCACAGAGGTGTCGAAAAAGTTCACCGGGGGAGCGGTGTGGGTTGACACAGTCCTCACCGCCGAGGGTATTCTAGTGCATAATGTCAATTTTGCACCAGGTGCACGTTCGTTCTGGCACTGGCATGAGAAAGGCCAGATGTTGCGCGTCACGGCGGGATGTGGCTGGCTTTGTGATCGGGGAGCGAAGCCGGTACGGATCAATGTCGGAGACGTTGTCTGGTGTCCTCCCAATACCGAACACTGGCACGGAGCCGACGATCAAAGCTACATGGTTCACCAGGCTGTATCTCTCGGCAGTGTGAGGTTTATGGAAGAAGTGTCGGACGACACCTACCAAGCGAAGACCGACTCTAAAGCATAGGCATCTGTCAAGCCTGTCCATGATGAGCTACCTTGGGGGGAACAATGCTCTCGGTTGACGACCGCAAGAGCAGAAATAACCAACAAATTGTTCTCATCGAACGAAAGTCACCTGTGCTTCCCTGTTGACCTGCTAGCCTCATGGGGATCCGGAAGAGGAGAATGGGTCATTCTAGAGCCAAGAGTGGATACAAGGCCAACATAGCATCGATAGAATTGCACGACTCTTAGAGATCACTCTCAAGTACAACATATCAGGCAGTTCCGGAACCGCAACCGTAAAATAGTCACGAATAGGTGGAACTCCCACTTTCAAGCAACGTTCCAACGACCACAAAAGTATGGGGGACGTTGCTAACCTCATAATGGGAGGAAACAAATTTGGATCAACGTCGGGGCATTTTAACATGGACTTGCTCCGGAGACATGTGGGTCAGATGCATTTCACCAGTATGCTACTGCCATTTCACCAGTTGTTCAAGCTGGCAACGATATCCAATACCGTTCGTGGCTTCGTTCGCATTTAATTGACATGTCATCCTTTTTTTCTCTCTCTTTTGGTTTGCAAAAGCCAATTTCAAGGTCGAGAATGGACCTTTTTACGACTGGGCGAATTTGACAACCGTCCTGCCCTCGAGAGTCACAGAAAGTGTGGCCTCACCCTGAATGTCGGAAACAAACTCCCTGCCGTTATCAGATTTGTAAGTGGTGTTCGGTTTCAGCTGCTTGATTGGTAACAAGACGTCCTGTTTCTCGGTTCCTGGGTATACAACGAGGTCAAGGTCCGTTCCGGTATGGGAGATTGCCTTTGCAACCAGAACCTGGAAAGAAGTGTTAGCTCGATACCGACATGTTTGAAGTGGTTTTGAAAGCCGAGATTTACTTCTGGGTATTCGACGTCGGCGAGGTATGGTCCATTCTTGACAGCGTCACTCATGGGCTGGGTGATGGCTCTCACATAGCCTTTTGTTGTGTTGATGCGCCCACGGAATATCTGTCCCTTCATCAGCAAAGATACGTTGTCGTACCAAATGACACCGTCTTTCTCGGTCCGTTGAAAATCTGCGTTCGCGTCGATCAGTTTCAAAATCGAATCCGCGGCAACTTTGTCCCCGAGCTCTCGTGCAGCTAGCAGACTCGTCCCGTACAATGCTGCCTTGGACCCTTTGTAGTTACCAGGATCGATAAAGTCGGCGCCTTGGAGCCCTTTGAACTTCATGTTCCCTTTTTCGTCCACTTCCATATACTCCTTGCGGCAAATGGCATATGCCCGCAGGGCAATGTCGGGAAGGACCGCGCCAGACAAGCAGCCGACTGAAAAGTCGTTGATGGCTCCTACTAGGCCGGGAATACGAAATCCTAGCACCGGGGGTGAGCACGTCGAACTTTAAAGGCACAAGGCTTTCTTTCTTACCTGTCAAATGTGATCGTATGGGATGGACGCTGCCATCGGCTGCCTGGGGAAGACCGACTTAGAGACCAACAATAGTAATGAGGACAGAGGCCACTTACCATGAAATCATCGATGAAAGCTTCGCGAAACTGCTGTTTGATCTCCTCGGCAAGCGACGTCCCCTTGTTGGCGTCGTTCGCAACCAACGCATTCATGCCTTGGAGGTTGCAGAAAGTATAGATCCAGTTTGGCTGGGAAGCAAAGTTAGATCAACACATATCCCGCAACTCTCAGTGAAAAAGATACTTGCTTCACAAGCATAAAGGCAGTATCGAGACTTTCGAAAGTTACTCATTAGGGCGTCCACCAATATACCAGATGAGACTTTATATTTGTGAATATCGTCGATAACAAGTTCCAGGGCGCCGTCTTTGGAGAAACAGTCGTCGCCGGTGGCCCCTTCATACACTGCCAATGCAAGGAGGAGAAACCCCGTGAGCATGATATTGTCCACGCGATATGGGTGGAAATTGGTTGACTGGGACATGTCAGACCCGTTCGGCACAAGGGAAACAAGAGATCTTACAAGCTTCCCCCACAGAACTTCCCATTTCCAATAATTGAGGACCTTCTTCTGGCAGGACTTGAGTATCACTTTCTTCTGCGCTTCTTGCAGATAGCCTCCGCGGAATGAGGGCATATAGAGTTTGTTGGCGAATGACAGCGAGTAACTCAGCTCGTTCAGCTGGTAGCGCAGGGCCGAAGTTTGGAATTGGTCAATATCTGTGAAGTTGTTCCTAGGTCGATAATAGGCACTTAGTCTTCGAGCAAGGCTTCGAATCAACGTCTTCGGGTAGACTCTTACCAATCATCCATCTCCTGGTTGGCCACGTTTATGAGGAACCGTAGCTGGCCCAACTCTTCCAGTTGAAGCTCTAGTCCTTCTGTTGGCACCGAACTCGTGGCGTCCCGAGCAATCTGCTTGACTACTGTCGGGAGATAGCGATTCCGCATATCCCGTTTGTTCAGAGCGGCTGATGCATCTTTGTGCACGTAGTAGACAATGTATCCATATGCGGTTGCTGCAAGCAGAGGAACAACATACATACTGTACGTTGTGGTCTTTGCCGCAAATGGTAAACAAGGCATGAAAAGCGCAAGGCCGGGCCAAGTCAAGAAAGGTGCCACAATGTTGCCAGTTGCAAACCAGAGAAAGAGGCTGACTGCAAAGAGGACCCTTGACGACTGAACATCAGTTGGGTTTCTCCCTTTCCATATTGTCACCCTTTGGGGGAACTCACAATGTCAAAGGGAACCCCAAAAGCCATGCACCCCCAGCTCCAATGAACGAGCCACCAGGAACTAGCAGTGCTAGACCAGCATGTTGTAGCCGGGGGCTAGCGTCGAAAAAGAAACAAGACACAGCCAGAACAGCACATGTGATATAGATTCGGGAGGTTGCTCCAGCGTATTTCGCTGTCACAGACCCTTTCCCGGCGCTGCTCGGGATTTCGGGCGCAAAGTCATCGTCGTGACCCTTTAACGGAACCTGAGCCAGTGTAGGCTGTTAGCCCACACGTCAATCCAAAGATAGACGACAGGGAGAGGTGAATGAATACCATCGTGGCCGTGGCCGTCGTCGTCAGAGTTGGCGCCATAACTGTAGCTGTGATGCATACACTGGAGGACCGTGGGGTGTGGGAAAAAGCAATCAAAGAACAGCTGGTTAACCCCCTTTGTCGGAAGACTTCTGGACTTCATAAACCCGGAAGTGTCTGAAAAAGGTCTGATCCTGCGAGGAGACCTCCCACTCTTCAACCCTGTCGTTGGACCTCAGGAAACGAGTCGTGCTGATGAACCTCTGCCAGAGAGCAGTGCCATAAATGGGCAGCACTGAGGGGCTCAGGACGAATCTGTCAAAGAATTTCACCAATTCAATCGATTTTAGCAAGGATTAGTCTCTAATGAGTAAGATATGAGTCCCTGCCAAATGACCTGTCTTTGGTGAGGGCCTGCAAAGATATCATCCGGGAGCGTCTTTCGACGGAGACAAGGAAACTCTTCTAGTCTGGCTCCATTCCGGAACTTCGTAGTCTCCAGCAAGTTCACACTAGTTTCGCCTACGATTCGGGGGACACGACCAGGCCTTTCAGCCTCAGATTATTCTCCCCCAAGGACCCGTCTTACGTTTGTTAGCTAGGCCAGCCGACCCAAAAAGTCGGGGGTGGCGAGCTGATAGAATTCCAGTTGCCGTGACCAAGGGACGTGTCGATATCCAAATGATACAGTAACAAAATCATGTTTATAACTCGCGCGAAGCCATCGCAGCCATGACCATCTGCGGCATCTCCGGAGGAACATCGATGAACGCCTTTTCATGTTCTGCAGAACTGGTTCCGAGGAAGCAACGTGGTGTTGTCTTCTTTGCTCTTACCTTTATCAGTTCAGGATTTATCACCTGTGGTTCTCTGATCGGTGAGTTCGACCGTCCTCGGCCTTACCGCCTACGCTTACACGTGCCTGTAGGGCAAGCAATGCTACGTGAGCCAGTAGGCTGGCGCATCGTTTCCTACTACTTGATCGGCATCTATACATGGACAACGGTAGTATGCGCAACATGCTGATATAATTCCTCGATTCCAGCTTCGGCTAGACGAGAGGGACGACGATGATTGACAGAGCAACACGAAGCCAGCCAGCGTGGTCAAAGTCACCGAGGCAGATATGCCCACCTTCTTCAACCCCATTGGGTATCTTGCGTAATGTTGGTACTATATTTATTTATTATTCATGTGCGCTCTTGACCATGAGATGGGGGGTTTGGAAGATACCAGTAGATTTGACATGTTGGCAATACTAAGTAAATACTATAAAAGTTCTGGCATGTCTGAAAAGAAAAGACGAAACTCGGTGTAATTATCAGTACCCGGCAGGAATAATATATGCACACAAGTAGTACGACGTATGAATCAAAATTCAGCCACGTTCGCACTCCGTCCAGGCTTTTCTCCTCGGCCCAGCTTGCGTCTGGAAAAGACATTCCTCTCCCATCCGTCCAACGGGCTGATCTCGACCTGTCTCACCAGCTCGTACTTGCCGAGGCGCGGCAACAGAATGGCCCAGACGAGCCAGTAGACTCCTCCAGCGGCAATGATCCCGATGCCGACCACACAGTGCAGGTAGTATGGGAGGTCCTCGTACACGTTCTGTCCGTTGCTGGGAGGCACAAACGGAGCGGCAATGAGGTACAAGTTGCTGAGGAAGAAGAGCAACGCGACCGGCCACGTTGCGCGGAAGGGGGGCGACCATTCCCAGCGGTGTGGGTTGACGTAGAGATAGAGAAGCCCGGCGGCGACAAAGGCGTTGACGACGGAAAGAGGGTACGAGATGACGCTGCAAGGCATGATCAGTTTTTGCGTAGGCAGAGTGGGACAGCCAGAGAAACTTACTTGAGGATGAAATTGTATGCGTCTCCAGGGGGAGGTGCAAGCATGATTATCACTGAGACACACCAGTGCTCGAATAGGCCAGCGAGAGGCGCATTGAATGGCTTGTTGCTTGCCCAGAAGCGGGAGAATGGAAGGATCCCCTCACGTCCCAGTTCTTGGACCACTAGTTGTCATTGCTGTTAGTATTTGTATTGCCAGACAACGAGGGAGGTAGTACGTACGACGACCCTGAGAAAAGATGACGCTGAGAACATTGCCAAAGGCGGAAAGTGCAACAAACACCGAAAGTGCCCGTTCGGCCCGGTGGCCAAAGACATTGCGAAAGAACGATGCTGCAAGGATGCGGCCGGAAGACACAATCTCTTCTTTAGGTACAGCAGCAAAGTAGGCAATCTGTTCAATGGTGCCCAGCGTTAGCAAAACTCTTGTCGCGGACACTTGTCGGGGGTTCACCGTACGTTGACAAGCATGTAGATGATCGACACGAAGATAATCGCCGCTGGTGCTGCAATCTTGAGGGTGCGGATTGGATTCTTGGTTTCACTCAAGGCGTAATTTGCGTTACTGTATCCGATATAACTCCATATCACATTATACAGAGCAGTGACGACGCCATACCTAGCAAAACAAATCAGCAAATGGCAAAGTTGATGATAGGTGTAGCACTCACGCGCTGCCAGTGGTTCCTTCAAATGCGTTATCAAAGTTGTGTGGTTTCGGCACCTTCAGGGCACCACCGAGAGCAGCCTGGAAAATATGTCAACCGCGATGTGAATAGCAGCCACTCAAGTACTTGGACATACCCAGCCAGACACGACAATCAGGAGCACAATGATGAGCTTAATGATGCCAAGGAAGTTCTGCAACCTCAGTCCCCATTTGAGAGCACATCCATGAATGAGGAAAGCGGCAGTAATGCAGGCCAGTCCGACTCCTCGCTGATTCCACCTGTTCACTTCGACCTCGGCGGCGTGGAGAATGTACTCTCCGAAGATGACAGAGTTCGATCCGGCCCAACCGAGAAGGACGACATATCCAGTGTAGAATCCCGTGGCGAGGTATTTGGGATGTCGGTAGACAAATTCCAAGTAATTTTTCTCACCCCCGTTCTTGGGGATAGCTGTGCCAAACTCCAGATATACGGCCATACCGCACATGGCGATGATCATTCCAGCAACCCAGATAAAGAGGCTCAGACCAACGCTGCCGGATAGGGAGAAGATGGTGCTTGGGGTTGCGAAGATGCCGGTCCCAACCATACGGTTGAAGATGAGGAAGAAGGCACTGACGACACCAATCTGACGTTTCGTCTCTGTGAGGACATGGACGAGTTCGGAGGAATCTGGAAGCCTGTTAGCATCGGGCGGTATATTCATGTCCTTTGGCGCGTTGCTTGCCACCATTTCTGCCCTCTGATTCAACATCCAAAGATGTCTTGTCTGTAGGTTGAGGAGTGTGTGCCGCAAGCGGGCGCTTGGGTAAGTAAGAGCGAACGCTGCTCAGCATGACTGAGAGTTGAGTACCCGATGATACTAGTAGTTCTGAATATCTAAGTGGTAGAGTGGTGGAAGCCAGACATGTGCGAAACCACTGTCGGTCGACTGCACATATTTATCAATCGCATCGCATCGGACGTCGCCTTTGATACCACATCCTTGTGAGATCTGGATAGGCCGATCACCACGGGTCTCGCCAACTTCGCCATCTTTGACGTCGCATCGACAAGAAAATTTCGATGGTAGGTAGCCTTGAGGTTGGGTGGTGTTACTTGTCATCTCAGCGAGCGGCCAATGACTCCCCCATCAGTCCGTAATGAGCCATAGTGCGGGTATGGGAGGCGGTTCCGGTGGGCACGAACTGCGATCGCGCCATTCTTGGTAGAAATTCGTTTCGCGTGGAAGAGGGAAATACCCTTCAAGGTTGCGTTTATTGAGTAAGAAAAACGTGAACCTTCGAGGCTGAGAATGTTCCCAGCGGATAGGATCGGCTCTTTCCCAGTCTAGCGACCCACTGGGAGCCACTGTTAGCAACCGTAAAAGACACCATCGCAGGAAAAGGGAACCAGGGGACCCAGTGAGCGATTGCGTGATTGTGAGGAAAAATGATGGATTGGACGAAGTGAAAATGCCTCCTACTCTGACACCCTTTAATTTCTAGGCTGCTCGGTGAACTGTTGGTGGGCGTCATCTTCGTCTGGACACTTAACACTCCTTCTTGGTTTGGATAAAAGAATTCTGCCTGCGTTGTGTGTTATAACATCTTCTTCTGATAGAGAAACGAGTGTTGTCAGCCTCACAGAGAGCTCTGCCAAGCCCACTAGCACCAAAATGACGATGATCGGGATTCACTTGGCGTACTTGGCACGCTAGTCTAGGAATAGGCGAATACGGGGAAGTCAGCCCCCACCCCCATCAGTTTGGCACGCGACATTCTTGTACTTGTAGAGCAGTCATGCGCTGTCGACATTCCAATTACCCCGGACCTCGAATATATGTAGTACTACTCGCTTAACGTCGGGTCTGTATGACCATACAGCCACCAAGATACTTGACCAACCACCATAAAAGGCTCACATGAATACAAGTTGTCCAAATATGGCATGCAATGGTTGGCGTCCATGACCATGCGACCGACCCAATTGAGCACCAGCACGTCTCCAACCTGTGTCTGGATCCGGTAAGAAGAATTGCATTGGTAAGCGGGGGGGTTTAACCCGTAGCATCCTCAGTCGTACGATGAAATGTCTGTACCACATGATGCCTGAACCTGATGTCCACAGCCCCCAGACTATCGATCTCGGAAGTTTCTTCACCTTGCGTGGCGGCGTTAATCCAGATAGCCTTCCTCCGACGAAGCCAGTACAGTGGGTCGACTCCTTTGGAGTGTGGGAGATGTGCCAGCACTTGTTCTCGAAGGGTTCGACCGTAGACCTTAACCGGCAGGACTTGTTGTGCCGTGACTTTCAACTACGTCGACGAGCTCGTTCTCGTCATTCGCGAACTCCTCCATCTCGCTTCGGCTATCCTCGTGGCTGTCCTCATCTGACGGGCTTTGTACTGTGGTATTCAGTATTCTGCATCATGTCATGTTTATGCATATGACCTCACCTGATGTATTGTGTCGATCGAGGCGCTGAAGTTGACTTAGACCGCTGCTAAGGATTGCCAGCCTCTGCTCCAGTCGCTCGCGCTCGACCCTCGACCCTGCGTCTTCCTCTGCAATCGTCTTGACTGTCTGATCAGCTAGTAGCGATACGGTTCGCGGGCAGAAAATGACAGTCAGCCTCTCCAACAGACATTTTTCGACAGCCAGCACGCTGAAATCATCCACGAATTTCTTTCGGGCAACCTTTACCACGCTTGTCAGCGACTGTATTGAGGAAGAAAAAATCGAAACAGGTCAGAACACGCAATCACTCGCCTTGTAGTAAGCTAGCATGCAATCGATTGCTTCCGAGGCAGCAAAGCGTTCCATGTTCGCTTCTGTCTGAGTTGTAAGCTCGTTAATCAAGTCATCCATACTAAAGTTGTATTTCTGTGTCCACGTGGCCGATACCCCCGATGGATACTCCTTTCCAAAGAACTTCTTCAGTCTTTTCTTCAAATCTCTGCGCATATGCTCCTCCCGTGCCTGCTGAACGCTCTCTGTGAAATAATGGTTGTAAGTTATCGGATGTCCCATCTGCTGAGGATTGAGGAGCTCTGTCGTCTTGCCGCGTAACGCCTCTTCGATTTTTTCAAGTCCAGGTTCAATCACGTATTCCAGAAGTCGCTTCATGCTCGTCTCATCCAGTGTCTCCCGCAGCATCGGCATTGTCGCCTTGTGGACGTCCCCAAGAAGGCCATCAATGCACCGAGTAACGATCGATTCCCATGGCTTACTTTGCATATAAAACAAGTCACCTATGATAAGAGGATTGTAGGTGCCAGGCAATTCTCTTCCGCGACTTCGACGCATGAGTTCCTGAACTTCTGTGACAAGGTCAGAGCGGTGAATCTGGATTTCTTCAATATCAATGGCCTTCTCATCGTCAATGATGTTTCTTTGCATCCCTATTTCCTCCATATCTTGGGAAAATTCGGAAAGCCGGTTCTGGACCTTAGCGCGCAGTCTCCTCTCATAATTTCCCTCCTGCATGGGATCTCCGAAGAATCGACTGGAATAGTTTCCGTCCACGGCGTTGCCAATGAGGGTTGTGAAACGGTCGCTGCTGTCTATGAGGTATAGGCGTTGTTCACTCAATGTTTGCCGTGCCTTTCCAAGTCTCTGTAACCGGGATTCTGCATTTTTACAGGATTGTTGCACTTCTTCAATGAGCCCCGGTAGTTGCGATATGATATGGTCCTTCAGGACCGTGCTCAACCTTGGTCTCAAAGTGTTAATGCCAACCAGAGGCCGGGGCATCTGGGCCCATATTCCTGCGCTCAGGAATTTTGCTTCAGACTCATCACGTTGTTGGAGAGAAAAGTGCTGCTCTTTCGGCAACCTATTCTTCAAGACGTGCCATCCGAGTCGGAATCTGAGCCGCGTATTCATTGCCAGATCATAGAAGGACCTCTCCATGTCAGAGCCTATGTCCAAAGTGTCTGGCTTGGTGATTATACCCATGGTGCGGTTGCCCCTTCGATCGAATCGGCGTGTGAAAGCGGTGATCTTCTGTAGTGCTATATCACTTTTCGCAGAGATGACAGCCAAGATGACACTGCGTTTGTTCCGTAGGTAGGACAATACCAACGACTCTACGAAGTCGACTCCTTCTGCAGTTTGGGATTCGTCAGGTGCATGATACAGACCCGGGAGATCAACCAAGGTCAAGTGAGGTAGTCCTGGCCCTAAAACCTCCACGCGAAGGACGTCCTTGGAAAAAAGGTGGCCATCCTGACCAATGCCAATATGCTTTTCTGCTTGCCGGACAATGCTCCCAAATTGTCCAAGCTCAACAGTGGACGACTTGAAACTTTCGATGCGAGTTTTCTCGGCTGGGGTCCGCTTCTCATCAGCATGGATTGAGGCTGTTATACCCACGTTCGGCGAGCGTCTTAGAATGAGCTCGGTAGCGAAACGAGTGCAGACATTGTCTTTGGCCGGAAATGACAGGCCCGAGATGGCCTCCAACACAGAGCTTTTGCCCGATGACTGATCGCCACACACGATCAACTGCGGAAGGCCGACATATTCACCTATGCCTTCCGACCTCAATTGGTCGATGACATTGAGGATCGCTTCATGGTCCTTCGATTGGAGCGGTACCAGAGGTGCCAATGGGTCGTTGTTCTCGGAAGAGTCGTCGACTTTGTTTGCCATTGTTAGATGAATATCCTCTCGATATCCCAGGTAGAATGTTGAGTATGCTCTCAGTAATGCCTAACTTTAGTCAAACGGTCTTCAGACAAGAGGAGACCGATGTTCGTAGGGGGACTTCTACTCACTATAAGCTATGAATGAGCATTGAAGCATTGACAGGGGCGAATTCCGTCCTGTCCAGTGCCCCCCATCACGCAAAGACCCTTGGATTAATTTGACGAACTGAGGAGTGACACGTCGATATTCTGGCCGGGCGCATGCGAGCTCAGCATTCCTGAAGCAATCGCGGCTCACTAAGTCCAATTGAATGCCTGCCTCCCCAGCTTCGGGGCTGGTCGCAGGTCCAAGGAGAGGAATTGGCTGGGTTTCTCCATGGGCGGGAAATACGTTCCCTTTATTGGTGTTGATGACCAGGGGACGGTCTTCGTCTTGCTTGCGCAAAGTACAGACCCGTGCATAATTGGCGGGTTGCAAGTCATGGTGGTCGCTAGGCCCCGATATCATCTTACAAAGGACATGCATCAACTGTCCGTTGTTCCTGCCATGGCTCCGTAGCTTCGACGGATATTGGAGCGTTATTGAGCCAACAGGAGACCTGTATCAAGGGCTCATCTGCAGCTGATGATGAACGGAGGGTTGTTTTTTCGACATGTGGCATCTTCTCCTTAGGCGAAATTTCAAAACTCGCGTATACGCGGCCCGGCCGCCTCCATCCGGCGCTACTTCATGCACTCGTCGTCGGCTGGAGGCTCCGTCGCTAGGGCCATCGGATGATCGGCTTTTGTTGTAGCTGGCCCCTCTATCCCCTCTGTTGGAATGGAGGACTTTGTGACCAGAGTCTCAGCTTTGCCATTGACCTCCTGAAACGTCGGACCTGTCATCGTGGTATAGATTCGAGTCTCGCTCGACAATAGGCAGAATGAAAAACACAAATTTCTGTAGCAAGCTAACCCCGGCTAATTTTGACATATACTTCGACATATATACATAATCTCCTCGTCGGTCATTCTCATCACTATGCGTTAGCTCCCGATTTCACAGGATGTAGAGCCATCAGAGGCGCCCAGATTTGGCCCTCATCTTCTCGTAGCATCGAGGCTATATTCGTTGTATCATGATTCATCCATTGTTTGAATGTCCTTCCTGGGTAGCCAGGCACCCACCACCACGTCCCGCCATTGAAAAGCTCGTATGCGCCGTTGGGATCGTACATTGCCTTGCCGAACGAAAGACCGTTGTTCTCCCGAGCATTATCGGAAGGCGAACCGCCGTTGAACAGTTGTTCCAATTCCTGGACACTCACTTCGCGGGGCGCCTGGGGATGGTGGTACCACGGATGAGGTGGGAAGATGACTTTCAGGCCGTGGTACAGTGCAAAGGACACGGCAGTGGCTTCCGAAGACAGAGACAAACCCTGGTGGACCTGAGCGTGATGCATGGCATTGAGCAGATTCCACGAGTATCTTCCCATGGCCACTGGACTGTAGAATCGTGGGGTGTCTTCTTCCTTTTGGAACCCGTGAATCCAGCCCTTGAACGGCCAGTATTTCGTCGTTCTCACATCCGCCAAAGCGTTCGTGAGAATTAGGTCGGCATCTTCCCCGACACCCCAGTTGAAGTCATCCTCACGGGGATCGGCAACGGGCGGCTGGGGTCCAATGGGATGTTCAATATCAGGAACACGGATAGGTCCCCAGATACCACCACCTCCCAAGCTCTCGTTGATGGCTGCTTTGAACTCTCCATAAGACCCATGGACCTGCGACATGTAATAATATGAAGACCGTTCAATAGACTGTTTACGCGGTTCGTTCCTTGCAAACCTTGCCATTGCGTCCAACCACTGGCCGGAGTTGCCCGTGAATTTCATGTCCATCTCAAGCTGCCAATAGTGGTCGAAGCCAGGAAACAGCTGTGCAAACAATTGCAGAGGCTGGTAGACTTGGAAGAAAGCCGAATGTTCAGGGATTCGAGGATACCATGATTTGAGCAACTCGAGGTTGAAGAGGACGGCAATGTCTCGAAATTCGGCAGGCACCAAATCCTGTAAAGCCGTCTCATAAAGTTGCGGATCACGAAAGATCGGTCTCGTTCCATTGTCGTCCTTAACATCCACCAAGAGAAAAACAGCGTTGTCTGCATTCCAATCCAGCCCAGCCTCGACAATCAGAGACCGCAGATGGTACAGGTCAAGTGAGGTGTAGTTGTAGCCCTCCCAACTACGAAGCACAACTGCCGTCCGGCCCGTAGAATGTGTCCTTGCCTTCAACTTTCCAACGCCAGCTTTTTTCTTTGCGGGCAAGCGAAACCGTCTCGTCATGGAAATATTTTGGGCATTGCGGAATCGATCCAGATTTGAAGCAAGACAATCGTTTTGCAGATCTGCCCATTTTACCGAGCTCCACTCGACACGAGTTCGCTCGTAATTCTCCGACTCTTCGCCATAACCATACGCACCGTATCTCGATTCGGGGGTGTTGAAGGTAATCGGTAGGTCCAATGCTGCAAAGGAGCCGCCCACTGGATCGGGGAAAGCTATGATCCTGTCAGCATCACACCAGAAAGTGGACGACCATGGCAAAACTACGTACGCAAGTCTAGCAAACTTGCCCAAACTCTGTCGTCGAGATTCTCTTGAACTGGCTTTCCACGCGGTCCCACGCACGATTGTCGCACTGCATTGGCTGGTGGCTGCGGTGGAGAGGCGGTGGGCACGTCAAGGGGCGCAGCCAAGGGATCGCGTGAAATGCCAACATTGCGGATAAAATCGTGATACAAGAAGACAAGAAAGCAGCCCAGCCCAACGGTAGCCAAGATCTGGAGCCAAAAATGTCGGAAAATACCAAACTGGAGGGCCATTGCACGCCCAGCCGTCGCACAGGGGCGAGACGCAATCACGCAAGCGACCGTTGTGATGCACAAGTCCTGTTTTGCAGTGGGAGATGCCGCCCTGTGGGGGCCACAGCCTGGTGGCCTTAGCTACTGCGCCCTTCGAGCCTGGTAGAGGCGCTAGGGGCGTTCAAAGGGCTCCCAGTGCTCCCCTTGGTGTGGGTGGCCTCGTGCTGCTCTGCCGACCTCGTGCTGCTTTGCCGAAATTATTCATGCTAACTCTTTCAGGCCACGGGTGGCTTCACGAGGCTGGCGTAAATTTCCCCCATGATTACGCAATCGTTTTGAGACTCAGTTAAGAAGCAACAAGATCTCCTCGGTCACACAATGCAATGGGAACAAAGCCTTCACTATCAATCAAAGGTGAATTCTAGCAATATCATGTACCGTCCCCGGACTGGGGCTTGGGATCATGATATTTGTCCTTCCGTTCTCGCGAATCGCACTTGGCTCGGCTGCGATGGTTTGAACCTCAAGGGTCCAAGTTCTAGACACCGCGGAGAACTTGGGCACTTGATCGAACCCTTGACTGATAGCGGTACGACTATTTGTCATGGTAAACCGTCCACACGTCTTACAACTGAGCAATAAAGTGTATGTGATTGGACAGGAGCTGACTTGTTCCTGACTAGAGAGTCGAGACCAACAGTCTTCCCCACAAAGATGCGTCATGTCAGCCATGAGAGATCAATTGTAGCTGCATTGAGAGCCAGAGGGCACGTCGGCCATATGGGATGCTGATCAACGCCACCCGGGGAGAAACACCAGTGGGCAAGGATGTGGCACAACGCGCAAGAGGGCCGGCACTGTGTCTGGGGACCGCGATCCTGTCAAATAAATGATGGTCCTTCACCGTTCCTGGCAATTTCGTCTGTCTGGACTTCGCATTGTCACTGACACCGCCAAACATGCCTGACTACATTCATTGGGACGCTCCAGGCGTGGAAGAGGAGCAACCGGGTGAGCAGGAAAGGATCAAACAGATAGCAGAGCAGTTCTGCCGATTCCAGATGTTGAACTTTGACGAACATCATCACGCCCTGCGAGGCACTCATCTGAAGACTCAGGGTGTATGTTGGTATTACCTGACTGTCGCGACCCTGCTGATAGACATTGACAGTGTGTTGCGGGCAAGTTCATCGTCCATGACAACCTCCCTCCGCATCTGGCTCAGGGAATGTTTGCAAAGCCTGGCACATACGACGTCATCATGCGGTATTCTTCACTCACACCCAAGCTTGTCCCCGACAACGTCCCCGCACCACGTGGAACTGGCATGAAGATTTTTGGCATTGAAGGCGAGAAGATCTGGGGAGAAGACAAGAAAACCCAGGACTGGACATTTAACAACTATCCCGTTCTCGAACTTCGCGATGCTCAGACCACGTATGAAATTGCAGACTCTTTGGAAAGAAACTGGGACAATCTGCCAGAGTTTGAGAGTGAGCTGAAGAAGCGTCCGGACGCCGACGTTGCATGCCTACCAGCCAAAATTCCTCCGCAGCATAGTAAGTTACATACCTGGGATAGACCGACGAATCTGACCATGACCTACAGTGGTGGCGATGCCGCAATATTCGCAATCAGCATATCGATTTGGTGACTATGTGGCCAAGTTCGGCTTGTTTCCCCTGGGCGAAGAGCAAAAGAAGCTGGAAAATACCTACATCAAGGACAGCGACCCCAAGAATATCATCTCGTCCGAGCTTCGCAAATTCCACAAGAACAACAAGGTGTCGTACTCTTTCTGCGCACAGCTTCTTCAGAACCTCGCCGAACAGTCCGTCGAGGATATCGGTGTAGAGTGGGACGAGCAAAAGTACCCATTCGAGCAAGTCGCCACCCTCGAGTTCGAGCCACAGGATAGCTGGCTTCCCGAGTTTCGAGTTTGGTGGGATGACCGGATCACTGTCAATAGCTGGCATGGACTCAAGGCCCATCAACCCCTAGGCAGCACCAACCGCGTGAGAAAGGTCGTGTACGCCGAGTCTCGCAAGCTGCGACTGAGGGTGAATGGCCATAAGGACTACATTGAGCCTGCAAGTTTGCAGGAAGTGCCGTTCCAAGTGGCCACTGAAGGGTAGCGGAAGGTTGCTGCGTCCCTAGGTACCATTTTGGGGCATGTGGAAGACTTGGAGAAGGCCGCAGAGGGAGTCTGGGACTCTCGGGAGAATGAATATTCTTCACCTGAAGTGCCAGTGCGAGTGTTTTTCAGCCATGCAATGAGACACCAAATATCATCTGTTGGTTGATTGAATGAGCCGCTTCGTGACTCCAAAAGCAAGTGAGCAACGCAGCCTGAACTCTGACTTTGAACTGAGTATCTGTGCAATCTGTACAGTTCCGCCAACTACTCACCAGCCAAAACCTCTTCACTCTCGAGTCTACGGGGATTGACTACACACCTCCCAGCTCGGCACCTGTGTAGCTGGTCTCCAGCCGGGTTCGATGTTGCTTTTCACGTGTAGTCGCAAGCTGCGAATGAACCATCTCCACGGGGTCCGCAGTTGTGAACATATATAAAAACATTCCCGAAGACAGCCTTGCACAGCCTGGAGCTGAATTCGCTGCGCGTTTCCTTGGATACCTTGCCGCTGGCGCTGCGGCTCAATCGAGTCACACCCAGTGACTACAACACGCAAAAGATAGTCACAAGTCTTCGTCCATTGGGCCACGGTTCACGGCGCCACAGCCTAGCCAGCTAGAAGCGTTGCGCACACGCGGTGCAAATGCGGATTCTAACATTTCGCCTCTATTCATCATCACCCAGTCACCCTGCGACGACTACTTCTCCAGCCAACGGGCCGTTCTCTTACAGGTGAAACTTCAACGTCTCGGGAATCTCGCGCCATTGCATCTCGTTATCCAGGAGCTGTCTTGCCTCGTTCCACATCTGCTTGATCTTGTCTGCCTTGGCAGGCGATCTCGGTTCAAACCTCGCGGGGAACGGCAGCGGCATCGAGACCAGGCCTGCGGTCCTCAGCAAAGGGTCCGGCAGGGACGTCTGCCCTGGCGCAGGAGTAATGTCGAATCCCCACAGAAGTCGCGAAATGGCCAGGAAAATGGTGACGTCGGCGAGATGAATGCCTGCGCAGATGCGCCGTCCCGCGCCAAAGGTGAAATGGTCACGCTTGGTCACGTCGGGGTTCTGGGAGGCCTCGAAGGACGACTGAGCATCGTTGATGAACCGTGCGGGATCGAAGCGTCGAGGGTCGTCGTAGATGTTCGGGTTGTTGTTGACGGCCCAGGCGTTGACGACAATTTCCGCGGCCCGCGGAATCCGATACCCATTATATATTTCATCAGAAAACGTCGCGTGCGGGACGATGAGCGTTGTGGTAGGCGACCACCGGAGCGTCTCTTTCACACATCCCCTGACGTACGGCAGGTTCGCCCAGTCGGACATGGACGGCAGACGGTCTCCAAGGACACGATCTATCTCGGCGTGAGCCTTCTTCTGAACATCAGGGAAGAGCAGCATCGCTTGGATAAAGGCCAAGATGGTGTTGGAGGTCGTGTCGGTGCCTGCTTCCAGCGAACCACCCGAGATGTACGCGCCAAATCGGTCGTCGAATCCCTCCTTCTCCTGCTCCCGCAACATCTGGACCGTGAAGCACGGTTTCTGGGTCCCCTCGTCCAGCTTCATCTTGACCTCGTTCCATAGTCGGAGATAGAATGCTTCTTCCCTCTTTGTATGCTCCACGGCCATCTTCACACCGGGTAGCAGCCACCTGGGGAGCTTGCGAAAAATTGGATAGGCATCGGGAACATTTGCAGCGGTGGACTGGATTATGCCCGTGGTCTTTTCAAGGCTGTGCGTACTTAGACTGAGCCGCCATCTCATATCTGACACTGCCATTCGCATTGGGAATCGACTTACATCTCGAGATATTCTCTCATTTCTGCATCATCGTACTGGGGAGTTCGCCTCCTGCATTGTGATCAGACAAGGGGTGGGCGAGGAACAAAGCATCATGGACAAACCCATATGTCATCATCATGGTCGTAGAATTCGTATACCTGCCGCGTAGTTCTCTGAGTTAGCGGCCTCTTGTCTCATTTCCAGTTGACCGAGGACTGGAGGATTACTATGTACCTCTTCGTGTGACGCAGAAAATGGTCCGGGTTGGTCAGGATATCAAAGTTCATCTGCTTGTTTTCGAGCTCGATATACCTGATGGCCACATGTTAGTGCATGCAAGATACTACTTATTGTTGTAAAGCCAGTTCAGCGATCCCGACTCACGGTAAGTATGATTGCGTGAGGCTTATACTCAATAATTTGTGGTACATCTTCCTCTGCTTCTGCCATACTTTGCCATACGGCTTGGGTGCCACGACGAATCAGTATCACATTCACACATCTCAGAAGCCGGAGTAGAACGATACCTGTAGCAGAATTCGCTCCCCGTTACTCAGGATTTGGTGGCCAATGTAGCGGTCGCTCCGGTCGTTGGTCGCCTGCGCACGCTTGTCCAGGAGTTCCTTGACCTCTCTGTTACTGGAAAGAATGATCATGACCTTCCCGGACCCGATAATGAGGCTGTAGATGGGTCCGTAGATCTTGGACCATTTTTCGAACTGTAGGTGGGCATCCTTTGAGGGCATCTATTCTCTCTCGCGCGCACACGTCAAACGAAGAAACCACGTCACATAGGAGTTCCCTGAACGCGAACGTACCTGAAGAAGATTTCCAAGCACAGGGAAAGTAGGAGGACCTGGTGGATAGTCCTTTGGTCGGCGGCCAATACGTGAAATCGCGTACAAGGCGAGTGCACACCCTATCAGGGCCAGCACGAGAGACAAGTTGGCAGCCATGGTGCGAATGAACCTTTCGTGGAGTAATGCCTAACGCCGTCGTACAAATCAACGTCCACAGTACAATGAGAGAGCCAGGGTGACGAGAAGAAGGGTGGTGTAGATAAATACCGAGTATAGGAAGCATTTCCAACGAGGTACCACGGTCGGCAAAGACTCCAGAACAACGAAGCCCTTCTGCCCCACGGGGTGCGTTATCCGTCGGGAAAAAGAAGCAGAATGTAATGGTTGTGGATCTGTTGGCCTGTCCAGGCCGCGTACGGTTTTGGTGCATTTGGCGAATATTTAGTCCGGCTTTAGAGCTTACGAGGGGATACTTGCTTCGTGAAGCCATCATTCTCCGGTGTTGAGACTTTATATGTTACACCGAGGGCTCGTAGTCCCGGAAAATCGGGGTATTACGCCAGAGACTGTATACCAGATAGCTCTTGTCGACTTGGCTCTATTTGCATAACTAATGGGCAGACTATGGCGTATGAAAACTCCCTTATGGCCCGGCCAAGTAGCATTCTAATCAATCCTAACCGTACATACACTGCCCGGCAGCAGTCTTCCAGCACGACCAAGCACTGTATCCAGGGGGGAGGGTCTTGAAATTTATCCACATACCCTTCAAGCGAAGCTTCATCCAAAGACCTCTTGAGCACTGAGAGCCCATCGCTACGACCATGTCACGACCTTGGGACAACGAGCCTTCTGGTGTCATGCGGGCCCTCATCCTGACATCCCCGGGACAGGAGCCACCATCTGCGTGTTTCACCTATACAGAAATCTACCCCAGACCGTCCCTTCCTGGACCCGGTTGGGTTCTTGTTCGAATTCGTGCCACCGGCATCAACAGGGCTGAGCTTCGAGGTCGCGCCGGCGCACCCGCGTTCCCTGGGGAATGGAGTCTCTGGCAAAAGTACTATCGCCCGGAACCGCCTCAGATTTTGGGCGAAGAATTGGTCGGTGAAGTCGTCGAGGCGGCCGAAGACACGCCGTTCAAACCAGGTGACAAGGTTGCGTCCACCCATGCCGGAGGGGGAAAGGCCTTTGACGGATCCTACGCCGAATATGCCATCTGCCATTCACGCCGAGTTTACCATCTACCGCAAGACACCACCTTGAGCTGGGAATTGCTTGGGGCTCTCCCCATGAGCTTCCTCACCGCCTACGGAATGGTTATGATCTCGGCGCGACTGGGGAGCAGACCCGCAGGTTCCTCGGTCATTGTCCATGGGGCAACATCGTCGGTGGGCGTTTTTGCCGTCCTGATTGCGAAAGATCAGGGAGCGTCTGTGACTGCAACCACCCGTCAAGCGAGGAAGGTGGACCAGCTCAAACACTGCGGTGCAGACCATGTGCTCTTGGAGTCCGAGCTTGATGGAAAGATTCCCCAGATCCTGCCCAATGGTGCGGATGTTGTCATCGAGCTCGTCGGAGCGGATCAATCGATGCGTGCCCTCGGATGGACGGCCTTGTTTGGGAGTGTCGTTGTTTCTGGCGTCCTCAACTCGTCTGCCATCGTCGAACCGTTTTCTCCCTTTCTCATACCGACCACCCGGAACCTGTCCTTCTACTCAGTCGCTAATGACGGTATAGGTGACCACGACGCCGGAGCTAGGCACACCGACATTGAACCGATATTCGCCTACGCTGTGAAGAAGATCGAAGACGGAAAGTGGAAGAAGGAGCATTTCGTGGACAGTGTCTACCATCTTTCCGACATTGGCAAGGCACACGAGCGCGCGGAAAAGAACGAGGCCACTGGAAAACTAGTGGTCCTCGTCCCCTAGACTATGTAAACACTTGAATTCTCAGCTTCAAGGGCTCAACTTTGGCCTTTGGTCAGCTTTGGCTAAATGGATTGGCTCTTTTTCAGGCGACTGCTACCATGGGCTTGCGGCCAAAGTCACCCCACATATACTGGACGTTGACGATGTTCCTCATCTCGTACGTTTTGGCCATTGACCGTCCATATACTTCTTCATCGTCGTAGAGGGCCCCGGCCAGGACTAACAGCGGATAGAAGTGATCGTTGGACGGGTGCGCCTCCAGGTATCGAGGACTCTGGGTGATGCGTACAAGTGCGGCGGCGAGTTCAGCACCCTGACTATGAGTTAGTATACTAATCAGGAGACACTGTCCGGGCGAAGAAAAAACATACTGTGTTGCTGGTGATGATATCATCAATGGACTTTTCAAAGTCCAGTGCAAATTTTGCAGGCTGGGATCCTTTCTGTAGGTTGTCCCGCCGTAGCAGGATTGGCAAGTGGTTCCCACGGAAGATGTTGTGGACAATGGATCCAGACGCCATGAGCAAGATCCCCTCTTTCCGGAGGCTTCTCAACGCTTGGCCCATCCGCACATGGAAGACGGGATCGTACCGGGCGTTGACGCTCACTGTGGTCGCTGGTGGCATGTCATTTGGAAACATGTGCAGTGAGGGAGTCGTGGGGGCATCGACCCATTCTGCAGTCGTCGATTCCTCCACGTCGGGAAATCCAGCAGCCCTCAACAGCGAGATCACTCGGAGTCCCAGGTCGCGCGAGATGTTCGGCTTGAAATGGTCGTACTTTTCACGGGGGACCAGAGGCGTGAGGTCGACATGAGGGTCCGAATTCGTGGCAACTCTGATCTTATCGTCGAGTTCGACCCAGTGAGAGTTGATGATCACGATTCCCTTGACATTGGCCACGATCTCCCTCCCAACCTGGAGCTTCTGTCAGCTCCAGTAACGACAGGAGTGTCTTGGAACTTGGAGGTTTTCGATAAGAAACGCACCTTTTGGAACCAGGCCGTACTGTCACAATCAGTAATTGACATCAAAGGAGTGCCATGAGAGGCGAATATCAAGGGCATGAGCCCCTCGGAGTTGTCCATGATGGGGTGTCAACGTTTCTGGCTCAGCGATGTGTCGTTCACGGCTATTGTAGCCTGGAGTCTGGAGAGGGCCACAGGGTTAAGGCAACCATTAGAGTGCCATCCGTGGGTTGGGGGATCCAACTCCGACAGTTAGCCTACTTGGCCGAAACCAGGAGTTGCCGATGGAGAAAAAGCCCCGCAAACTTGGAATCTCCGAGACGATAATGCGAGATACTCCGTACCAATCGGGAAAGGCGCAGCCTTGTGGCCATCTTATTTCCTCCGGGGTGGGTGCCAACGAGTTCCGGGCAAGTTGCATGGTTTGCCCTCCGTAATGACTGCTGGCCGTCTACACCGTTTGTTACTCCCTGACTCTCATGGTAAGATCCGCCGGGGAAAACATCTGATCGTTCTCGACCACACCTCGTTAGTCGGAGTGCCTAGACCTCACACCACGACCTGTCGAGATGTCGGCTTTTCGTTCAAGAGGGGACACATCCTACCTTTTGGGGCCCTCCTCTATGGCCCAAATCTACCCCTGCCCCCAATTTGCGTTGCATCCAGTTTCGTTGAGGCTCTGAGAAATGGCAGTAGTTCCTCCCATCAGTAATGGCGATGGCCTGCATCCTCCCCGGGATGAGGTTCTGCAGCATTACGAAGAGTTCAAGGCCAGCCGCATCAATCCATTAGGCTCTGCACAGTACATCGAGCTCGACGCCGCTGCCAGCCAGCGCTTTGAAGCCCTTGCAGAAGATCCATGGGTCGACCATGCGGCAATCAACGCACAAACTCCGACTCTGAAGGACGAAGACGACGTGAAGATCATCATCCTAGGCGCTGGTTTTGGCGGGCTCCTCTACGGAGCGCGCCTTGTCGAGGCGGGATTTCGGGCAGAGGACATCCACCTGATCGATACTGCGGGCGGCTTCGGAGGGACGTGGTACTGGAATCGGTATCCAGGTCTCATGTGCGATGTCGAGAGCTACGTCTACGCGCCTCTTCTCGAGGAGACGAACTACATGCCGAAGCACAGGTACTCGTATGGGACAGAGCTGAAAGAGCAGGCCAATCGCATAGCGCAGAAGTACGGCCTCACGGGCTTCTTCAGAGCCTATGTCGAGAGCGCCACGTGGAATGATCAACGCAAGAGGTGGGCGATCAAGATCGAAGAGAACCGCGGTCCCGGGCAAGACAAGGTCCACCTCACTGTCTATGCGCAATTCGTCATCTCGGCAACTGGCTTTCTGAACCATCCAAAGGTTCCGAACGTGCCTGGCTTGGAAAATTTCGAGGGCGAAATGTTTCACACGGCGCGCTGGAACTACCATGTCACGGGCGGCTCACCCGAGGATCCGAGCTTGACGCGTCTCAAGGGCAGAAGAGTAGGGATCATAGGCACGGGTGCGACAAGCATCCAGGCAACCCCGGAACTGGCCAAGTGGGCGGAAGAACTCTATGTCTTTCAACGAACGCCATCCAGTGTCGACGTGCGTGGCCAACGAGAGACCGATGTTGACGAGTGGAAGTCCAAAATCGCGACCCACAAAGGCTGGCAACATGACAGATGCGACAATTTCCTTCAATGGTCGGTGGGCTTGAACCCGGGAGAAGAAGACCTGGTCAACGACGGCTGGACCCACGCCCTGTCTTATATCGGTTTCATGGGCGCGCCGCACGAGAAGCCTATCCAGCCGGAAGAAGTTCCCAATCACATCGCCAGGCTCCTGGCCATCGACGAAGACATCGCGGAACAAAAGCGCCAACGTATAGCCAAGCTTGTCAAAGACCCGGAGACGGCCAAAGCTCTCACGCCGTGGTACCCAACATGGTGCAAGAGACCCTGCTTCCATGACGACTACCTCCCGACCTTCAACCTACCCCACGTCCATCTCGTCAGTACTCTGCCCCGCGGGATTGAACGTGGCACGAGCAAAGGGCTGGTGGTCAACGGCAAGGAGTATGAGCTCGACGTCCTGATTTTCAGCACGGGCTACCGTCCTCCGGGTGCTGGTCAAGCAGAGCCTGGGTCCATGGGGAACATGCAGTTCGTGGGGCGTGATTCCCTGACCATGTCCGAGAAGTGGCGGACCAAGGGAGCCAGCACACTCCACAGCTTTTTGACGCACGACTTCCCCAACCTGTTCCTCGGTGGCTACGTCCAGATCGGCAACGGGCAGCATGCCACTTACATCATGGATCTGAAGGCCCAACATCTTGCGTACATGCTGGCCGAGGCTCACAAGGGCGTCAAAGACAGCCAACGACTCACCATGGAGGCGACCGAGGACGCCGAGGAGGCGTGGTCCCAGGATGTCGCGAAGCATGCCGCTTGGTTTGCGGCCTATTCGATCTGCACGCCGGGCTTTGCCACCAACGAGGGAGAGGACTTGAAGCCTCTGAGTCTGGAGGAGACACTCAGAAAGGCCCGAGCGGCACCGCACGCCCAAGGGTTGATCAATTTCAGGGACGTCTTAAGGCGTTGGAGGGAGGCGGGGAATATGGCAGGGGTTGATATCAGTACATCGTAGGAACTGCCCGAGGTGTCCGGAGATGATGTTGAAGCCAAAGGGGTCAGAGTGATTTTGAGGTACTATTATTGCCTTAGTTGGCTGGATCAGAGAGCAGTGTTCCCAGTATGTAATTGATGCATCGAATTTCCAATCAATGGACCCTCTAGATCATCGAAGAATACGAGTCATTGAATCCAACCACACACATATCTAAGAGCGAGAGGCGGCTGTTATGATTGGTGTCATATCCTGCAGACCCGATGGTCAGTGCATCGTCACTACCACCGTATCATATTAGAAGAGGGGGGAAACTTGCAATGTACATGGCCCAAAGAGCTAATCGTGGTTCAGAGTCAATTGTCGACTGATCAACGACTGCTCTCGCCGCAAATTGATTGTGCACCGTCGTTCCATTTTCGAATTCCACGTCAACCTCTCCCAGCACGACAAAGTCATCGCCTCTGGCCGTTTGCGAATACGCCCGTGAGACATGATGCTTCCGTCTGATCATCTTGCTTCCTGGCTTTGGTTTGCTGCGACTATTCGAGATCTCTGTGACAAGTGGTAGTGCTTAGCTGGAGGGGGGGTTGACCAAGGGATGCTTTTACCTTGTCTGCCGACAAACTTGTAACTTCCGTGGTCAAACACGCCATCTGGACTGAATACCTCGACAGCCATCCTGGACGCTGCATCGGCGTCGTTGGAATCGCCAAGTTCCAAGAGCTTTTCCACCAACGCTCTGAATGGTTTTGGTATCGTTGGCTCTGGCCAGACCATGTCAGCGGTGATGTAGCTCATCGTGGGAGGAGTGTAGCGTGGGGACTTTGCGGTACGTCTATGGGCGTCTGAAGAAGGTGTCTTTGGTTTTGAGACAGGATTGCATCCGCCATTTTCAAAACCCAGATGGGATCTCTCTCTTTTGAGATATAGGAATTGTTAGGGATGGATGGGTCGCTGTATCGACGGCAACAGAGACGCTTCTCTAGTGTCTCTTGGTGCCTCTTCAGCTCCAGGGTTTTGTCGGATTCTGGCGTTTTAGCCGATCCTAATCCTGTCGCCCTCCCCACGCCAACCAAGTGCATATTGCGGGGGGGATCGTCTACCGACTAGTATCGCCACCAGCTACCAGAGCCAATAACAGGGAGGCCTCACCAGCCCAAGGCCTCTGGGGCGTGGCTCCCTGTCCCTCCAGTGCACCCGTGCTCCGATGGTTCTCTTGGTGCCGCTGTGGGCGACCTTTCTTCCCGCAACCTCGTTCCTCAAGACGCCCCAGCGGTGTTTACAATTCTCGCTTCCGGCCAACACCCCCCAACCATGGAGACAAACTCCCAGGAGGAGAGGCTCAAACAACGGCGACCCCAGTCCGCTGAAAAGGGTCAGCGGATGAAGCGGTCTATAGCTTGTGACTACTGCCGGGCAAAAAAAGTTCGATGTATGTGCAAATGTAGCGGCGCCACTCTGACCCAGGGCGAAATGGAAATGGAAATATGAAAAAAGTTGACAAATACAAAAAGGCAATTTTGAGAATGGAGACTCTTGTATGAATTGCATCGACCGAGGACTCAGTTGCTCGCGGCCGTCGCGTCCCCAGCGGCGCAAGAACAATAAAATACCAGTCAACCCGGACGAGGCTGCATCACAGACAGACTGGATGCGTGGCATGTTGCAGCCATTTCTATCCGAATATCCCAATCTTGTCACGGCAGCCGGAGCAAAGGCCAATGCGCTGCCTCAAGTCAACGACATCATGGTCGATCCCCCTGGGAATATGGACTCGGAAAACATGGCTGGCGGCCTGCCCGGGATGTTTGAGGTGAGTCCGATGGGATCTCGACATTCCAGGCCACCACCACCCAACCACGACGGCGATGTCGATATCCAGCTCCAATCTGCGCAGGGTGACAATGTCGAGGTGTACCAGAAGACGTCCGAGTCCCAGCTTAATGCGCATCAGCTGCCGGGGGGTTCTCATTCTACAGATACAGCAACGACCACACAATCTCCGCTGTTTGTCTCTGATCACCATGGCCTCAGCGCCATGCATAGTCCCGATCCACCCCACTCCGTCGTAAGTCAGATGGAGACAGAGGATGCCATGGGGAAGAGCAGTATCTGGTCAAACAAGATGGTATGTCGGGCGAGACTGTTTGATATCTCTCATACACATGAAAAGTCGCTCACTACGAAATAGACAAACTATCAATACTCGGGTGGGTGGTTCCCGCTTGATTGTTTTCGTGGGGACAGCAGATGCCTAACTCAGTGTGTCAGGCCCAACGTCGTTTATATCGATATGTTCAACCGCAGGTATCCAATGGGTCTCTGAGCGGACCGGAAGTGCCACCTTTGTAGACAGTGCCAATGAGTTCACCACTCGCATAACCCGGCTCCTGAAGATTGAAAAACGGTGTCTCTCCCCACCCATCGAGGAGCCCGACCTGGAGACCGCTTTGATCTACACCACAGGTATCTCAAACCGCATTCTGGAGCTCAAGGTTCAAGAGACTTTGACCCGGGACTAACACGAGTTAATGCCAGCTTACTTCGAGGACGCGATTGATGCGGAAATGGCCATCGTCCATCGCCCCTGGTTTGAACAGCGGTTGAGCGAGTTCTACAACAGCGGCATGAAGGACCAGGACGCATCATGGTACGCCCTTCGTATGGCCATCTTCGCGTCCGGGAGTCAAATCGAGCTATCGAAGACGAAGAGCTTCCGCGAAGCAAACGAAACTGGATGGCGATATTTCGAAAACGCCCTCTCGGTTTACACCAACATTCTCTTCTATCAAACCTCTGTCGAGGGAGTCCAAGCTTTGGTGATCATGGTCAGTGAAGAGAATAAATGTTCGGCACAGCAGGATTATTGATTATTGGCTTCTAGTCCTACTACTGTTCGACCGTGAGCCATCCTTGTCTCGAGTACATGCTCTGCAACGATGCTGTGAGGCTTGCTGTAGCTCAAGGACTCCATCGACAACCTCCACCCTCATTGAAGTTGACCCAGAGCGAGATCACCCAGCGGCAGTGCATATTCTGGGCCGCCTATTGCTTGGAAAAACAGACTGTGTCGCTGTCGGGTCGCCACTCGGTATGTATGTTTCTTATTGCTTCCCGCCAGGAGGTATCGTGAGGATAGCTTTTGTTCTGATCTGTGACACCTTGACAAAGATGATCGACGACAGTGACATCACCTTGCCCCTGCCGACGACCGTGTCTCCTGGCAGTACCCTGAACCTGAAATTTGCCGTCACTCTCATCCTGGTGTCTCACCTGTCGTCAATGGTCTCCAAACGACTCACCAGTATGTACGCGCTGCGACAAGGCCTCGACTATCTCGTCCATGTAGTCAGCAAACTGGACGAGAAACTCGAGGCCCTCAAGAAATCACTGGAACCTATTCTGTCCTCCAGCTCGATGCAAACAGTACCCGGTCATCGTCCATCAGGAATGAGTCTGAAACAGATTTTGTTCCTTCGATACGCGATATCCAATGTCACCCTGGGCATCCACACCAGCCTCACTCACCCGTGGGCCGAGTATCTTTTCGCGCACCAGAAGCGGCGCGCCGAACTCCAACCTCAGATAGACAGGTCATCTCAGATCGTGGCCGAAACATGTCGAAACGCAATTCGGATGATCAGTAAGATCCAATTTGACGCGAGCACGCCAGTATCGTGAGTGACAGCCAGCGGAAACCCCCGATGATCCAGATCCAAGACTGACATGTTTCTTTTTTTGGCCGCAGCGTGAGCTTTTTCGGTCCAATATACTCGTTGATCAACCTGTTCATTTTCATCCTGCAATCCCCTTCGGACTCCAATGCCAAATCCGACGTCGCCCTCCTCGACTTCGGCGCCGGACATTTCGCCTGGATGCAGATCTTTACAGAGTCCGAAGTCTCGATCGGCCTGGCCAAAGAACTGGCTGTTCTGGCTCAAGGGTTCCTGAAAAAGTATCAGAACGTCGACAAGGATTCGGCGGCGACGGCGGCGGCGATCCCCATGACCGCCTCCACACCAAGGACCGGAATCAACTTCGCTGACCAGGAACGAGTAAGGGAAGGTGGCAGCGGCGGAGGCGGTGGTGGTGGTGGCTTGCGATCAAACGACGAGACCGACGAGACCACTCTTACAGCCTCGCCGCCTCCCCCTCCGCCGGACTTTGGATATCAGCAGACCGCACAAGACCTGTCCGCGCAGCTGTCGGAGGTGCCGTCATCCTTTGACATCAATCTGGAATATTGGAGCACCTTTGTGCCAGATATTTTTGATCCGGATCCCCTGACCGACTTTGCCGGCGTGGACGGTATGCCTTAAGGCACTAGCCACTACCCCCGAGGGTTCTTTTTCAGGGGGAAGGGCAAGCAGTCTAGAAGATGCGATTGAGAGAAAGTCGGAAAAGCCTCGGGAGGGGGGTTTAACGAATGTAATGGGACAATGGAACAGACATGTAATAAAACATACTCAGGGCACTTACTTCCATCTTGTGTCAAGCGGAACCAACAGTTCCAAACAAACTCGAGTTCTTGGTCGCATAAAGAAAACAGGCTAACCCCCATGTTCTGATGGCTAGAAGTCTATCTATCCGGCCCTACAGTGAAAAGGTTCCTAAGCAATCTTGTACAAATCATCGGTCCCCGTTTTACCATCCAATTCCGTCATTGTCTTGATGTTCCAGTCATCGGGCTCGTAGTCGTCCGGCACGTTGGTGTTGCGGAATGGTTTCCCTTGCTTGACATGGGCCATGACGGCGTCGAACTTTTCGTAGCCGTATTGTTCCGCGTCGCCCGAGTACAGCCAGTCTGGCTGGGGAATCTTGAGAAATTGCGGCTCCTTCTTGACTCTTTCCCAGTCCGTCTGGTGCCATTTGTGACGCACTTCCCACCCCATTCGCTGCGTGGTCGATGTCCTGTCGTACCTGTGTGCGAAACGGGAGCGTTAGTTTCTTTGTCTGTGTGTGTGTACAGGCCCATCTATCTCTTTATTGCGCATGATTTGCGGCACTCACCTTAGTTTCTGGAACGCCCGTAGAGCAGACGGGATATCGGAACGTCCCGCCCTGTCGACCAGAGATGCCAACGTCGCCCCGTCCTCGACGCCCATGCCACCCCCAGACCCCGAGGTCGGGAGATGGGGGTGGGCCGCATCACCCACGAGAACGATTCTCCCTTTGTCAGAAACCCACTTGTCGATCGGGTCGCGCCACAGCAGCTTAAAGTCGCAAATGACGTCCTCGGGAATCTGTTTGATGGCGGCTTCCAAGACGGGATCGCAGCCCTCGACAACTTCGAGCATGTCCTTGACCGTGCCCGGGTATGTCCAGGACTCTTCGACCGTGTACGTGTCCTTGTGGGTGAGGTAGGCGGATATATATCCCAGCCTGGCATTGACGATGATGATGGCATGGAGGTTCAGCCCAATCCAAATGATCAGTTGGTCGTTCTCGGTATAGGCCAGGTCGTGGGTTAACGGATCCTTTTGAAGGTGTTCCCGTGGGAAATACGCCCGGTACACGGCAAAGCCACTGCGCTGGGCCATCTGAGTATTGCCCGTGACATATTTACGAGCCCGGCTGTACACGCCGTCAGCTCCAACCACGAAGTCTGCCGTCACCAATTCCCCGTTGAGATAGACGCCAGCCTTGTCGTCGCCTTCCCAGAAATCGGTGATTCGGGTACCAAAAGTGAACTTGACCCCGATCTTCACAGCGTAGTCGTAGATCAGGTTTTGAGAGCGAGCGCGGCTCGTGTAAAGGTTGTAGTGCCCGTTGTACTTGTCTTTCCAGTCCTGCTCTAAAAGGACTTCTCCCTTGTCGCTCTTGAAGGTGACAATCGCTGGTCTGGCCGACTCTGCTGCCATCTGCTCAACAACGTCACCCCACTTCTCCATGACAATGCTGGCATTGGCCGTCAAGGTGATGATGTCGCCTGTAGGAGCAGTCAGTTGTGTGTGTTTGTCCCAAGTATAATATAGACTGGACACTGCGCCGCCACCCGATTTAGAGCCACGAACCTAGGATCTGTAACTTGGGCTCCCTCTCCACCACATGGACGTTGCACCCCTTCCTCTTGAATTCAATGGCACAAGAAAGACCAGCATATCCAGCCCCAATCACAATAACATCAATGTTGTTGTTTCTGGAAAAGTCCTCATCCGCGGCAGTAGGTATACTTCCCATGCTGTCGTTCCACTAGCTTTCGTGCGGCTTTCAGACGGTGTGTGTGGTTTTTCGGGGGCCTGCACTATTTTCGCAAACTAACTTGTAAATAGTTTTTTGTAAGAGCCTCGGGGTCTGTTGTGTGTGTGTGTGTGTGTGTGCGTATGGCCATGGCCATGGACCCCGGAGACGCTCGGGCACCTGACAAAGCAGAAGACTTTCGCCGGACGGGTATTGTCAACACACATACCGACGCCAACAAATATGCTCTGGGTACCGGATTCTCCAACATATCGTGCATATCTCGGCTTGTTGTACTCTGGAGCAGGCTCGATCGTTTGAGGGCGACGAGCTAGAAATGCGGGCTAGACCGATCGAGAGGCGGGGGAGGTCGAAGGAGGTTACCAGTAAGCCTTGAAAGCTCGTTGGGCGCGGTTGGGATAATTTCACCTTTTCGGCTACTTGGAGGCAGTATGGGCATGAGAAGGCCAGTTCCCCCGAGATCCAAAAGTCAGCTGAGAAAGAGTTGCCATCTAGAACCGGGGAATTCACAGTCGCAAAGTCTGACTACCCGGACGGCACAATGCGTAGCGCTATACCAATTTCGGAAAAGTAAAACATGGTCTAACCCGAAATGAAACTTTATTTGCTCGACTAAATAACCTGATTTGGACGGCGAGGAGCTCGGACTTTTCGCACATCTATGCGCATTACTCCACATTAACTGTTGTGCAGTTCAATCCCCATCCAGCTGTTCATGGCCCATGGATTTCAGCATCTACAGTAAATCGTCGACTGGATGGATGGTCGCGCGATTCCTTTGTGGCAACTGCCTTTAATTCATGATAAAACCGGCTTGAAAAGGCTGTATAGTAGCTCTATCAAGGTCTAGTCAAGCTGTCAATTATCGTGAGAGGATCCTACCCCTTATTCACCAATTTACCAGCAGATGGATAGATGTCTATTGGTTGGAATCAATGGTTAGAGAATAGTCTACGTCGAGCCACATGTGACATGCAATCTCGAGGAAATAAAAAAGGTCATCGTCCTTCTGTTCCATTTTCACAACCAATTATTCTCATGTAAAGAGCTTGGACGTCTCTTGTATGTCTTGTGAGGGGCGAATATGCCCTTGTTCAAGGAACTGTTAGTTTACCTGGGCCTACTGGGACCTGACTGGAGTGCATGGCCTCTACCGTCTCACAGTAATCTCGTGCCAAAGGTCACGAACCCATTCCCCCCGCTGCGCGAGACGCAATGCAATTCACCGTCACAAAGAGGTCAATGGTGCGATGGGTTTTCCATCGACACGGACCCTGACGAGGATGGACCGACTACCGGGAATGTCTGTGAATACTTGTTCATCATTACAAACACCACCAAAGATTTCGACGGGGTGGAACGCCTTGCGCTGGCGGTCAACGGGCAAGTTCCCGGCCCAGCGATCGAATGCCAGTGGGGAGATATTCTACGGGTCAATGTGACGAACGAGATGCAGAACAATCAGACAGCGATGCATTGGCACGGTCTCAGCCAGCGTGGAGGCACCACCAACGACCAAGATGGAGTCCCTGGAGTGACAGAATGTGCCATACCGCCGAGTCACAGCCGAACATACGAGTTCAAGCTGAGTAAATCAACACACACATCTTTCCACTTTCGGGGAATCTGGGCTAATTCTTGCTCTCTCTTGTCATTCTGTAGAGCAGTTCGGTACAGCTTGGTGGCATTCCCATGCTTTGTCCCAGTTTGGTGACGGGATCCGGGGTCCGATCATCATTCATGGACCCGCGACAGCCGACTACGACATTGATATGGGCGCCATCATGATAGACAACCTGTTCGACAACAGTTCCAACCCGATCTCGACTCCGGCCTATGCCTCTCGCGTCCTCCACGTGAATGGAACGGGCTTTTGGAACTATGTTCTGAACGGTGCAAACACCTCGCCCGACCTGACGAGGGGCAGACACGCCTTCTGGTCCGTGAAGCCAGGGAAGAGGTACCGTTTCCGAATCATCAATTCCGCCGTCCAGTCGGCATGGGCCGTCCACTTTGACCATCATAAGATGACGGTCATTGCGGCGGATCTCGTCCCCATCAAACCCTACACGACCGAGTGGCTCAATATCGGCAATGGCCAGCGATACGACGTGATTGTTGAAATGGACCAACCGGCAGATGCGTACTTTCTGCGCGCCGTGGCTCAGCTGGGTTGTCCTGACGAAACACAAAACAATGGTCTCGGCCTCGCGAATGGGATTTTCCTGTATCAAGGGGCGTCCCTCGACCTTCCATCGTCCACGGCGGGTAACAAGACGGCTGCAGACTTTCTGTATTGCGCCGACGAGCCGCTGTCTTCGCTCACCCCGTGGATCGAGAAGAGCGCCGGCTCCCGTGCCGCATTTGAAGCAAAGGCCAGGACCCTCCCGAGTGGTGATCGCTACCGTCTTACATATAGTGATGACGGGACTGTGTGGCGTTGGCCTCTGAATGGCACCATCACTGTGAACTACACCCAACCGACCCTTGAGCTTCTTGCTCATGGAATCTCTCCGTATGACAGGCCTATTGAACAGCAAATTGTTCTCCCTGAAAAGGACCAATGGGTGTATTTCATCATTCAGAACTTGTTTTATGCGGCCCACCCGATGCACCTCCACGGCCACGAGTACATCCCACCCCTCGCCTTCCTCCCTCTTTCCCATCTCTCAAGACTTTGGGCTGACATGTTTGCCTTTCACATAGTATGGCGATTCTAGGGCAGGGCAAAGAAGAATGGAATGCCAGCCTGATCTCGACGCTCAACTTTGAGAATCCACCGAGGAGAGACACGGCTCTTGTTGTTGGCAACATCGAAAAAGACCCCAACGTCGGAGGTAGCCCCCTTTAGTTCTATCTCCACTAACAGCAGTTGCAACGCTCACATCTTCTCTAGGCTATTTAGTCCTGGGTTTCAAAACTGACAACCCAGGCGTTTGGTTGCTCCATTGCCACATCATCTGGCACTCCGAGTCTGGGATGGGTTTGCAATTCATTGAGCGTCCCGACGAAATCCCTGCAAAGGCGTACGCGAGCAAAGAGAGCTTCGTCCAAGAGTGTGCAGCCGAGTTGGAGTACGAAGAAGAGGACCCAAGCCACAAAAAGTCCGGGAGCGTGTCGGGAGTGTAAGTAGAACTTTGGGGGGTATATACCACGACAACTGTTGATTCCTGGTAGGTAGAAACCATGTAGAAATAGTGACATAAAAGCTCCTTGGTCTGGATAGACGGGGAATAATCATGGAATTCCAGCCTTTTCCGCGACATAACCACAAAGTGCCTCATAAATAAGAAGGCAGGCCCTACCGGGTAACAAGCTTGATCCGGCACAGCAGGTGAGATTATTTTGACCAATCTGTACCAGGGTCAACCCCCTCCTCTTCCTCTCCTGTGGCGGCTCTGTCCGGTGGTGGGTCGACTAGGCCATCATACATGGTGGCTCCTCCACTTTGAATCTCGGGCGGGAAAAGAATTCATGTATATAAAGGTTGGTTGGATCGCGAACCTTTCTGTGTCTGGCATAGAATGTGCTAGTTCGATATCTTTCAGACTCTATCTAGTCGGCGCAAACCTCGACCATTTTCTTCCTCAACACTTTCGCTCTCAGCTCCTGTTTCCCTTTCAACATAAGACCATCCTTTGTCTTTTGAAGCGATGCAACCCGGACAAGGCACCAAGACAGTTCGCCCAAGTGTCGTCGAGGATGTCGAGACGACGCCTCTTCTGCGAAACGAAGAGGTCCAACACGGCAGCGACAGTGACGCCAATGTGGTCGACTGGGAGGGTATAGACGACGCGGAAAATCCTCTCAACTGGAGTGCGAGGAGGAAAACCATCAACATCATGTTATTATCCTACATGACCTTTTTGACGTACGTGCCGCCACGAGACGCGGAACATGTGCTGACCGAGTTTCTCTCCATCCAGTCCGTTTGCATCATCCATGTTTGCTCCTTGCGTGCCGCAGGTCATGAAGGACTTCAACGTCGACAATATCGAGATGGCCTCTCTGGTTGTCTCCATCTATGTGCTCGGCTATGCCTTTGGGCCTTTGGTTATTGCGCCGCTCAGCGAAGTGTACGGACGGAAAGCGTTGTACCTGTCCACCTCACTTTTGTTCCTCGTCTTTACGCTCGGGTGTGGCTGGTCCACGAGCATACACATGTTAGCGGCCTTCAGATTCCTGGCTGGCACCGCAGGCTCCTGCCCCATCACCGTGGGCTCCGGGACCATCGCGGACACATTCAAGCAAGAACACCGGGGGAGGATTATGGGCCTGTGGCAGTCTTCCGTCCTGTTTGGGCCGAGGTGAGTTTTCTCGTTTTGCTCGTTTTGTTTTCGTTCTTCTAGGAAGACAATGGCCATGGCGCAAGGTGGTCGAGCTTACGGACTGTGTGAAATACAGCCTGGGCCCTGTCCTTGGATCCTGGATTGCCGACTCATGGAGCTGGAGATGGGACTTTTATGTTCTCGCCATCTGTGTAAGTGGGATCTGCCGACACAGGATTTACTTTGCTCTTTGACATGGCTTGCTGACTCCCCCTTGTGCCATTCATTAGACAGCCGTCTACATTCTGCTGGCCATCCCATTTCAAGATGAAACGTACCCAGTCTTACTACTGGAAAGAAAGGCGGACCGGATCCGAGCAGAGACGGGCAACGGGCAACTGCGGTCCATGTTGGCGACTTCGGCCAAATCCCCGCGAGAACTGCTTGTCATGTCGATTACCCGGCCCCTCAAACTCCTGTGCGGGTCCCTCGTCGTGTTCAGCAGCTCCCTCTATGTCGCCGTCGGCTACGGCTACATGTACCTCATCTTCGCCACCATCACCCGGGTGTTTTTGGACCAGTACGGTTTCGACAAGAGATCCGTCGGGCTCGTCTTTCTCGGAGTCGGGCTCGGCCAGTTCATCAGTCTCGGCTTGTTCAGCGCCACGTCGGACAAGCTCCTCAGGAAGCTCGCCGCGGCCAGGGGCGGCGGGGAGATGAAGCCGGAATACCGTCTGCCCCTGCTCTGGCCCGGCGCCGTCTTGATTCCTGCAGGCTTGCTCGTCTACGGCTGGTCGGTCGTGTACAAGCTGCACCCCATCGTCCCCATCGTCGGAACCGGCCTGCTCGGTGCCGGCACCCTCTGGACCTTCCTCCCCATCGGCATCTACCTGGTCGACGCGTTCACCGTCTACGCCGCGAGCGCCACCGCCGCGACCACCGTGCTCCGCAGCATTCTGGGAGCGGTGGTGCCACTGATCGGTGCGCGCCTGTACGAATCCCTGGGTCTGGGCTGGGGGAACACCCTTTTGGCCGGCGTGTCGGTGGCCTTGACACCCCTGATCTGGGTTTTGATCCGGTACGGCGAGACGCTCAGGAACTCACCCCGGTTTCAAGTCAAGCTGTGAAATTGTTAGTTGCCGGTAAATTTTATTTTGCAAGTCACATGTGTGCGACGGAGCATTTTGACCGTGGGCTGTGAGAAAAAAAGGAAGTATTATCCCATCGGAGCGTTACCGGATATTCACCATCGAGGGGATTTCGTCTGTGCGTTTTCTCTCTTCTTGCTATGGAATGGATCATAAATAGCGTATCAAGAACACGCAGCGTTACAACCTTTTTGGGGAATTTTGGACAAGGTTGCCAGGCCGGCACACAGAGGAGTAGTGAAGTTGCTATATGGTACAGATTTATGGCAAATGAAGAGACACGACACAGACTCTCTATCCCCCTCCTTGCGAAAGAAAAGCTCTGACGAGGTGAGAAGCTTTACTTTGACAGTCTTCTCACGTACAAGAAATATGCTCCAGTGACACCAAGTGTCGCCGCACACAGCATTCCGACTCGCCTCGCCTGCCGGGCCATGTAGATGAAGAAGTCGTCGGTCTGATTCGGGGCCTCTCCAGGCTTCTTTACGATGCTGGAAACTCGTTGCACCACTTCGTCCAGCACAGCTGGAGGTTTTGCGGTCGGTATGGTCATCGAGACTCGTGATGTTGCAAAGAGCTCGGGCGGGAACACGACGTCGGACGGCTGGGAGGCTGTAAAAGCGACACATTAGCCTGGGCCATGAACAGACACGAAAGGGGATCGGGGGAAAGTTTACAAGAATAATGAGGGGTGACTGTGGTAACAGAGCCCAGAGAGTAGACGTCGCTTGTTGTCCATTTCTCAAAATAGTCCGAGTTGGCTTTGCTGTAGGGCGCGAGGAGCGCCAGGAACGCTGGTTTCGTCGGAAGTTTGCGCAAGGCATCTATAATGTGGTCGATGGTCCGGTAGACAACGACCAGCAGGACGCCAGCTCGACGACCCTGGTCGAGGGCAGCTTGCAAGCCTCGTGGCCTCGTATCCGAGCGGATTAATGTGTCAAGGTCGACCCGGAAGACACCAGGGGAGAAAGGGCCAGAGCCGTTCAGATGGAATTCTGCAGAGGCGGACTTCTTGTCGGCCACCCCCACCCCTGTGCCAGCGGATATGTCGTTGAAACTCTGCTGAAACCGCGCGATCTCGTCTTGTCGAAGGAAAACTGCATTGACGGCCTCGGGTCTGATACCTCTGAAGCTGAAGCTGTCGAGGACCTGCTTCGCGATGTCGTCGTGGGATTTGGGCCCTTCGTCCACGACGGCCAGGCTTGCACCGGGTGTCGTTTTGACGAAGCGGGCATTGGTGTTGGGCCGGTTCAGTATTTCGTGATATGGTTCGGCATCGTCGGCTAGAGAATAAACAGATATATTCAGCAAAGACACAGAGAGAGAGCACTAGTAGGTATTCTGATTAAACTTACCGAAAATGGTTATCAAGTCGGCATCTCGGAGCGCGGTTACATCGTCCTCGAATTTCTCGAGGATGTGAATGGCAGCAGAGTCGAGATATTTGGGCGCTTCCCTCTTGAGAGTCATCCAGAAGGCCGTCGACTTCTGAGAGAAGCCATTGGCAACGACGACCGTGTTGCCCACGGCGATGTTGGTAGCAAGGGTGCTGAAAACGAATCGGATCGGATTGGCACTATCCACCACGACCATCGAGACTCCCACGGGAAGAAATTGCTGTTTCAGTCCTCGTTGTGGACCGGGCAGAGATTCCAGGGGAAAGGAGATCTTGGACAGGTAAACATAGTGCCTTGCGATATCCTCAAGGACCAGCGCGAGTTCCTGCTCGTACTGTCGTTGTGTCCCCCCTGAGCCATTTTCTGCATCTTCCCACACACCGTCAGCCTTATCTCGCCCGGGAAGAACAGACAATGATTCCACTCAGGTGCTTACCCTTGCACAAGCATTGTATCAAAGTCTCCCTCTGGGTCGTCAGAAATTCACACAAACCATACATCTGCCGCTGCCTCCAGTTCCAGCTGGAAGTGGTGGTTTGAATTGCATACGCGGCATGAGCGCTACGGACGGCACTAGCCGTCGCAGATGAGCCATCTTCCCTCGAAGCCATTGTCGCCGCTGTAGATGATGCCCGTATGCAGGAGGTCCGTCGTCGGGTCGTTGGGTCGCCGGGGGAAGAACACAGGACGTGACGATGATGACGATGGAGGGTTGCACGAACACCTTGCAGCCTCGTCAGGCGGAATGAAAGGGTCGAGAACTCGCCCAGCAGTAGCCTGTGACGACGTACTAGGTACTGCTAGCATGGCCAGGAAAGAAGTTCCTAACTCATTGGATTAGACTCTCCACCAGTACCGAGTACTTCAGTGGCAAAAGCAACGAGGTACTCCACCGCGACCCCAACTTCCGCAGAAACCACCAAAGTTTTGTCTCCCCGACTTCTCTTACTTCTTGTGGGTAATTTCGCTTGGGGGTCTTTCGGGTCGTGGTGCGGCCGGAGCCGAGCAAGAACCGTAACCGTAAAGCCTCGCAACTATCATGCATTAGAGGCATGCTCCGGGAAAACTTAGCCTATATTACCATTTACGGCCGGGCTTTCAAAGAGCCAAGAGACATAGCTTCGCCGAAAGATATGCCCGGCCTACTTCCTCGTCGACGGAAATCTTGCGCCCAGGGGGCTCTCGTTCTCCCGAGCCATCTATTATTGTTCGGCGAATGCTTTCTAACCCGAACCCCAACCTCGGCTCTTACAGGGGTAACGTAGTAACGTAGCGATTTACGTTGTTGGAGGTAATTTATCTTCCGGCGTTACCAATTACACTATATGCCAAAGTGGCGTAGGTACTACACTACTAGGAATCGAAATCGATGAATCGACTCCCTATTGAGCATCACCTAATGAGTAATCGAATCCTGCAAACGCTGGCTGGGCGACGTCCCATGTAACCTCAGACCTTTGAGCCAGGAGCTTTCAAGGGAAGTCCAGATCGATGGGACTGGAATGTTAGCATAGAAGCATGCTAGAGGCGCGAAAGCCACTCATGAGCGGAAGACGTCTCCTGGACCATAAGCCTCGGTACTAAATGGACGATGTCGTCTACAAGCCACACGTCGGACAAGTCAGCTCGTTGGCAGCAGACGTCCCTTCCAGGATAATGGCAATACCACCCGCGCAGAGGTCTACGACATATCCGTTAGCCCGTTTTCGCACAGAGCTGAGCACAAAGTTGTGTACGTGGACTCATCATGAAAAGCTGGACCCACTCATCGAATATATCGTTCCTATACCGCCAATGCCCAAGATTGTGGCGGCTACCAGGACATATGGTGTAGCAAGTAACTCACTCACTGGAGTTCGAATGAACTTGGCAGGGTTCCGTACGGAATCACGCGCGTGAACATGGAGATACTGACAGTGGCGCCATCCCAAGACTTCTGGGGCCAAGTCTGCGGCAATTGGTGATACTCCACCGCGACTGTGAGCAAAATCATAAAAGTCGAGCAGATACAATCTCAAAGCCGATCTTTCTCCCCCAAATTTCTGTTCCAGAATCAATCGAGAGAAACCATCAGAGATCAAATCGAAGTAGATACATCCTGGGCCCCTACATTCAAACCGCCACAGTCGGGTAGTAATTATTAGCGATAGTGCCATTAGTCTACTCATAGCATACAAACTTCAAAGGAGCTTTGAGGACGTGACCTTTCAGATCTATGAGAAGAACGCCGACATTGGAGGCACGTGGTACGAGAATCGTTATCCCGGCCGTGCTTGCAGTAACCCTTCGCACACTTATGTCTGGGTGAGTCTTTGTCCCTTTATTAGACACGGCTTTTGCTGACTGGAAGCGGGTGTTTCGCAGTCTTTCGACCCAAATCCCACGTGGTCAAGCCCTTATGCTTCCTCCTCCGAGATCTACGAGTACTTCAAACGCTTCCAGTTCCGATTCAATCTAGGTGAGAAGACTAAACTCAACCACCATGTTGTTGATGCCACCTGGGACGATGCATCGGGTCGCTGGGAGGTGGTGATCAAAGACCTCAGCAGCGGACAAATCACCAAGGGTCATTGCGAGGTTCTGATCAATGCGGGCGGCATTTTCAACCACTGGAGGTGGCCGGCTATACCTGGCCTGGGAAATTTCACGGGCCGTTCATAGTGCCGCATGGAATCAAAGTCTCGATCTCACTGGCAAGCATGTGGGCCTGATCGGAAATGGGTACACTCCTTCACGAGTCCCCTACGCCATCACTGCCGGTGCCTGGTGCGCATGCTGACTTGGATATAGCTCATCAGGTATTCAGTTTCTGCCTGCCATCCTTCCGCAAGTGTCTCACTGTACCACCTTCATTCGTGAGCCTACGTGGGTCGCTGTTGCCGGTTTCTCAGGCTTCAACCCTCGCAAATTCACCCAGGAAGAGAAGGCGGCATTTTTGAGTGATCCGATCAAGTTGCAGACCTTGCGACGTTGGCTGGAGCATAACGCAAATAGAACTTTCCCATTGTTCTTGGAAGATGGCCCGGCGCAGTCCCAAGTCCACTGAAATGTTTGTAGCGACCATGAAGGAAAAATTGCAAGACCCAGGAGGCAAACAGCAGAAGATTCAGCGATCCTGGGCTTCGCTAGCCATATTGCGATAACCCCAGAGAGGATCCAGTCCTCCAGGGGGAATGCCAGTCCTCCTGCTCCAAACCAAGGGAAGAGGCACAATGGAAGCAGAAGCAGTGTGATGATAAACCCGGTAGCTCCTCCCAAACCACCCACGGCCAGAAAATCAGAGCCTGGGAACAAAAGGCTGAGGCCAGCCGTCCTGATCTTGGTGCTGGGTAAAGCATAGAACAGAGAAAGTCCCAACGGCCACCATCACGAGGTATATTCGCATCGGTTGCTTCTGCATGCTATCTGTCAGTGTTGCAAGACCAGTGAAGTTTGGGATCAGCAATTCACTAATGTCTTTTCCTGTTAGCATGATACAGCTTGGAAATATGCATTGCCATTACCTCTTGGATAGTCCCTGAATCGACCTTTGCCGTCCAGGTTCCAACCTCTTGTGACATTCTTCTCAGGTCTTTGCACTGCTTGGGTGGGCGGTAATTGCGTGCATGCCATTTCCTCCGAAAGAATCAAGCCTGTCACCAGACAGGGTGATGGTGGCCGTGTTGACAGTGGTTGTATTGGTACTCATGATTGACCCCAAATCGACAGTAGCTACTGCTTTCTGAAAGTGTTTGTTGCTCAAGATCTACCTTGAGACGTTCTAGGAGTGAATAAATATATACAGCTCGTTCAAGATCGCTCGGCCTAGAGTTTGAGCCAAACACTCGCCACCAGGTCATTTTGTATCCCTCCCCCGCAGCGAGTCCTCGTAAAGCCCGCACTGGACGATGTCGTCCATTCTTCACAAAACTGTGCCCATGGATAGCTATGCTCGCGGATAATAGCGCCCCGAGGTTGAGAATTTCAGATGGGACTATCTGCAGATCTCACGATTGGTGTCATCAGACCTTGCTAGCTGGATTTGCTGGATTCACTGCAGTAATGCTGGAGACAGATGACAAGGCAATGCAATGTTCAGACGCTTACCCCTTTTAGTAATACACTTGCCCGTTTTGGTCTAGTTTTTTGCAGACAGCTTACTAGAAATGGCATAGCCTGGTTAGGGTGCTCACATAACTGATACCCTCAGGCTTTTCCTGCTCTTCTTTGGGTGGAGCAGATGAGGCAGATGAATACCCTTAGCTTTTGTTGCCTTCTGTACCTACCGCAACTCATATTGCCCAGCCTAATCTTTCTTTAAAGGCTCACACGCTTCACAAACATTCAAACGGCGCTTGAGCGGACACTTTCTGCTTCGCCGATATGGCAGCGTGCTGCCTTTATAGCGGGTTTATTCTCTCCGTGTTTTGCGAAAGCACCAGGTCATCTTCTCGTATTGGCTCTCTGATACGCTTTGGGGAGAACGAGGTCGTCTCGATAGCTGTGATGAATGATTTGACCTGGCTTATATACTCAAGATGGCGGATGACGGTCAAGCAAGAGTTATATGTGCTAGGAAGCAGCCGCCAGTTGTTTTACAGCAGAATCGGCGACGCCGCAGGATGCATATATACGGATATCGAAGCATTAGTACATTATTCCATGACCCAACTCTCTTTCAGAGCTTCAATAACAGACTCCGTGGGCCAACCGCTTTCTTTGCCCGTGGCAGAAAGTAAATCAATGATGGCCTCTTGCTCTGGTGGACTTCTGAACCACCCGCCGCCTAGAGATGGTGTCTCAAGTCAGTTTGATGTCCCCTGCCATGTTCCGAGCTTCACCACTTACAGGTAAGCAAAATGGCACACAGGGTGAATCGCGTGGTGACAAAGTCGTTTGATGAGGCGATTCCGCAAGCGAGTCTTGCATGTTCGAGAACGTCGCGCTATCCGTTCGACGAGTGTGGTGTGTAAGGTTAGATCTCGGGTCTGAACGTGCAAAGTGTACTGATTCGAGGTTCACTCACCTCCATCTCAAGATGGGCTCGCTGGTATTTCAAGCCTGCGCCCGGGCGCTGTAAGCTCGGATTGTAAAGTGCGAGCAGTATTTTGGCTAGGTGATAGTATTGCCATCCGGTGGCTGCTTTCCCACGAGAAGGTCAGAGCCTTTACCCATCATCAAAGGGCGTAAGTGTGGAACTGCAAAAACACTCACCATGCCACGGGTCAGACAGCCAAATCTCCGGGAAATAACGGCCGTCCTCTATTGACCGTCCACGATAGAACATTGGCGTGAACGAGGTCGGCTTGTTCTCATACCATTCCTTCACCTTTTGAACATGGTCGTCGTAGGTTACGGAGTCGGGGGGTTCGTCTCCAAAACAAAGAGTCATGATGGCAACCGTGACCCATACCATACGATTGGCCCAGTGACATTCCGGTCTTGTCGTGTCGTTGGTCAAGGGCGGTTCAATCGAAATGGGAGTGCGAGGGGGCTGCCTCTTTGGCAAAGACATGTAAATATCCTGCCGAACAAATTGCCAGAATGCGGCTTGCGACAAGCCCTCACCCAGCGGGCAATCGGGGGAACTGAAAAGGGCCGAAACCCCCATTAGATGGTGGCCATGGTCCTGCCCCGTGATTACGACTGGGGGAAATCCGTCAGTTCCTTTCTGTTGGCCTTGTTTGCCAGACCAAAACATACCGTTCAGCTCCTCATACTTTCGAAGGATAACTACCGTTGCCAATACATTATCGTTGGTCACGCAGCGCTCGTCATTGAGGAGTGGGATCAATTGGATGTTGCACCGCGAATGGTAATCCTCGGCTATCGAGGGCCTTAGGGAAGACACCCGGCTGAGATGGAGGGCAGACAAGGCAAAGATGGCGTTCATGAGCACCTCGCAGTTTGAAGCTCTTTTGGGCACTTCGAGCTGGAAATGTCTGTTTGAATCCGTGACATCGAACTTTTGTGACGGTGCTAAGTATTAGCAAGGAGTCGGGCAACGAACACATTCAAAGGCCTCTCACCCATGGAGCCAGTGTCTGGCAGAAATGGCGCAGCAGATGCGCCTCTGTGCGATCTTTGATCAGGCACGAGGACCGCTCGCCAGCCTGCCCGGAATCGACCTCGTTCCGTCTGGGGTCGCAACTCATGCCCGCATCACTGCTGATAGATGACGTGTTTGTCGCGAACCCGATCAAGCGCATAAAGTCCAAGCTGGTCTCCAAGCTTGTCTCCTCCTCAGGAAAGCTCAGGTCCACTGCAGGACATTGAAGGGCGTCAGACGGAGGACCATTTGGTGCTATCTGATACAGGCTCGTCGTGTCTCCTGCGCCGAGCATGGGCGACGAGTCCTTGCTGCCGCCCGTTGAGAGCTCGTCATTCTGCTGCTGCGGTGACGCCTGTTGGGACAACAAGTCTTCTACCGTGCTATCTGTCAGGAAGGTCACTACTGAAGGAGTCAGCGAGGGCCCAAAAGCTCCGAGCCAAGGAACCAACCGCACAGATGGGAGGAATTTCAACCCAACGACGCTCCTTTCTTGTCTCTTGGTTGTTGGAAGCGCTGCATCTTTTACGTCCTTTGGGCTCTCGCCATTGTGAGAACCGCGGACCCCTCTCACACACTCTCCTTGCAGCCTGACATCTCAGACAGGCAGGCCGTGTCTCGTCGCCTACAAGAGGAAACCATCAGATGTGCTGTTATGTCAACATCCTAGCCCTTTTGCCTGCTTACACTTCAAATGGCGGAGTCGGCACTCTGTGCTATGCAAATCGATCAATAAAGGCGCGGGCTGAACGGTGTACGAGGCTTACCATCCACGACGCGATCGTTGGGTTTCCATGATTTTCTTCGTTGGCGCTAGCAAAAACCTCCTTGCACCCGAGGCTGTTATGTGTCCGCGTCTACATGCCTAGCCTGCAGAAGAACGAGTTCTGATCGCTGATATGCCGAGGGATGCTCCTCGCCGAACAATAACGCAAAGAAGAAAAAAGCACGGAAATGGTCACAATTGGAGGACGGTTTTCAAGAACCAGGGCGCCAAACACTGGTATGCGACACGGATCCCCGGACTTCATATCCTACCCCGCCGGGGAGGGGTGTCGAGGCATAAGGGGGAGCCATCAATCCGGGGTACCGAGAGCAACTCCGCTTTGTGATTGATCTTCAGGCTCTGGGCATCAATAGACTGGCAATCAACCCCCAAATTATGCAGCATCGAGGAACTGCGATGACCTGGACATGCATGACCCAATGAATTCCTACTGGGCCAGGACCCCCCAAAACTTGGCACCATATTCGAGGGGCTCTAAACCCGATTCTTTCGCCGAGTGCAAATGCCCGATTGTTTTGGGAACAGTCGCAAACTAAGAGATTGGGGCCAACACCTCGAGCCGGAGCTTCTCTGAGCCTTTTGACAGAGGGAGTGTTGGAGTAACAGTCTCTCTGTGTTCTTCCAGCTAAGTTTATTGATGGGTCTGCATGGCCTGAGATCCTCTGGTGCCCCCATTGTGAAGTTTTCCATGGCTGGCATCAATTCGTGGGACAAATGTCACCACTCTTCGCGGCCCATCATTCATCGTCACCTTGCCCACGTCGCGCTTACAGGGAGATCAAAGAAATCGATCTCCAGTTGCTCGGCCAAGGGGCATGTCGACGACGACGACGAATCCTGTAGAGGAAAACGTCAGCGCCAATCAAGAGAAGGAGTAGGAAGAAGGGACTTTGTTCTAACCAAGTGCCTGCTTCTCAGACCTCGTGCCTGGAAACCACTCAGGAGGTAAGTTACTCTGCCCTCGTTCGCGACATGTATGAAGGTCCGAGTTCGCTTGCCGTTTTGATGGTTGGAAACGTAGTCCTTGTATAGTGGGTGGTTGAGCAGTCATCATGGCTGCTGCATACAGGAATAAATGAGAAGAAATCATATGTAGCTCATTCCTCGTTTGACCAAGGACATGGGATTGTCAATGATCCTCGGGAGTATATCATGGCCGGCGTAAAGTGAACTCGCTCTGTGTAGATGGACCGCATTGCTTTTCCACCGTTGGACATGTAGCCGATTTCTTTTATTTCCGAAATGACTGGACCATCTAGACCCCCCAGTCCTGAAAGCAACTAGAGCCTGCGTGATATCGGGCTGGCAATCATATATTGGTTGTCGTACATCAGCTCTCCCACCCCACCGTGGTCTTGGTGCATAACTCAGGGCCCCTGTTTCTCAAGTTGTCTGCCCCAATCTCCCCTGCACTGTGGTTGAACAAAAGCCCACGAAAAGAAAAATGGACGAGATCGCAGCACTTCGGCACCTTGAGCTCTACGAGGCGGTGGTGCCCACGAGTGAAATATGCGGCCGCTTACTCGAGCCGCGAGCCGCTGTGATCAACGCGGCACCGCGAGAGACGTTCAAGTACGGCCCGCATCTGCGGCATGATCTGGACTTGTATACACCTTCAAGGGGGACGTCACAGAATAATCCGCTTTTGGTGTTTTTGTACGGAGGCGGGTTTGCGTCCGGAGACAAGCTCTTCGACCTGATACCCGGCGACCTGGTCTACAAGAACCTGGGTTCATTCTTCGCCGAAGAGCTGGGCTTCGACGTGGCCATTGTCAACTACAGATTGACGGCGCACGGCGCCAGATTTCCACGGGGGGCAGACGATCTCGACCTGGCCCTCAGATGGCTCGATGAACGGTACAAACCTCAAGGTCCCAGGGATTTGTACATCATGGGTAATTCAGCTGGTGGGATCCATCTCACAACGTGGCTCTTTTGGCCAGACTTTCGGGACACGATCAATTGGCTCGTCTCGGGCACAGGCACGCTGACCCTGCGAGTCGGCATCACGCTCGGCTGCCCCTTCACGTGGCCCCAGTACGTGATCGACTCAAAGGTTGGGGACAGTGTCAAAGGCTACTACGGCGACGAAGCAAAGGTCAAGGAGAACGCGGCTCTTTTGCTGGTTCAGAAAGCTCTCGAGACCGTGCCAGTCGAGACAAAGTGGCCGTCTATGTTGGTTCTGGTCAGCGAGATGGACCCTGCCGACATCCAAGACTCTGGGAAGCAATTCGTCGACTTGTGGACATCATTTGGCCGCAAGGGCCAATATCATGTCCTGGAGGGACACAACCATTTCAGCACCGTGTGGTCATTACGCTCTGGCGGCGAAGCTGAAGAAAAATGGGCTCGGGATACGGCCAAGTGGCTGCAAGAGTTGAGATGAAATTGAAAATAGGTTTAGAGATTTAAAATTGCAGAGTGAAGCACTTGTGGTTTCCCATTCGCATCTTCCAGGGTGCATAGTTGCTATATCCAGACTCATCCTTTGCTCAGCCACTGGAATAAATAGCCATGCTGTTTGGTGGGCAAACCACGATAATAGCCGGATTCAGGAGCCTGTGACCGTCCATACTACCCTCAACTTCAGCGACCACAGCATCAGGGTGGCCTTCATAGCCATGATGGCTAGTTGCTATATAGCTCCTGTCCACTCCGGGCGCAAAGTGGGCCGCCGTCACCACCAACATCACCACCTCGGCGGTCGCAAATGGAACCTGAAGTGGGATATCCATATTTCCAGCTGGGACTTACATGCTTGGATCACGCTCGCCTAGATTTCCCGGCGCGAAGGCGGGGAGTTCTGCCCTTAACCCCTCGGCCTCAGAATCAACCTTGCCTCGTCTGGACGGCCAGTGGTTCGGCGACACGATATGCGAATAGCTCTAGCCAGAACAATCACACGAGCACCGTCTTTTTTACTACCAGAGTTCAAACTCGTTCCAGTCCGATAATGATTCGAGGAACGACAGCTGACATAAACAGCATTCGCAGTGTCAAGGTCCCCCTCGGGCCATTTATGATTCCGTCGAAATTCTGGACATCCTTTCTCTTTTGTCTTGCTGGGCTGGAGAACAACTAAACACTCAAGAGGTCACTGAGGTTCCGTCGAGAGCAACGAGATTGTTGTTTTCACTCTTTCTTTTTGGCTGGCTAGCTACCACACCACGCGCTCACCTGTCATATCCAATATGGGGTCTGTTCAACCGGATATCACGCCCAATCTCTCAGAAACGCTCAAAGGGTTCAAAGTCATCATTGTTGGCGCTGGCTTCGCGGGTCTAGCATGCGCCTCGGACTTGGGCAGACGAGGGGCCGACGTCACGGTCTTTGAGGCCGCCGACGCTGTCAGGACAGCAGGTTGGTACCGGGTCTAAAAAGAAAACGTCTCTTGGACCCAAAGCTGGTCGTCGTCGACCGGCCGCTAACGGTGTCTGATCCCCAGGTGACATCATTCTGTTCGGTCCCAACGCCACAAGAATAGTCAGCAAGTATGGCAAGGGCTTGCTTGAGGAGCTCATGCGTGTTGCCTCTCAACCACCATATATGCCCATCATGGACAAGCACGGGAAGCTCCTGTTGCAGCAGGAAGCCGAGCAGGAGTTTGACGGCTGGCCGAATGCATACGGCTATCGGGGACACACCCAAAACGTCATGTTTCAATTCGCGAAGCAGATTGGGGTCAAGTTTGTCTACAACAGCAACGTCCAGCAATATTTCGAAGATGATCATTGTGCCGGCATCATCGTTGACGGGGTCAGACACGAAGCAGATCTGGTCGTTGGCGCCGACGGCATCCACAGCAGAGCCCGATACTTTGTGACCGGGAAAGTGGACAAGCCGCAGCCCAGTGGGTTCGCCTTGTATCGCGCCTGGTTTCCGCTCGAGGTCCTGCGCAAGAATCCCGTGACAAAAGAGATCGCGGATGCTCCGTATCCCTGGTTTCATGTCTGGATCATGGAAGACTGTCACGCAATCATCACCACCAACAAGGTCCTTGACCGAGGAACGTGCTTTGCCACTCACCGAGTAAGTAAGTCCGTGTGAAATGTGCATGTTCCCAAAAGACTAAAGTGCTTCGGCTAGGACGACCGCGATATCAAGGAGGACTGGACGCTGCCGGGGCGGAAATCAGACATGCTGAAAGTTGTCGAGGGTTGTGACGAGCGTTTGGTCGAGACGGTCAAGGAACTGCTCGAGGAGAACCTCATCGACTATAAGATCTTGTGGAGAGATCCAATCAAGCCGTGGGTATCATCAAAAGGCCGCGTGTGCATTGTCGGTGATGCCGCGCATCCACACCTGGCGACATCTGCGACAGGCGGGGCGCAGGGCGTTGAAGATGGCGCCACCATTGCCGCATGTCTCGAAGAAGCCGGAAAAGGAGACGTCCCCACGGCACTGAGAGCATTCGAAAAGCTCAGGTACGTTTTTAACCAAATCCCCAAGGAAAGTTTGCGCTTCTAACTTGTCTCGGTAGGTTTGAAAGGACCTCTCTGACCCAGCGTATGGGCTGGGAGTTGCGGCACCGGTGGCACCAGACGGATTGGGACGCCGTTGCTAAAGACCCTGAATACCTGAAGTTTCGGCAACCGGCGTGGCTGGTAGGTGTTGATGCTGAAGACTATGCCCATCAGAACTATGCTGCCGTCGTTTCCCACCTGAAAGACGGAACTCCATTCACCGCAACCAACGTGCCTGAAGGATATGTGCACGAAGACTGGACAGTCAGCGAGCTGATGGAGAAGGAGAAAGGCAAAGCCGACGAAGAATTCTTCAAGGTCAAGTGAAGATAGATGCCTTTTTGCTGGATGGGCCATGTACCTGGGGAGCAACAGATAGATACTGTGCATATTGGGATTGGGCGCAAGGTAGGAAGACTTTCAGGGTAGAGCTCATGGGTGATAATATCATTCAGACCAATATTGCAACAACGATCTCATTCATTTATCCTCTCTGACAAGTACTTTTAGATAAACGAAGATCCTCTCTCGGCTCGAAAGTTGAAATCAGGCGAGTGCACCCCGTGGCTGGTGGCTGGATTTGACCTGGACAAGTAAATGCGAAAGACAGGAGACTTCCTCGTGAAAGGGGGGACCTAAGACTTGGATAGTGCCTCGCGGGCAGAAGTCTAGTTTAGATCACATGGCTGCACCTGGAAGGATAAATAGTCGCAAAGACTGTCCGGGGAGGGACTTGAGGAAAAGTTGCGAGCCAGACAAGGACCAACCCTCGAGGCCTCGACCACAGCCGCTAGCCGCTTTGGGAAAAGCGGCTCCACTTCCCCAGCAGGTAGTGGCCGAGGCTGAACTTCCCTCTCTCCTTGACGACGAAGGGTGGTCTGGTTTTGGTCTTTTTTTCCGACGAGCGACCTTTGGCTCCTGTTGTACTTGTAGGCGAAATATCAACCCATTCACGTGCCCCAGATCTCAGTGCGTTTTCGGTTCTTGAATCCGGGGGAGGGGCTCCCAGATGAGTGGCGCCCTGCCAATCACAAACACCTCGGACAGAAGCCGTTGTTTTGGCTCGTGTATATTGCCAGTTTGGATTCGCTTCGGTCCAGGCGCGCGCTCGCCTCGCTTCCATCGAAGCATATATGGCCAGAACACATTTCCAATTCCCCAAGATATCATCTTTCTGACATTGTTCCCCTTGTCCTGATACTTAGGCGTGAAAGATACATCTCGTACGTTCGATTTGGAAGCACCATGGGCTCTAATAAGGAACCTTTTGAGGAAGTGGAGCAGATGGAGCAGCTGCGAGCGAGCAAGGACATTGGCAACCAGGTTGAGCACCCAGTAGCAGAACCTCATCTCAATTGGCGCGTCATTCCAGTTACTGTGGTACGTTGGTCCTGTTCCCAACCGGCAGCACTCAAAAGATAGCCTGCTAACAGGACCCGAACAAAAGGCCTTCTGGCTCGCATGGTGTGCCTGGCAGTGCACCTTCAATCTTCTCTCCGGGATCCTCACCTATGTCAATGCTGACATAGGTCCTGACCCCAACTATACGTGGGCCGTCATTGTGATCAACATTGGCATAGCTGTTATTTGGCCCATCGCTGGTAAGCTACGGTCTCCCCCTGGGAAATCCTTGCTACAGAGGGTTGATTTAATTGTCTCGCTAGGTTCTCTTTCCGACACTTTTGGCCGACGATACTTCTTCCTAATCGGCCTGAGCTTTTCCTTGGTTGGGTCCATCGTCGCGTGCACTGCTCAGAGTATTTCTATCCTGATCCTTGGGAATACCATCCTCGGCATTGGGACGGCGATGCACCAAATGATCCTTGCGGGCATCTCGGAGATTTACCCAAACAAATATAGAGGCGTGGCAATAGGTACGAGACCTAGCCTACCTGTTCTCAAGCGTCGTCTTGGGCCTCATTGATTGACTTGTTCCCCCCATTTTAATTTGGACAGCATCCGTGAATTTCGTTTCCCTGCCCTTCGCCGGCCTCGGGCCCTATGTTGCCCATATTATCGTCGAACGTCTCACTTGGCGGTGGATCTACTATGTGGCCATCATCATCGATGTCGTGGCTTTCGTCCTGCTCGCCGTTTTCTATCACCCGGTAAGTTAGTGGACTATAATCACCAGGCACTGCTTGGGTTCCCACGATCACATACCTGACTTTATTCAATTAGCCCAAGCCACATCGGGAGCTCTCACGACGGCAGTTACTCAAGAACATTGACTTCTTTGGTTTGGCACTTTTTGCAGTAAGGGAATCCCCCTCTTCCGTCCGATTGTGGCGACAGCAGTACCCAAGACTTTTACTGATGAGTTCATCCAGCTGGGCCTCACGGTCTTCCTGGTGGGTGTGTCTTGGGCAGGGAGCACGTACTCCTGGAGTTCTGCTGCGGTCCTAGTCCCGATGATTTGCGGCGGTGCTCTTCTCGTGGCATGTGGGATTTGGGGTGAGGCCTGGCCAGCACTTTTACAGAAGCTTGCCAAAACCCGGCTGACAACTTGTGTAGAGGTCTATGGGACCAAGAATCCTTTATTTCCCTCGTTCCTATTCAAGGATATGAGAGGGTAAGTCAGCCCCTCTGAAGGCGGGCGCAGGCGCGCGGTACTGACATGTTGCTGAAACTACTTTGAATAGATTCACCAACGTCATTCTCATCTGCTTCGTGGCGTCGATGCCGCTGCTCTCGTCGCTGACCTTCTGGCCGATGCAAATCGCCAATCTCTACACGACAGACGCGGTCAAGATCGGGCTCTATACTTTACCCTTGACCATGAGCACCGTATTTGGAGGCGTCTTGACGGCCACGATTCGATGGTGGAAGCCTACAAACTACTATCTGGTCGGGTGCGCGTGCCTCTACACCATCTTCACGGGGCTTTTGTCGACTCTCGGACCCGGGGATCTCAACAAGGCGTTGGCCTACGCCTTCTTGTACGGATCGGGCGTGGGCCTTTTGGAGATCGCCATCATTGTCATCGTCCAGTTCTCGGTCAGCTCGGACCATCTCGGTGCCGTTACTGGCATCCTGAGCAGCATGCGTGGAATTTCCGGGGCCGTAGGAAGTGAGTATTGTCACCCTGTGCTGCGTACAAACCCCCGAGTTCTGCCGTCGTCGGATTCTGACGGTTGTTTTTTACCGGTGCAGTCTCCATCTATGGCTCGATTATTTCGACACGCTTGGCTCAAGACCTGCCGCAGAGATTGGCGGGTGCCACACTCCCTCTGGGGCTGCCTGAGAGCTCATTCCCTCTCCTCCTCCGGGACATCTTCTCTGCCAACGTTGCGGGCATCCCGGAGATCCCAGGAATCACACCGGCCATCATACAGGCCGCCGACACGGCAAGGAGGCTTTCTTGGGCTGAAGCATTCAAGTAAGTACTTGCACCCTCCCCAGGACTTATATTTACCCCCCTTTCTTCCCTGCCCGGGCTCTGTTCTCACGCAAGAATGCATTGGTACTAACAACGAGACTCGACAGACCGATTTACTGGCTTGGAGCTTCGCTGGGGGTTGTAGCCGTCATCCTGTCCTATTTCACGCACGACATTACCCCCAAGATGGACAACCAGCTAGATCTCGATCTGAAAGAACATGAACCTTCCCACCTTCACAACGTGCTTCCACATCATCATCACCACCCCCACGACCACCAGCAGGATGACAAGAAGGGAGAGGTAGAGCAGCGAGAAATTCGTGTCCACTCGGCCGTCTAAATGTCGGGCGCAGCCATTCATTCATTCATTCATTCTTCTGACCGGATGGCTGGGTGTCCCTTGGCGAGACCCTCTGGACTTGAGGTAAGCAGAGAATTCGGACACTGCTCTGTTGGAGCCCCATATGTACCCTCTTGTTCGAGTAGTACTAGTAGTTGATTCGTTACTATGGAGTTGATCTACTAGGTGGTCCGAGTCCCGGTCCCTGGAAGGCGGCTGAGAAATGCAAACATGAATGAAGATGTGAAGATGGGCCTCTACCTCTTTTGAAACCGGAAGTAGAGACATAATAAAGGAGAAGACTGTCACAGACAAGCAGGTAGGGGCTGCTCCAATGTCCACGAAGCTGTTACTAACTCTCGCATAACTACGACAGATGAGGGGGACAACACCATTTCACGCTGCTCGACCAACTATCGCACAGGTCATGTATTCACGCGAAGCGCTGATGAGTTACACAATCAAAAGCTCAGTTTTGTAAAAGACTGATGGTTCGCTACTCTCTTTCCCATTGCCGTCTAGACACCCGTAGTTCACGCCCTACCCCATACCAACCCACCTACCGGACGTGTGTTTCCGGGCGAGGAGGTCAAAGCTCTGTGAATTTCATCCCTTGGGGGATCTCCCGCCACTGCAACTCGTCGTCAAGGAGCGAGTCTCGAGCTTGCTCCCATTCCTTCTTGATCATGGCGGCCCGTTTGGCGGACCTCGGCACGATCGTAGCTGGGTATGGTTCGGGCATGACCACAGCTGTCTGGGTGAATCGCTCTGGAGTTGGTGGAACTTCTTTGCCGTTGATGATGGCAGGCTTGAAATCGAAAGCCCACACCAATTTCGACATGGCCAGAAACAAGATGTCGTCGGCCAGGTGGGTCCCCGGGCAGAGACGACGACCGCCGCCAAAGGCATAGTGATCTCGCAGGTCGGGATCCGGGTTTGTGGCCGCTTCAAAAGAAGTCTGTTCGTCTTTCAGGAACCGGGCAGGGTTGAATGTTCGGGGGTCTTTGTATCGCACTGGGTCGTTGTTGAGAGTCCAAACATTGATCAACAGCTCGGCGCCCTTGGGCAAGACATACCCCATGTACGTCTCATCGCAGGAGAGGCAATGGGGGATTCCAACAATGACAGGAGGCATCCACCTCAGAGACTCTTTCACACAGCTTCGGAGATAGGGGAGGTTCTCGCGGTCGCTCAAGTCAGGCAGCCGACCATCACCAACAACACGGTCAAGTTCTCGCTGCGCCTCCTTCAAAGCCTCAGGGAACAGGATCAACGCTTGAATAAAGCCGAGGAGGTTATTGGACGAGGTACCCGTCCCCGCCTCCATGGAGCCGCTCGAAACGTATGCCGCTCTCAGATCGGTGAAACCTTCCTTCTTCTGCAGTGTCACTAGATCGGCGGCAAAGCAGGGTTTCTGCGTGCCCTGTGCCATGGCAGTTTTGACCTGATTCCACAGTCGCAAGTAGATGGACATTTCGGTCTTGGTGTGCTCGACCGCCTTCCTCTTGGCCGGGAAAAGGAAAGCTGGCACCCATTGCAAGATGGGATATGCATCAGCCAAGGCTGCCGAGGTGACTTGGATGATACTCGACGTCTTCTCCAGCCTGTAGTTGTTGGTTGTGGCAAGTTAACAGATTGACTATTGGGGGAGAGTGAAACAAAAACAAGTACCACCTACGACTTGAGAATTTCCCTCATGGTGGGATTATCATATTCGGGCACACGTCTCCTATTTCGCCGTCAGAGGGTGAGGGTATTGGCAACACCAAAGTTGGACATTTGCGTTACCCATATGTGACCATCATAGCCATTGAGTTGGTGTATCTAGGAGAGGGTGATATCAGCCTCAGTGACCTTGTATTATCTTGCCACACACAAAGTCATTGCTACCTCTTGATATGGTACAAGAAGCCATCTGGGTTCGTACTGAGATCGTATAGCATTTTCTTGCTTTCAAGCTCGAGATATCTAGCAGTCTGTTAGTCTCGTTTGTGCCCATCTCGGGTCTCTTTGATGTGCTCGGTACGGAAGATAAGTTTTAGCAGCAGCCGCCGTCAACAGTCGATGGTACAGCTTGCGTGACAGTCGCCAATCAGGCCCATAGCGCTGGAAAGAGGTAGTTTAGTTACCCGTGACAATACTCGGTACAGCCTCTCAATTCAGCTCGCTTTTACACACCATTTGCAAAATGCGTTGACCATTACCGAGAAGGTCATGAGCAATATAATGTGGGCCACGCTCATTTGTCGACGCGCTCCTCTTGTCAATGAGTTCTTTGACCGCCTTTCCATCCGAAAGTACTATCATCGTCTGTACGCCTAGTTTGATGCTGTAGATTGGTCCGTACTCGTGAGCCCATTTCTGGAACTGTTTGTACATGTCTCTTTTGGGCATCTACCACGGACTCTGCTTAGCATGCGAGACAGCGGTTGGAAAGCTGTCTCCCTGCAAGCGAACTGATTTACCTGTTTGATATTCCCCCAAAATGGATCGGTGGGCGGGCCAGGGGGTAAGCCGGGTGGTCGTTGTCCAATACGTGAGAGAGTATAATAGAGGGCGAACCCGACGCCCACGAGGCCGAACAATAGCAGTTGTTGAGTGATAGTCATCATAAGCAGCCCGGTCTACCGGTTGTCAAGAAAATCATGGGCCAAGAAAGTAGGATGAGAGGGATACAAAGGTAATCCGTACGTAGGTGTATCTTTCAAGCCTGGACTCTTATACCAGAATGCTGAATAAAATGGTTACGACAGTGAGAGTGTGCGTCAGATGGATTGCCGTCACATCCGTTGGCTGAGCTCCATGACCAAAGAAATAGTCTGTTTCGCTACAAACGTATGACCCCGTTCAGAGGAGATTTGATCGTCACCGTTATGTACAGTTAGCAGGGACTTGTTCGATGGAGGAAATTTAACCGCGACTTTGAAAGCCATCCAGGGAAACCAGCATACAAGTGATGCCATGCCGGAGATTCCCCAGGTCGCCAGAGTGCAGGGCCATGTTTGTTCCGTGGGTCCTTCTCGTTCACCGGTGATCGCTTTTGGCCGGCGCAGACTCTCCTTGACACTCGCCGAATTGTTTCCCGCCGCATCCAAACTCGTCTCTGGGCGAATGCAACTGGCCGGGGTCAAAGCTGATCTTTTGACCAGGTACGCAACCAAGCCTTTCAGACCCTGAAGGCTGGATGGACATGTCAGGGGATTGACAATTGAATCGAGTTTCGAGTTCCGAAACGCAATTCTCCGGGAGCCTTGTTCGTTCCTATCCTGGTTGTGGTCACATGGTCCAATAGACGCCTCCTTCCGTATTAGGATGATACATTCCCTTTTGGGGCAGATTGCGTACCTTCCCTATAACGATGGCTACTCTCGCTACTTCGACGAAATGCTCATGCTTGGACAACATCAGCTGCACCGGGGGTGAAAATAAATATGATACAGACATCTTTACTCGGAATGCCAAGTAATCGTGTCTTCATACCGTACCTCGTACTGTCATCCCCACTCTATACGAGCTTTCCAGCAACAAGTGTCTTCAAGTCTTCCTCCGTCAGCTGTTTGATACCAAGAAGTCCATTGTCGTTCTCGTCATAAGCGGCGCCGTAAGCATCACCAGCAAAAGCTGTACCCGATATCACCTTCAAAATAGCAGCTGTGCTAAAGTCACCAGCGCTGAGTCCGTCCAGGCCCTCTTTCAACACTGCACTTGCCGGTACCCGGGTAATTTGCCAGTTGATATCCGGTCTCAGCTCTTGTGCGATTCGCAGCAGCTGGTTCTGCGTCAAGATGACCTCGGAAACTCGCACAACCTTGTTCTCCGTGGCCTCGAGATTCTTCAAAATTCCAACAATAGCCTTCCCGATAATAGGCAGCGATGTGGAGCTAATCCTGTTGTCACCCTCGTCGAACAAGACAGCCTTGTGATTAGCAAAATCAAGGAGCGCGGGAGACCCAAACAAGAACTCTAAGAAGCCACCGCATGCGAGGACAGTCCAAGTCAGCTTTCCCGCCTTTGCCTTCTCTTCAAGATAGCGCTTGATCTTGAACATTGAGGCATAGACGGGCAAGTTTTCGACTTTGGGGCTGGTCGTGACAGTGCCATATTCGGAGGGGATGAAACGCTTCACTCCGGCGGCGATGGCGGCGTCGATGAGGACGGTTTGGTTCTCGATGGCCTCACCCGCCACGGTGGACACGAGCGCATCGATACCTTTGAGGGCGGCAGTCAAGGACTCGACGGATGTGTAGTCGACTTGGACAACTTTGGCCGTTGTCTGATCTGTCCCTGGCTTTTTAGAACGGGTGAGAACAGTGACGGCAAAGTTCCCGTCGACAAGGGCTTTGAGGACATGAGGTCCCAGATTGCCAGTTGCCTGATGCCCAAACTGGTCAGCTCATTTTTCCGTTTTACTGTGGCATTCTTCGACATGACATACACCAGCAAGAGCGACTGATTTGATCTCAGACATGGCGGAGAAAAAAGGCTTAATGTGGATAATCCGGAGAGAGACTTGTTATTATACCGACATGTATGTTTCGCTCGTTCGATTGATCAGCCAAGGAAAGGAAAGGAGCCCGACCCCATGGGGGGTTTGTAAGAGCATTTATACTCTCTCGTCCGGTAGCGGTGGCAATTGTATTTCCAACCATGATTCGATTTCCCATGCCATGACTTTCTTCAGGCCAAGACCAATCACGCTATTTATCGTTATTGGTTTCCCATCAATTGCGCCATGTGGACATCGAGGATCCCGCATGTCTGGCGAGCCTGAAACACTCCAGAATCTCCGCCGGTGGCCGGACGAATGATTCCGAGATGCCAACACCTCGTATTGACGTAAGTCGGCTGGCGAATAGTTACCCAGAATGAGCACTTGTACAGCACTGTGCACTGTGCATAGATTGCCAAGAAGTTAAGTTGCTTGTGTACGATGCCGGTTTACACGGAACGGAAAAAGGGGTTGCAAAAACTCCCTCCCTCCACTGTCCGCCCTCGTGATGTGGTTGTGGTAATGTGGTATCTCTCTGCCAGAGTACCTCTCAAAAGACACGAGTGACCGTGCAGAAAGTCGAGGTCTTCGCACCGGAAGATGCCCTCTTAGCATACCGCCCATCAATTAAGCCCATTGTTCCTCATTGTATCGACATACGGTGAAGCTCTTTCCCACCCCCTAAAACTTCTTCTTGAAGGTCCTCCTGAAAAACTCCTCTGTGTAGTTCCCTTCGCTGTCAAGCTCCTTTTCACATTCCTTCCAAGCGTTGATGATCATATCCTTTCGGTGGCCGTCTCGTGGTTTGATGTCGCATCTACCAAGACACAATCAGTGGTGTGAGCTTCAGGAACAACAGACACGGTTAACGTGGGGGAACTACTACTAACTCAAAATCAGCAGGGCGGACAATAAATCCTGGGGTCACGGCGTCGGGTTCGATCGGGGTTGGGTTGCCATTGCTGTCGTACTTGCGTCGGATATCAAATGACCATAGCATGCGCGAGATTGCGATGAAGAGGGCTCGCTCCGCGACGTGGAATCCAGGGCAGACACGCCGTCCACCGCCAAAGGTAAAGTGAGGCCGTTTGGAAGAGTCGGGGCTGATTGCCGTGCTTTCGAGGGCGGTGCTTTCGTCGGTGAAACGCTCGGGTCTGAATTGCCGGGGCTCTGCAAATGTCCCGTGGTTTAAAGTCCACACCTGAGAGAATGGGCTTGATTAGCCCATGGAATCGAATCTGCTCGCCAAGGGGGTGTACATGCATTGATCAGAACCAACGAACGCTTGGGAATGACCATTCCGTTATAAACGTCGTCCTTCAGTAAGGAATGAGGTGCTGCCGCCGTCAAAGGACTGGGGGCCCCTGTACGACCTGTCAGATGTCGGACACATATATGGCCTGACTCGACCGTGGCTCACATCGCACCGTCTCCTCCACGATCGCACGTATATACGGGAGACGGGCTCGGTCATCCCAGCTCGGCATCTTGTCTGCACCTATGACGGAATCGATTTCTTCTTGGCCTTTGGCCTGGACTTCGGGATACAGAGCCATGGCCTAACAATGCACCATCAGCACCAGGGCCTCGTCAGGCGAGACACTTCGATTCGATGGGGGAGCGAAACTGACCTTTATGAAGCCCATCAATGTATTACTCGTCGTGTCCCTTGATTCGGTCAGAGTCCCAGGGTATTCATTCCACTTGCCCTCAGTTGAGGGTAGTATTTCTAGTGAATGTACCGAGTACTCACATTGCTGCACCGAACCCATTGCCGGCGTTGTGTGCAATCTGTACATCCTCAAGTCTGTCGGCGTCCTTGTCGAGGAGCATGTCAGCTGTAAAGCCTAGGGCACAGAGGTCTTGTTAATGTAAAGATTTCTCATGGCGAGAGAGGCAGAGGCACTCACATGGATAATGCTTGCCCTCCTGGATCCTCCTCTTTGCTTCTTCCAGCAAGGGAAGGAAGGTAGCATTCTCCAATTGTCGAATGCGACGCAACGTGCGCTTGTAGGAGCTCATCCAATGGGGCATGATGCGGTACCATGGCTTGAGAAAGGGGTAAAAATCCACGAGTTGGAAATTGATTGCGTCTGAAGTGGCGTCAAACCACTACTAGTAATGTTGGGTGTCAGAGCACATCTCTCATCTTTCATCTTTCAGATAGACATGTTTTGACAAGATGAAGGTTTACATTACCTCCAAGAGTCTCTTCACCCAACCGTCATGGATCTTGGGAGTTCTCCACCCATATATCAAAGTCGTGGACACGCTTGCGGTAAATCTTCGCGTGTGTTCGAGAAACTCTTCGGGTTGGTAGAGAAGATCATGGAGGAACTGAACAGACTCGAAATGCTGGGATAAGTATGCTCATGTCAGTAGTATCCTGTGATTGCCAATCCAGAGGTGCGATCGTGTACTAATTTACCTGATAGGGCAAATACGTGTCGGTGGTTTTCACATTCAGACGAGCATGATACAGTTTCCGCTGCCTGCGCCACATATCATCGTTGCTATCCTCAGACCTTTAGTGACTGTTCTGTCTGCTTCGGCGAACCCTTTTTCCCCCCGTTTCGACTTACTCGCGAAGGAGAATATTATAGTTGTCAAGGTATTCACGAATATAGATGTCCGGTCTGGCAGAGTAAATGTTGCTTCTCTTCTCGAGCAATTCCCGAACCACAGTGGGGTGGTTGAGCATGATCATATCCGTGGCACCCAGTTTCAGGGACACGATTGGACCATCTGGTCGCGATGTCAGTAAGTTGGGCACTCGTCATAGACCTGGCTGGGCTCTGTACATTTTTTAGCAATTTCTTGGAAACCAAGGTGGAAGTTCTTGATTTGTATCTGGAGCAAGTTGCCTACGATCGGTATCGTTGGCGGACCTGAGAAAAGTTAGACAGCAGCGAGAGAATCTGTTCGAGGGAACGTACCTGGCGGATAGTTTTTAGGCCTCATTCCTATATGTAGAATTTTGTACAGCATGAACAGGCCGACGACGACGACAACATATTGGAAGGTACTAATATCTCCCGTGGACACAGCCATGATCCTACTAGAGCTGGCAGGACTCATGAGGCTACCTGGGTACTCAGTAGTATTCTGCTATTCTTCAATGATTACACAGTCAACGCGGCGAGGTCAGTCAGAAAACCCTTTTTGGGGCTTCGCTCTCCGGCGTCGAGATCTATAGACCCATCTCAAGGTCACCGAACCAGCTAGGTTAAGCTCAAGTGCACCCACCGGAATGTAATTCAGCAGAAGCATTCTGAGGCGTACTACAGTCCCCGGATCATAGGAGGATGAATACTCCGTAAGCCGGACATGGAGACCCCACATTCACGTAGGCTAATGATGCCCCGCACAAAGAAGTAGTAGAAAGCGGCATCCGGGTCGGTGACCTTCCGGGACAAAAGGACTAGGATGTCACATTTATCAGCTATCTGTAGGTGAATCCTTACATCGCGGTATACTGATAATATTGAATGCATTTTGGGGGGGGGCCCGTAAAGTATTTGTACGTGCGTGCAAATGCATACGAGAGCTCAAGCAAGGAGAGAAGTGACATCACTGGTAGGTTCATTTGACTAGTCACGTGATGAGTTCGATTTCCCAACTGAGAAACTCAGATGAATGGTTCGGACGAACATGGAAATCCTTCCTGCCGGGTGGACTAGCGGGCGCTGAATTAGGAAAGTTTCGTGACGCGTTTCAAATGCAACTGTACTTGTGGAATGGGGTTTCTGGCAATTCCTACCGCATACCTCTTTTCTTGGAGACCTTGGGTTCATCCGCGTGATCTTGTTTGGTGCTTTGTAGAAGTCTGTAACAATATCAATGGTGGAAACGCGCGTGTGATGGAGATAGAGAGGGGAATCAACCAGGCCCAAATGAAGTTCAACCTCAACAAAACCTTCTTCAGCCCAAGCCGACAACGCCTTTAGCACTGCTACTATATAGTGAAGAGTGGCTACTACAAGGTACTTCGCTCCAAATTGTTTGCACCGTAGGTTTATACTAAGTAGTACTCTGCCTGCTCGGTGGCTGGTGAGCGAGACAGTTTGCGCGAAGTCAGGGCGATGGGCACAGCTCTGGTGAGATGGAAAATCTCCTGGCGTAGGTCAGTCAGCGCCTGCTGACTCTTGAATCATCGTACGAACGCTTTACTAATTGGCACCTAGGTCTCTAAGAGGAGCTACGATCTTTGCCGAAGCTTCAAGGAGCCACGGCTACAGTAGTACTGTATAGTGCTTGAAAGAGCGCTGGCAGCAACCACTCTCATTAATTATCGATACGTCACTTACTAGTCGTAGTTTGATAGTACTGTACAGTGCTGATGTGCAGCATCAAACAGCTCGGGGTGGGCAGTTTAGTAGTAGTACTCATCTGGCTTTGCAGCCAAGTTGTTGTTTCCGAGAAAACTTTCACGGTCCCTCAGCCTTACCACACATCTCATGGCTGGCTGAATTTCATTCCTTCTGTGTCTGCATGTTTCGTATAGGTGCTGTTGAAAGACGCAGGGTCTTGATGCTGAAATCGACTTGATTGGCCAGACGAGAGGAGAAGGTGTTCAGCTCCAAATTGCTCTTACCGAATCGGGCGAGAGACAAATGATGAGTTGCGCCTTCCCAAGCTGTACCTGCGCACGCGGAATCCAGACCGCAACTTGAAATTCACGACGAACCCAATCACTTGGACTTCCTTGTACTGCAGGCAAGGTCCTACAGCTCTCAGGCACCACACACCCTTGGTCGTCTGAGGGTCCAGAGCTCTCAAGCTGAACCTCAGCCACCAGCCTCAGCCTCACCGATCAGTCCAGGCTATTCCCGAGCTCCTCCTATAAGATAAAGAGAGGCAGATTCTCTGCTCCTGCTATCTCCCTCTCACCATTGCTGCTGCCTACTACTAGTACTTACTTAGTAGTACGTTCTCATCATGGCGCCAATATTCGATCTGCTTCAACGCCGCAAGGGACGATTCGTGCTTTGGTCTCCAGCCAGCCAGTCAGTGCCGCGATTGATTCTCGGCACTTTCAAGGCTACACCAAGCCCCGGAGCGGTGACGACTTTATTCACTGGCGACCTGTCACAAACGCAGAATGGCCTTTGGGAACTCGCTTCAGATACCATACAACCACCGCTGCAGAATGACAAAGTCTACCATTACTGGTTCGAGGTGGACAACACCTATCCTACCTCAACAGGTTCGGGCAAGATCAAAATAACCGACCCGCTCGCATACACTGTAGACTACAGGCAATTTGCGGACCAACCACGGGCTGCTTCGATGCAGCCTCCAGCAGTGATCAAGTTCCGAGACGGTAAGCTATGGCCGTGTGATATCGACGGGACGGAAGTGGAACGTGTCCCTGATCCAGTCCAATCCCAAGTTCCCCCCAATAATCAGATGGTCATCTACGAGTTGCCAGCGTCGTGGGCGAAATCTGGCCCCAATGGAAAGCAGATCGATCGAGGCACTTTTGCCGATGTCCAAGCCTTGTTTGACAAGGCCACTCCCGGGGTCAGATTCAGCAGCATCTCTGCGGTTCGGAAAGAGGCTATTGTGGCTGATCTTGGGATCAATGCTTTGGAACTTCTGCCCATCGCAGACTCCAAGTACCAGGATCAATGGGGATACTCGACAGCTCATTACTTTGCCCCTGACGCGGACCTTGGTTCAACTGCTAGCCTCGTTGACCTTATTCAGACAATAACACCTAGCACAAGACTTATTCTGGACACGGTCATGGCGTTTGGCCATGACCCCTACATATATGCAGCATTCATGCAGTTCCATCTTGTTGCTCTGGATCCGGACCATCCAAACGACCCGTTACAAAAGTTTGCGGAACCTGGGAATGCTGACAGCTACACATCCCACAACCAAGGACCGAGGAACCCATATGGAGGAAGTCTCTGGCGATATATCAAGAATCCCCAGCAAACGTACGATCCACAGACGGGTCAAGCGAGCTTGAAACATCCGCCGTCGTGGTCATTCCACAGGGCTCACCTCCATCGCTGGCTGCTTGATTTCGGCGTCTCTGGTCTTCGATTGGACAGTATCAACAATGTGGCCAACTACAACTTCATCAAGTACTACAAAGACTACGCATGGCAATTACATCAGGCAAGAGGTGGCTCGACCAACAAGTTCATCGTCATAGGAGAAGAGCTTAGCGTGCCGAAAGATCTTCTCACCTCTGGCACCCTGAACGCACTTTGGAACGAACCTTTTCAGGGCCGCATCCGAGCGGCAATTGTGGGAGAAGCCGCTGATGGTGATAACTTTGAGTGGACTGTCAGGAAGATGGTCGACTGCACCTTGGACGGATACACAGATGGAGCCCAGGCAGTAAACTACATCACGTCGCATGATGTCGAGGGCAACCGGAAGGAACGACTGTATAACTTCCTGTCCAATTGCAAAGTCTCTGACATCGAACGACGGGCCAAGTTGGCGTTCGCATGCTTTCTCACCGCCGTGGGGATTCCTATGATTTTCGCTGGTGAAGAATTTTGTGATCAGATGGACCTGGACATTTCCGAAAAACAATCAGATCCCGTCAACTATGAACGAAAAAGTGACGACTGGAGGACTCGGGTCTTCAATTACGTGGCCACTCTCGTTGATCTGCGCAAGAATTGTCCTGCGCTGGGCGTGGACGACACATCGTTCATCCACGTCGACCAGAGCCGTGGCGGGAAAATTATGGCCTGGGTGCGAGGGACGACCAATCCCGTGGTTGTCGTTGCCAACTTTACGGATCAAGACACACCGGGGGCTCAGTATTTTGTACCGAATTGGCCAGATAGGGACCGCAATGACTGGAGGGAGATTACACAGAATCGGGCAGTGCCTGCGGCGTGGGTTGGAAAAGAGCCCTTGATGCATTGGGAAGCAAAGGTGTATACGTGTTGGAAGGCCGGTGCTGTGAACGGACAGACGAATGGTGTGAACGGTACGCACAGCGGGTGAGCAGATGCAGTGATATTGACCCTGATCGTTCATTTCCTCCATTTGATACGGGCACTGAGTAGTATCTTGGGGATTTTGGCCTCGTAAACCCAGTACTTGGCTATCAGCAGATACTTAATGTCTATTGCGTGAGACTGTGATACCTCCTGTCTGTACCTCGTACCTAGTAGGTAGTATATACCATTTTGATCGCCAAGTCACTACTAAGTACTTGGTAGATATAGGGATCTGAATGACAAGGCTCGTCAGAGGGTTCAAGGGGCCACGGAGATATGGGTCTCGAGGCGATGGTGACGATGGTGGTAGTGTATATATATCCTTATCATATATATGTACGTACATATACCTACTCAGTAGGCACCTACGCTCGGTACTAGTATGGTACGCGGTACGAGGTGTACTACTACTCGCACGCCTGGTGATGCAGGGACGGCCAGTTAGTGCCTCAACAGGTCAGTCCCTTGACAGCGTCTCTCCGGCGGTATCCCGCTCCACGGGTACTAAGTAGGCAGCGTGCAAAGGAGGGGCCAAAGAAGAAATGGATGAGGCGACCAATCAGCCAATCAACCAGTTACCTAGGCTAGGTAGTAGAGAGATTTGACGAGTCTTACATACATGCATACACTACATACTACATACTAAGTACTAAGGATATCTATACTTAGTATCCGATACTAGTATGCCTGGCCCAGGCTGGTCCTTGGGGATTTTCTTTGTCATGACATACATGTCAACCTGGCAGGACTCTACTGAAGAAAGAAAAGAGGAGTCGTGAAGAGACTGAGATGGATGAATGAATGAGTGAATGAATGGATCGTCAAATGGCGTCGTCAACTCACGCGACTGACGGTGCCGCTGACAGCAACGACGCCAACAACAGCAACAATGTTAATGAATCCATCCCCAGAACTCGAAACCCAAACGCGCATTGTCCCGAGACAGTCGACGCCGACGAACTCGAACAGGCCCTCAAGGACCGCGAGTCCTGGACGAATGTCGCGTGGAAGGGCGTGCATGTGCTCGACATTGACGAGGGGGGGACGTCTCGTGAGTTTTTTACCGCCTTTTACCCCAATCTTTGTCTCGAGGGCTATTTTGTCTGACTGATCGTGAGGCAGATTGGCGTCGTAACTTGGATGGTCGGGCACTGGAGAGGTTCTTGTCGGTGAGTACTTCATATGTCTCCAAGAATCTAGATATGATATCCATATATGGTACCCTTTCACCCGCTTCTACATGTGATAGGCACTGCTAGCCTAACTGCTTGCCTGGTTGACTGACCGGTCGCCAAACGCAGGACTCGCATCCTCCGCCCCAGAACTGCTTCGTGCGCGTATTGTATGCCTCTCTTTCAATGTCCTTCCCTCTCTTTCCTAACGCAATCCACGACCCCGACTCATACCGCCTCTTGAATCCCGATCCTGGGCCTAACACACACAGCTTCCTCGAAAGTCTCGGCCCCGGCCACACAGACACCGAGATTGGCGACGTCGCGGTCGACCCGACCATCCTCAGACTGTTGCGCGCCCGCGTGGGGCTCTCGGACCTGTTGATCATGGCCGTCTGCGGGCTGGGACACTGGTACACGATCAAGCACGGACACTTCATCGGTTGGGATGAGCGGAGGAAAGCCCAATCTTTTGGTTCGAAGCACCCAAGCCTCGTCCTCCGTCTGAGCAGCAAATGAGGTCAGAGGAACTAACCACCAAACAACTTCTGGGATAGATATGTTGTATGAATACGCCCCAGCCGCTACTGCGTGCACGCAGGTTTCAACTTCCCTCGCCACGGGCTCGTCGATTTACTTCTGTCTCAATTTCCCTCCTTCGGCCGTCCCGCGACTCGCCCTGCACAACCTACGCGTTCCGTTCAAGTTAGATGTGGTCGTCGCAGACGAGACGCTGAGACTCTGGCAGCGAGAGATGGCAACCATCCGAGGCCGCATGAAGCGATTCGTACGTCTTTTGCCTATCTATACCTTTCTTCCCGGCCGGTCCTGGGGTCGAGAGGTAGCGCAAAAGGTTTCTTGCTTTCTCACATTGGATAGGAAGCAAACGAACCCCACGAGGCCGTGGACTCGATGATCAGAGAGCTCCACCGCCTCTCCAGGAGTTGGCAAATTCTGTTCCGCAAAGTCTCGGAATTTGAAGCACATCTCGATTTCTTGCACGAGGTGCGGACCAGTTATGTTTCTCTGGCTGAGCCTGCGGTGGTGCAAAGTACGAGTCAGCCTCTCGAAAAGTCCGGCGAGTCTCTGGCTTTCCTCATGTCGAGCTGTCGCTCCCTAAGACAACTCGTCGCAGACTACAGAGCCCGCACGGCGACGCAAATCAATCTGGTGAGATAATCCAGCCCCAGTGGTAATATTTTGTGAGAAGAAGATTGTGCGGAACCTGATCAATGCGTGACAACAGCTTTTCCATCTCGCCAACCAAGCCGAAAGTCGCGACAACAAGGAGATCGCGGCACAGAACAAGGAGATTGCAGAACTCACGGCCAGGATTGCGCAGCAGACCCAGCGCGACAGTGCGTCCATGATTACCATCGCCGCCGTGACCATGTTCTTCCTCCCCGGGACTTTCGTGTCGGTACGTGTGAACACAAGGGCCTGGCAGCTGCTGGGTCCTTTGAGTGGCATTTGATTCCTCAAACGGCGGAAGGCTGACTCCGACCACAGTCGTTATTGAGCACGGTAGTCTTCAACTTTGACGGCACCGACATAAGCGTGTCGCAGATGTGGTGGATATTGCCTGCCACCGCCATCCCCATGACTTTTTTTGTATTTGCCATCTGGCTGTTGTGGCTCAGACGGAGACTCTCGCACGACCGAAAGGCCATGGTGACCACGGATGGTGCCAAGTAGCTTTGAGGCCATGGTGGTTCGTATATGAACCTGAAGTCGGCACCAGAGCACCATCTACAGAGCGTAGAAGGGGTCGAGACACTGAAAACCATATTCAGTATAGTCGGTCATGTCAATTGACCCGAGCTCAACCCAGGCGAATAATTCCATAGTCCATTTCGACAGAACGGTGTGAGAGGCTTCCAAGCCCAAGTTTCAACAGCTGTACAAAACTGAAACAGATGATCCGAGCAGACAAGTTGCATTCTATCCTGCTGTAGCCCTTGTGCACACCTGTACCGCTCTAAGCCTGGAATGTTGAATTGTCTGAAGCTGGCATACAGCGTAATCATCCTTGTCCACGCAGCTGATTCAATAACAGTAATGCCTGGCCGTGGCTGCGAGAGTCTGGAAAGAGACGCTCAACAAATCCGAGCACGATAATCAGCGTTTGCTTCAGATCTTGATTGCTCCGCTCAACCTTTTGGTAGATATTCGCAAGTTCAGTGGCTTTGTCAACCACAAAGTCGATTGTGCTCGGGTTGATGACATAGCTGAATCCTGCCACGTCACTGGCCGGAAGAAGAGCCAGGGCGAGGTTGAACAACAAGAGAAGTGCCGTCCGGGCGGATGTAGGGATAGCCTCTTGGTCCCATCGTCGGGCGCGCTCGAACCAGTTGCCCAGCAGTCTCTCCATCTCCCTAACATCACACGCGTGTTCGGTATCTGCGATTTGCTCGATATAGCGGCAGATGGTGGTCCTACCTTCGACAAAGGACGAAAACGCTGAGCCTCCCCATGGATGGCATATATGACCTTGGTACTCCGGCTCTATCTCTCCGGATGTCGGACCGGTGAGAATCATCAGCTGGGTCAACCCTTTGGCCAGACTTGAAGTGGGCAGAATGGAACTCCGCAAAACCTCTTGTGCTGCACGCGAGGGTTTCGACCGCTTGTATTCGCGCAAAAGTTTGAGCGTCCCACGCAGGTGTACCACGGCTGCTGGGAGGTTGTTCTGAAACAGCTCTATGACCCACGCAACAAGGGAAGCAATGACCACATGGAGCTTTGGAGGGTTCTTGTTCCTGATCTCTGCGATGGCTGCAATGTAGTGGGAGACCGCTTGCGAGGTCATTGTAGGAGTGGCAGCGACAACACCTGTGTGGAACTTTTCATGCGTCATGGAGAGAGCAACGAGCATGTGTTTGACGGCAGGAGATTGCTGGGCGAGCTGGGGAACAAGGACGGTGTAGAAATCTCCCTGTGGGCCATAATGGGCCAGGACGGGTGATGTTAGGAGGAGCCAGTGCTGTAAAGACCGTAATTCTTCATTCGTGCCGAACGACGCGTCGACAGTCTTGGAGAGGAGCAGCTCATCGTCGCAGGTAGCTGTCTGTGGGATCCGACTCGGTAATCCTCGTTTGGACGAAGAAACTCCACGATTTTCTAATGTGAAGATCTTGGCCGCTGGAATCGCGTACCCAAGACACTGACGATCCCCCCTTCTGCAATTCAAACAGGCAGGCTTCGCTTCATCACACTTTACCCTGCGTTGCCTTCCCTCGTGAGCAAGTGCAGCACACACGGAGACGCAGACTTACTTGCATGTAATGCACCCTGTCCGGACCTTGTGGGAGAAAGCCTTCTTCCTCGTCGTGCTGAGCCTGGAAATTCTCATCACCGCAAAAGTTGGGGCAAAGGATAGCCAGACCGCGGTTCAAGATCCAGAACCCAATTCCAAGAATGCGAATTCTCAGGTCAGCTCGACATATATTGTGTCTTCTAGGAATTGTCGAAGCCAAGAATCTCCGAGTACAAGATTGAGAAGATCGGGGGCAACGAGAACTGGCAGCTCCAGCTGTGACCTCGAAGGACTTCTGATTGGTTGGTAGAGGTTTGCTGACAGGGAAATGTCAGGGTGTGCCAGCTAAGGCGTCCCACGCGGCTTGTGCAAGGCTCATCTAAGCCAGAGGTCTTGATCACCCTCCCTGTCTGGTGGATGATCGCCCGGGCGCATCCACGATGGGTGTCTTGGGAGGTGCGGCTGCCCACCATTTAGCACCACATGCGCAGGGGATGGCGAGGGGCCCCAAGATCAGTTGTTGTCGCACAGCAGAAATGTCTCAAGGGGTCTGGCGATGGAAATGTACCGAGTACTCAATGAACATCGTGTGTGTGACAGGGCGTCGGTTAGTTGCTTGGGGGCGGATCTGCTGCCGTTTTGTAGGGTGTCGAGGGTGTTTGCCCTGTACCACGGCCCTGATGAGCTGGCGGTTCCCGAACTGCATGGTCATGAGCACACAATCCTCAGCCTTATACTCGAAGTAATCGTGCTCAGCAGGTGTGCAGGATTGGGCGACAGGCTTAGCGCATGGGTGGGGGAAAGGATGGCCATATCGAGTCTGTCTGCGTCTCTTCTTATTCATTCTGGAGTCTCGGTAGGGAGGTGGCACAAGCGGCAGATTACTGCCTGATTAGTGGCTCGGGAAGCACATCCATGCGCCCGAGGCCCAGGCAGGGACAGAAGGGCATGGTAGAAAGGAGAATAGGAGTAAGTATAGCACATGAAGGTTGTGGACGGCTGGTCAATCTCCTTCCCACTCAGATGGTGACTGTCTCGGTGCAGCCGCCAAGCCACCAGAGACTGCGACTTTTGTCGATGCAGCAGCCACTTTGATCAAGACGGTTCAGCATGTTGGTTCAATCAACACCCTGACAGATTGACTGCATCTTAGCGTTGATGCTACAATTCAAGCACCAATGCCCAAGGCCTTTGTTTGTCCCTCGACGTCGGCTCGAGCGAGAGAGTCGCACTCAACCCGCGCTGCACCACCTCCTCACCCAGCAACCCAATCGTCGAGCTCAATCATGCATAAGTCTGTCGCCCTGGATGTGCACCTCGTCGCTAAATCTTTACTAAATGGCACCTAGTCGAGTACCTTGGGCGGGAGGAGATGGCGTGTCTTTGCTTTCTAGCGCCCTTCGGTTACGGGAAGAGCGACGAGCGACTACGGCTTCAACTGCTATCGTTACCTACTCTGTTATCTGCGCCAGTTCCGGCCACGGGCTAGACAAAGAAGCGAAACAGTCTCCAGGACTCTCCAGTTTTCAGCCTCACAATTTACTCCGTTGGAGCCAGTCCCCACCGTCATGCCGCCGAATCCACCTTTGCCAGTATCATATCCCCTCAACCTCGAGAGATCGACCTCAGTCGTGTTTTGAATGTTAACGCTTGAAAGACAGCATCGTTGCTCGCAATGGATGGGGACGAACATGCGCTTTTTCACCCCCGACGGTCTTTTCGACGCCAGAACTCGTCGCTGATGCCGGAAAATAGCTACGAACGAGCGCCACAGGAGGATCATGAGTTCCAGGACCTCGCCCCTTCATCGGAATGGAGGGAAGAGCCTGTCGTCGGGTTGAACATCTCGGGCTTGTCGAAGCTAGTCAAGCGTGTTCCAGTGGGTTCCAAAGGACAGTCTTTCACGAGTACAGATGCTTCCAAGAGCACGGTTGCAGCGCCAGACTCGATCGTGTTGGGCCCAAGTCGCAGTACTCCTTACCAAAATACATCTTCCCCCGAAGAAGATGCGAAATCGTTCAGGTCGGGCCGATCGTCGTACAGCCGACTCAATCAACAAACCTCACAAGACTTCTCTCCAGAAGTCGGCCTATTGCCTACTCACACTAGGGTTGATGAGAACTGTCCAACTCATGGCGACATCTTGACAAGCCCGTGGTCGTGGTGGACTATATCAATAGTAGCCCTCGCAGTTTACTCGACCGTCTTCTCGGGCGTCTTCCTCGGTATCGCATTTGCAAAACCTCGATGGGGCCAACGGATCGGCACCAACGGACACCTCTCCTTTGGCAACGCTACTCTTCTCTCTGCTCTGCTATCAAAGACGGTCGAGTTATCCTTTGTTACCATCTTCGTGGCGCTGCTTGGTCAGATATTGAGTCGTCGCGCATTTGCAAAGACGGAGAAGAATAGCGGCATCAGCATCGCAGAGATGACCATGAGGTCGTGGGTCATGCAACCGGGAACACTCATCACGAACTGGATAGTGGTCAGATATGCTGCCTCGACTATCCTCGGCATCATGGTGCTCATCGCCGTGTTGGCCGCGACCTTCTACACCACCGCCGCCGAAGCATTGGTGGCGCCCAAGCCAAAGTTTGGGCCTCTGGAAGATCGAACGCTTTGGGGTCAAGTGGCAGCTTCTTACGCCAACTCGATCTATCTAGCCCAAAGCTGTGAAACGCCTGTTCAAGAAGATCCTGACCCCGATGGCGTCGGTCCGCATCCCGAAGGCGATACATGTCTGCAGATCGACTATGCAGGACAGAGCTTTCACAACTTCAAATCATTCATGTCGGACTGGCGCGAGAGGCTGAACGTCGGCAATCTGAGCTTAGACCAAAGTTCGATTGGTAGTCGCCCCGCACCAGTCGCAACATTGTTCGACAACACTACGGTCCAGGGGCAATGGATCACTCCCAGTAATGAGAGTATCCTGGCCGACTCGGAGAAGTGGTCCAGACTCGTGCAAAATGTCACACTAGCGATGCCCCATGCGAACCTATTCAACGCTGCTCGCGACCCCAGAAACCGGATCCTGCAGCCCGAGGATCTCCAGGGGAACGGGGAGTACTTCATTCAGGCTGCGATACCGGCGCCTCTGATCAATGTCTTGTGTGTGGGTATGTCGACAGCCGAGTTGGAGCCTATGGTCGTCAACGTGTCGAGCATTGAGGACCCAAGCACATATTTCCCGCATCCCACTGCTGTCGACGATATATTCAACTTCGGATCAGCCACGGACACAACCGAGGGTGTTCAGCAAGCGCCCATTTTTCCCAAGTTGCCCATCGACTACAACACGCTAGGGTTCATCTCCAGCAAATGGGGATACTATGCCATTTATCTCCTGGTGGCGCCTCCGCCGGTGGACAAAAGAAGTTACTTGACCGACGATTACGTCTTGTGCTCCATCAAGTCTGCTCAGTATCGCAACTGCACCACATACTATCGTGTCGCCCAGTCCGGCGGCCAGCTATCGGTCGAGTGCGATAAAAGCCGTGGGAACACTCTGCCCTATGTGCACGCGGTCAAGGATGCGCCGATTGGGGACTGGGTCGCGGATTGGAAAGACGTCGGTTCAGAATGGCTTCGGTCCCTTTCGCTGACTGCAGGAGTCAACGACGCTAATGCCTCGAGTGCTCGCCTGCTCAGCCAGATGATCCCTGCATATTCGGCAGGCACCCCCACGGTGCTGACTTCCAACATGCCCACGATTGGCGAGGCTGTGGCGATGCTGGCGGGGGAAACGGCGCTCTTGTCGTCGTCGAATGCGCCCTTTGTGCACTTCTGGAACTACTCGGTCGCCGTGCTCGAGGAACCGCAGTACCAGAACTTCAAGGCGCGGGTCAGCTACAAGGACTACGCGTCGGGGGGCACGCAGACGTGGCAGAATGTCTTCTACGTCATCCTCGTGGCCGTGTTCCTGCTGAGCAGCTTCAGCCTCGTCTACCTGTTGTGGACGTTCTGCCTGCTCGGCCGCGTGACCGACTACACGGAGCCGCAGAACATGTTTGCCCTGGCCATCAACTCGCCGCCCTCCAACACCATGTCAGGCACCTGTGGCGCGGGGCCCAGCGGCGGTCTCCTAGCCAAGAAGTGGCAGGTCGACATGCAGAAAGGAGGGGCCAGCCCGACAGATCGTAGCCAGCACCCACATTTCTACGTGCGATGTCGAGAGGACGGCGTGGCAGTCAACTCGAGTCTACGGAGGAAACGGCGCAGTAGGCCACCGACGATCAGTTCTTTTACCGTTTCCGAGTCGCCGGCCGTGGAGCAGTATATGCGGCTGGCCGGGAAGGGTTGAGTCTGCGTGCACGAGGAAACAAGGCAAGGCAGCAAAAGCGCGATTGTGTCGATACAGCGATATGGTCAGTACGTGCTAGTGATAATGTAATTTTTTTTCCCACCAGTCTTTCGTTCGCCACCTGACTCCTCCCTTGGCCTTGACAGCCTTGACCGCTTGAAGAGAATGCCGAGGAACGGACTGGGGCACTTGACCCTGCCTCTCGTCGGTCATTCTCCATCCCGCTACCTGGTATACCTAAGCTAGGTATACATCCTCACGCCGCCGTAGCAGAGGTCGGTTTCGCCCCTCACCACCTCATTTACTGGGAATTTGTGTGACCTTTTTCTTTCTCTCCCTATCTCGACTATCCCGGGACACCACACCGCTCAGTCTATGTGAAGATGTCCTCTCTAAGCCACGGAGACGTTGACCTTGTTCGTATCTAAAAGCGACATAATTCAGTATTTCATATTCCTCAACCACATCCGGCACCTCTCCCCGCTCACCAACCAACGACGCCGGCTGGGTGTCCAGGTACAAAATGGCATAGGGTATGAAAAAGAACTTACAAAACGCGACATGATCCTTGATATGCGCGGCCTTGTCCTTGGGCGCGGGATAATACCACGCGGCGTCCCTGATTGTCTGTCCCCCCACCGTGACGTCGTAGTAACTCGCCCGCCCTTTCCAGGGACACGTCGAGTGCGTGGCCGACGTGGCCACGGGCACGGAGAGCGACGACGGGGGAAAGTACACGTTCCCTTCGACGGTGTGGTAGGTCGAGGAGGAGGCGATGACGGTGTCGCCGACGCGGGCTGTTGCGGTGGGCATTTTCTCCCGTTGTTTGGTAGGTAGTTCTTGTGAGATATGGAGAAGAGTGTTGTGGTTGGTGGGAATGAATACACCGAGGACACGATAGATTTTATTTACTGGTCGTGAATACGATAGGGAAGGGACTTGTATATGTATATGTGTATATATTTATAGGATTATTATGTCCTCTCCGAACTGTAACTATATTCCTCATCAATTCTCTAGAGGAGAGGGGGCGAGGCTGCACGATTAGGAAGCATGGTAGGTACGTCACAGACTGTGGAGGACGCCTGACCCACTGACTGACTGGATGATCATTAGAGTAGGTTCTAGTAGGCCATGTAGGGGCCGCTATAAGGTCACGATTAGGAATCAACCTTTTGAGCCTGGGGCGCCTGGACCAGGTACAGAACACCCTTCACTCGTACTTGTACTCGTCGGCGGAAAGGTTGTCTCAAGGCCCGAGTATGCTCACCTAGGTACCTACCGAGGAACATGCTAGATTCCTCGATTTCTTAATTGCGACAAACCCTCGTCTAACAAGTATCCCGAGTACATTCCTCAGCCAGACGAATCTCAATTACGAATAACTACACACCTTGACACTAAGCACTAAGCCAAACCGAGGATCTCACCGTCCTCCCCACCCCCGCTCCCCCACAATGTCCGACGTGCTCCCAAACATCCACAGACCTCATAGAATGACATTACCGAATACGCTCACGCGTTCGAGACAAGGGCCAACCCGTAAGGACGTTGCCGCGCATGTCAAGCTGGGAAGAAGAAAGTCTCCTCTACCCGTGTCATGAACGGCACGTTTCTTAACGAGCCCACCACGCGGCGTATTGGACAATCATCGAGGCTGAACCGGTCCTGAAGTTTACCATCGTGCTCCCGTCCCTGGCCCTGACGATCATTGCCACAATGGCCCGGGGCCTTTGGCTCGCGTATAAAAAAATGATAACACATGCTCTGTGGTATCAGTAACGCGTATTGCGAATGCCTGTCCCAAGGCTTGGACTCAGAGATACGAACGAGTTCCCGGAGAGACTCGGTTTTCTCGACTGGGCATTTCTACGACTCGTGGACTAACCCGCCGAGGTCAGTATTTAAAAGGCATCAGAAACGATATGTTTGCTTTTGAAGTCCTTTCGAATATCCCGTGGTGATCAAGAGAAAGCCGCTTCAGTTCATCGACCCCAAACTGACGAGAGCAAAATGGCACACGTCTACAACCTCAACCAGGTCGCCATCTCGGTCCCTGACCTCGACAAGGCAATAGATTTCTACACCGAGCTCTTTGGACTCCATGTCATTGGCAAGATGGACGAAGAGCAGATGAAACATCTGGCCCCTGGCCACTCGATAAATCAAAGTGAATATGCCCAGATCCCTACGACGCTTCTGAACCAGGGGAGTCCTGGCTAGCCTAGCCTAGCCCGACAACCACACCTCCCTCTTCCTCTTCCTCTCTCTCCCCCCTCACGCAGACAATATCCAGTGTACTGACCTGACTCGACGACAGTGTACGGCCCCGAAATCAAGAAATTCAAAATCGCCTTCCTCGTCACGGGCAACAGCGTCGGGTTCGAAATGTTCCAGTTCGTCGACCCGCCGTACCAGGGCCCGACGGAGGTGCCCCCCAGATTCGGCCCGCAGGAATACACCCGGGGCGGGTTCTTCCACGTCGGCTTCCCCGTCGAGGACCCCGAGGCCATCCTGGCCAAAGCGGTCAAGCTCGGCGCGAGGCAGATTGGCCAGATGACGCGGCCGACGCCGAACCTGAGCGGCACGTACATGTACAATCCGTGGGGGAACGTCGTCGAGCTGATCAGCGCGGACTTTCAGCAGCTGTTTTTGCAGATGCTGGCGAAGAGTGGGGGTTGATATGGTAAATGAGATGATAGTTTACGGCGACGGGTATCGCAGTGGCTAATTAGCTCATTGACCTGCCGTGTGGTACTTGGTCTAGATTGAGTTGAGTTGAGCTGAGTCGAGTTGGCTATATCCATCTGGCCAGGGCACGAGATGATATTTACCTACTGTACGAGGTAGACATGGTAAAGTACTCGGTACCCAGTATCTACTCCCTGGGATTCTCCCTTTCTGTCCGAAGCGTAAAATATCCCACGAGTAGACTAGGTCACTTATCGATACCCATATATTCCAGTCCCCTGAACGGACGAAGTGATCGAGAATGGAAGTCTCGGTATGTGTATGTAGCAACCACTCGGGTGAATCACACCATGTACAGTACCTCGTACGGTACCCAGTCAAACAAAAAGGCTTGGGATTCCATCCATCTTTCATCCTCAATGCTTTCTTGTCCTCGTTAATGGCACGTACCCACATACCTCGGTAGATACCACCAGTACTGACCCAGGACAGGCACTCGTAGTCCCTACTTGTAATACTCGTAGACACCTACCGTGGCTGGGATGACAACCACACACCCCGACCTACTAGTATGTACATGGGGCTTGATGCAAATGCACGATTCCGTCAACATTGCTATCGGGTATTCCACGGTCAAGCGAAAAGCGACGCACGCACGCACGGATCAGGTGTGAAACCGTGAAATGGGGCCGATTATGTCAACAGTCGACAAGGATCTCGAGCTAACACCACCATCACGGAATAAAGTGAGAGGGAGGAGAGGTATGATGTGGGCCTCTCGGACAGAATAAGATAAATGATATGGCATTGCTGAATGGTATACTCGGAGGAGCAGTCGAGACGCATGGGAACAGAACAAGGACGATGGACAGTGTCATGTCTAACAACTCCATTGAGTTGATACTCACACAAGTACCGAGTACTCGTACTGCTATACCACTGTCGTCGTCTCTCGTCAACACTGCCACTGTCTTCCTTGCCTTGCCTCAACGCTTCTTCCTCGCGCTAAAGGACTTCAATGGGTCAACCTTGCCCTTGGCTCTGCCGCCGAATCGCGCCTTGCGCCCTCCTCGCTTCTTGTTGTCTTTCCGCTTATTGTCACCTCTCAACCCGACAAACCCGACTTCGTCAGCACTCAGACCCTTTCGCCCTGCTGCCGGCATCAAATATTCTGGGACGTGTTTCAAGTGTCCCTGATGTCTGACAATCGCACCGTGTTCCCCGTCATGTCGCAGGTGTCGCAGGTCTTCCGGGTTCTCCTCGAAATGCCGGCGCAGTTTCTCCGATTTGATCAGCTCTTGTTTGATCTCCTTAGCACGGGCCTCGTGTACCGCAGCTCCGGTCACGGCACGCAGGGCGTCGTTCATGCGATACCGAAACGCGTCCACCTGTGCCATGTCGAAATGATAAGGCTTCACTTCGTTGCCCTTCTTGGTCTGTCGGGCGATGATCTTCTCCAGAACACGTTCGTCATTCTTCGCCGAAGGAATGCTGGTCGCCCGGTGTTTGCCAAACTTGTCCTTGGGCACCACAAAGGACAGGGCCATTCCTGCTTTGCCCGCTCGCGCTGTGCGGCCAATACGGTGTGTGTAGGACTTGGATGTCGGAGGGAGGTCGAAGTTGATCACGCAGGCAACGTTCTGAAAGTCAATGCCCCTTGAAACTCCATAGTCCTTTTCATGTTTCTTGGACTGTCTGGCTTTCTTGGCCGGTCGTGGTACTTCCTCCTCATCCTCCTCACTCATCTCATTGGCTGGATCTTCTGCGACCTGCCCCTCGGTCTTGCGCCTCTTCATAACGCCGCCAAGCACCTCTTGATCGTCTGCTGCGATAAGGATGTCGTAGAGCCCTTTGTTGAACTCCTGAACCACGTGCAACCGAGAGTTGACCGGCAATTCGGCGTTCAGCACACATGACTTGATCCCGAACTGCTCCAGATAGAGCTTGAGCCGATAACTCCTGTCAACGTCGGCCACGAACACTAGGCACTTTCCCTTCACGAGGCGCAATTTAAACAGAACGTAAATGAGCAAGAACTTCTCGTCCTCTCCGCACTTCACCACATACTGGGTCACTCCCTCGCCCTTCTCTTCCTTCTCATCGATCCTGACCAGAACCGCATCGCGACAGAATATGCTCTTCAACTCTTCGACCTCGGGCGTGAGGGTGGCGCTGACCAGGAATGTCTGCACACCGCGGGGGAGGGCCGTAGCGATTGCGTTGATATCGTCTTCATAGCCGTAGGAGAGCACGATATCAGCTTCGTCGATGACAAGTTGCTGGATATTTTCGAGGGACAGCGTGCCCGAGGTGAGGTATTGAGTTGCTCTTCCAGGAGTGGTCACAATAACATCGGGGAAATCTTGTAGCACGGCATTCATGACCGTGTCCGACACCCTTTGTGTCAAATTCAATGTCTGCACATCTTTCGAGCAGAACGCCGCAAAGGCATTGAAGGCTCTGCAGACTTGATCCGCCAATTCTCTCGTGGGCACGAGAACAAGGGCAGAGGTGACCTTGGTGTTGAGGGAGGAGGATTTTCGGCGCAGGATCGCTTGCAGGGTCGGGAGGACGTAGGCGGCGGTTTTTCCAGAACCTGTCTTGGATTTGGCAAGTACGTCTTTACCCTCGAGTGCTAGGGGAATGGCCTTTGCCTGCACGGGCGTAGGGTTGGAGAAGTCTGATTTTGCAATGGCCTGCACGAGGCGAGGGTCGAGGCCGAACGAGTCGAATGATACCTCGTCTTCCGCAGAATCTCGAGGGACCTCGACTGTTGGGGCATCATTGGCATCCAATTTTCGCTTCATGACGGTAAATGTGAAACCAAGAATGAGAGCAAGCGTTGCTTTTTACAGGAAATGTAGTATGGTAGTGCACACTCCGCAATTTTGCCAGAAACTTTTTGCACGAGCGGCTAAACATCGGCCACTGACTGATCTGCTAGATTATCCGCTCAAGGCTGAATAAAAGCCTCGTCAAAGCTTTACTTGTTTTCCAATTTTTTCCAACTGGTGCCACCTGCTCTGTAGGCAGAAATAGATTCTACGTGATGAGTGCGTCCGTATATTCGAAGAGATAAGTATTTGACACTATTGGCTCAGTAGTGTACACATAGTCATCATATCGTTTAATGGATTTATATTGATAGACTGTAAGGTAAACAGCATTAAATAGTTCTCTGCTTGTGGCGAGCGCCTATCCGATGCCATGTCACTCGAAATAAGGGATGCCCCTGGTGATTTCCACACAGAGTTGATGGATGTTGCATTATATATACGAAGCACCGAGTTTGCAGACGAAGAAGATCACCGCCTTACTGCATCAAGCTAGTTTCCAACCCACACACACGGCCGCTATTTCAGGTCAACCATCACGGCAAATGTCCCGTAAAAAGAGCCCAATGTGCACCGGTATGACGTGGGGCAGGTCACTAAGAGATAACGTCTTTTTGTAGCCTTCAACATCTTTTTCCTTCCCGACATCTCTTTGCCTTATATAACTTTCCTGCACTCAAGCTTCGAGCCTGGTTTGAAGAAACCGTAACACAGATCCTGCTCTGCGTCCCTCAAAGTGTTTCGCCATCTGCTCGCCATCATAGGTCGACGACGTCGTGAGCGCCATCCCCAACCACATGCGGGGCGCGGGAACATCTTCAAGATGGGCAACGAATCCTCCACCCCCATTGACGAGGCCACGCCTCCCACCACGCTCTATGGGCGAAATATAGAAGCAGTGGCTCAATACATCAAAGAGAAGGACATCAAGAACATTGTCGTCATGGTAAGAGCCCCTCCGACCCTTTGATGATCGAGATCTGACCGTCTCCAAGACTGGCGCGGGAATCAGCACATCGGCTGGAATACCTGACTTCCGTTCTCCTGATACTGGGCTGTATGCCAATCTGGCTCGGCTGAACCTCCCATATGCAGAAGCAGTCTTCGACATCTCATACTTTCGAAACAACCCGTACCCGTTCTATACCCTGGCGAATGAACTGTATCCAGGCAAATACCGGCCAACGGTGACACACGCATTCATCAGTCTGCTCCACAAGAAAGGGCGACTGCTGAAACTGTTCACCCAAAACATTGATTGTCTCGAGCGGGAAGCTGGGGTTCCTGGCGAAAAGATTGTGGAAGCGCACGGATCATTCGCTACTCAGAGGTGCATCGAATGCAAGACCGAGTTTCCTGGTGATCGTATGAAAGAGATGGTTCAGAAAATGGAGGTACCGCGCTGTATTAGATCGACATGTACCGGACTAGTGAAGCCCGATATCGTTTTCTTCGGCGAGGCTCTTCCAGAGTCATTCCACCGCAACCGGAGCCTGCCCGCGAAAGCAGATTTGGCAATTGTCATGGGGACCAGTCTGACGGTTCAGCCATTCGCCAGCTTGCCATCGTTTGTCAGAGAAGGGACACCGCGCGTGCTGATAAACCTGGAGAGAGTGGGATCCATTGGTTCACGACCGGACGACGTGCTGCTGCTTGGAGACTGTGATGAGGGTGTTCGCAGGTTTGCCGACGCTCTGGGCTGGCGTGATGAGTTGGAAAAGTTGTGGGCCAGCACCAACCCGAACAAGGACGAGAGGGATGCACAGGACGCGCCTCCCATGACCAAGCAGGAGAAATTGGACGACGAGATTGCGAAGTTGACCAAGGATATTGATGCCTCACTCAAGATCTCCGCCGAGGCAAATGATAGAATAAGGGCTGAATTGGAAAACAGCGCACCGCAGAAATCACCGCCAGCAACCGGTCCCTCGTCCAACACTCTGACCTCGCCAACGCTAACCACGTCTTCAAACTCTGGGCTCAGTCACGTCTATCCTCATCTAAGGCCAGACAAACCTGAAAAACCTTCTCTTTAGTGATCTCATGCTGGGCGTACCGAGCCCCTGTGTTCACTCACATCTGAAATCAATATCAGTCTGAACTGAAGGTCAACCTCATAAGTCACTTAGACTTTCCCCAAACAGATTCTACCAACCCAAGGGATTTTCTCTTGTCAAGTGAGCAAACTTTTTCCCTTCCTCACTTCACCTTAGCACTGACCAACCACCAAGACAGACGCACCCGGCTTTGGTCTCGACACACACTTTGACACATCTCTATTTGCCGCTCACCATGAGTGCCACAACGCCTCGCTCCAAGTCAGAGGGGAAATATGCCAATCCGACTATTCGAATCTTTGTTGGAAGAAAGAGACAACTGTTCCATGTCCACTATGCATTCCTCGAAAAGACCGATTTTTTCAAGGTTCATGGGGACCCTACATTTCCTACGGGCACCACGCCGACACCGACACGGACACCAACTCGAGCATCAACCCATGCGGGGAGGTCTTTGGATTCACCAATGCGAAGTGAACACACTGTGACGCCAGATCGAGGTAACATCAAAGAAGAGCAGGACTTTGAGGATGACACATATGGAAACAACGGCGAAAATAATGGTGCTTCTCCAGCAGGTGCCAGCGATGCTGTCACGGCGCCGGCTTACCTGCTTCAGGGTCTGATATACGAACCTGAGGCTTTCGAGGTCGTTGTCAATTACCTGTACAATGAGCCACCGGACATACCTACTACTGGGACCGAGTGTACAATACTGATGAAGGCATACATCCTGGCGCTCCACTACCGCATGCCGGGTCTTCAAGATGATGTGGTCGACTGTTTTCGAAAATACCATGCGGAATACGACGTCAAGTTTGCCCACCTTTTCTGGATCTCTGGGCGCGTCGGTGAGGGCGATGCTATGTGCAAGGTGCCCTTGATCCAGTACCTCGTTGACCAGATTGCTTTCGAGATCTTCCGGAGAGGGTACGATAACTTTGTCCAGAGCAACACTGACTTTGAAGTCTTTCTCACAAAAAGCGATCGTCCTCTGCGCAAGGAACTCTTCAAAGCTATGGCCAAAGTTGCGGAGGAGAAGGAACCCTTGGACCCTGCGCTCGGAACCCATCGCTGGAGAGTTGACGACTACCCTAAATTTGAGCGTGGCGACGACGCTTCTCCGACGTCCCTCGAAATCATTGATCTCGACTGAACCAGGCTTGTGTGTTCTACCGTCGTGTGACTTCTGTCTGGCAGTGAAGAAGTCGTATGCTCGGATGCTGGAGGCGAACTAGGGACCTGCGAGGAGACAAATTTCGTCACTTTAACCATGGTTCCCAGAAACAGAACCGTGAGTCAGCGTTGCACGGTTAGTCATGGCTTTGGAAGATCTTGCTGGGAAGAAAATTGGATCAAGGGAGACTTGCAGGCACACAAATCTTCAGCGGAGCAGTTACTTGGTGGTTGATGGGAGAGCCTCATGACACAGACCCTTCAAAATGGTGTTAGATTGGCGATCCTGATACCCGAAGGAGATAGCATCAACAGAAGCAAATATCGAAGACTTGGAAATGCCCCTCATTCCCTTATTCTCTTCCTGACATAAGCGGCATCATTCTGTCATACTTCAGTAACCGTTGGTACCGCATGGTGCCGCTGCAAAATGCCCCTGTTTCGACCCACTGGCTTCGAGACTCAAAACTACCCCGCCAAACTTTTGCTGTATCAACATTTTGGCCTCCGTTTCTCGCCGCGAAAGCTTGACCACGAAACAGCTCCTCTGAGACGCCTCACCTGAGGTCAAATCTGTTCGTACTTCCCCTCTTGATTGCCCAGAGCCTTCGCCTCTACCTATCTACCTTCCCTCTCTTCTCGTCTCTTAGCGTCGACACTCAAACACAGGCACAATGGTCGGGTTGGGTCCAAAGCGAAAGCCGTCCCGCAAGGGTAAGTGACGATGTCGTGGCAGTTGGAATGGAATTGAAGGATAGCTAAATCTCGCGGTTTCTCACAGGGTCAATGGCCGATGTGCCAAAGAGCTTGCTGGACGAAATCGCCAACCTCGAGAACCTGTTCACCGTGGACGCCGAGCGGCTCAAGAAGATCACCGACCATTTCGTGTCGGAGCTCCAAGCTGGCCTGGAGAAAGAGGGGGGCAACATCCCCATGAACCCGACCTGGGTCATGGGCTTCCCGGACGGCAATGAGCAGGGCACTTTCCTCGCACTGGACATGGGCGGGACCAACCTGAGAGTCTGCGAGATCACCCTCACGGAAGAGAAGGGCGAGTTCGAAATCATCCAGAGCAAGTATCGCATGCCGGAAGAGCTGAAGACGGGAACGGCCGAGGAGCTGTGGGATTACATCGCCGACTGCATGCAGCAGTTCATCGACTTTCACCACGAGGACGAGGATCTGGCGCATCTGCCCCTCGGGTTCACGTTTTCTTACCCGGCAACGCAAGACTACATTGACCATGGTGTGCTCCAGCGATGGACCAAAGGATTTGACATCTCAGGCGTCGAAGGGCAGGATGTGGTTCCCCAGTTCCAAAAAGCTCTTGAGGCACGGGTATGACAACTACGAGAAACCCCTTCTGCGGTGACTGATTGACTGATCGCATACCAGAACCTCCCGATCAAACTTGTCGCCATCATAAATGACACCACCGGCACGCTGATCGCATCAGCCTATACAGACCAGACTATAAGAATTGGGTGCATCTTTGGAACCGGCTGCAATGCCGCCTACATGGAGAACTGCGGCTCAATACCGAAGATCAAACACCTCAACCTCCCCGACGACATGCCCATGGCGATCAACTGCGAATACGGCGCCTTCGACAACGAGCACAAGGTCCTCCCCATCACGAAATACGACACCATCATCGACGAGACCTCGCCACGACCGGGCCAACAGGCTTTTGAGAAGATGATCGCCGGGTTATACCTGGGCGAGATCTTCCGGCTCGTGCTCGTCGACCTGCACGAGAACAAGAACCTCCTCTTCGAGGGCCAGGACATCTCGGCGCTGAAGAAGCCCTACACGCTCGACGCGTCGTTCCTGTCCTTCATCGAAGAAGACCCCTTTGAGAACCTGCACGAGACGCGCGACATGTTCGAGGACAAGCTCAAGATCCAGGCGTCCAAGCCCGAGCTAGAGCTCTGCCGCCGCCTGGCAGAACTGATCGGCACGCGCGCCGCGCGCCTCTCGGCCTGCGGCGTCGCGGCCATCTGCAAGAAGAAGAACATCGAGAGCTGCCACGTCGGCGCCGACGGGTCCGTCTTCAACAAGTACCCGCACTTCAAGCAGCGCGGGGCCGTCGCGCTGCGCGAGATCCTCGACTGGCCAAAGGGCAAAAAGGACCCCGTGGTCATGATGAGCGCCGAGGACGGCAGCGGCGTCGGCGCCGCCCTGATCGCCGCCCTGACCCTCAAGAGAATCAAGGAGGGCAACACGGCCGGCGTGCGCGACGTCGGGAACTTCCCCGGCCTGACGTAGTACGTACCACCCCAAGGACTGGAGAAGGGAAGTATCGAAGTGTGCAGCATTTTGGAGATTGTTGGACGACCGAGAAAAGATGGTCTGGAGCGAAAGAATTTTTTTTTATTAGAGATTTTGTGCCATGTATATCATCATGATGCATGCACGTATGCCGTACATGATGATACTACCTAAATACTACACGACCGATGCAAATTGGAGGGTGTCTACTGTACTGAACCCGGTGGGTGAATGTACTCGGTACTGGAAAGCCTCATTCGCGTATCTCCCACAGTCTGATCTTCCCCTGCTCATTCCCGACAGCGAGGTAACTTCCATCCGGCGACAGGGCGGCGGCGCTGATTCTGCCCAAGGGTGTCTTGTCCGTCGGCCAGTTCCTGTAGAGCGTGCAGCTGGGCAGGTGGGCCAGGCGCAGGGCGTTCTTCTTCCAGCGCGATGTCATGACCAGCATCTGGCCGTCTTGGGAGAACTCGAGGTGCGAGATCGGCGTCGTCAGCTGGTCGAACATCCGGGCGGGTTTGGGTCTCTCGTCCTTGGTGGCAACGAGGTCGTTGGAAGTGTTGGTAGTGCCCATCCACCCGCGTCGATCGTAGAGATTGACAACTCCGCTAGAAGAGCCCACAGCGACCCAGCGGCTGCCGCCCCGGCACTGCTGCTGTCCGGAATCCCCGCCCAAGGCGATGACGGTCGTGCCGACGGCGCCGTCGTCCATCCACCTCATGACTACCCTCCGCGCCTCGATGTCATACTCGCTAACCTCCCCGTTCTTTCCCACCACCGCAAACCCGTCCCCGTTGCGCCACCACGCAAAGTCCGCCACGCCACCGCGTGAATCAATCCGACAGCTACACACCCACTGCAAGGTCTCTGTCGACAGCACGTTGATGCTCCCGCCTCCCTTCTTCGATGACCCGATGAGTCCCATGTAGCGGCCGCAGGGGGACAGCTTGAAAGCTTCCATCGTTCGCTGCTCTTTGCGGGCCTGACCGTAGAGTGCACGAGTTACCTTGGTGACAGTGCCGGTGGAGAGTGACCAGGTATGGAAATACCGCCGTCGAGAAGAGAGAAATATTTTGGTCTGGTCGTGTGTCTCGCTTGCGTCCTCTGGCGCAGGTTGGGCTCGTGGCCGGCAGAATGCTGCCGTGTGCAGAGGAGTGCCCTTCAGATGTAGGGAGGTTAGAATCGGGTTAGGATTCGGCGGTTGAGGTGAGATGTGGTACAACGTCACCGTCGAACTTGGTCCGGCGGCAAGGAGGAGAGGGTAGTATGGGTGAAATTGCAATGTGTCGACTGAAGATGGTCCGGAGCCCGCTACATCTTTGCATCGCTGGATGTCGATGACTTCCGGCCGCAGCTTCCGGGTCCCTTTTGTGCCTGGTCTCTTGGTATCTGTCCTAGTCAGAGATCCAGCTGTTCGGAGAAGTTCAGCCAGAGGTTGCGCTGAGGGGAGGGAGTCGTTCTCGTCCATGGACACATCTGAGTCTGACACCGCATCCTGATAATCGGAGCGGGAAGACAACTTTCTCCTCTTTCTTGCATATGTAACCCACTCCGGCGTAGGGTGAAGCCTCTCGTATTGTCGTCGTAGTCTCTGTATGTATTCTCTGCCACTAATCACATCATCGTCTTCCGTGTCGCGAAGTTTGCGCAAGCGAGTGTTTGAGGCGAGTGAGACGGTGATCCGGTCATCGTCACTGTCGTGCCACACTGGTTCTGGCTGATGATGACCATGCACCTTTTCGGTACGTTCGAGTTCCTTCGCAACGGAGGGCGTGAGTTGGTCGGCACCCGTGTCGAGGAAAAACAACTGTGAACAACGTTAGGAAGGGAAGACGATCGAGGGGATGAACACCAACGTCTTCGTCTGCCACATGGCTCAACCCTCCATCGGCATCGTCTTCTTCGGACTCGTCATCCTTTCCATGCTTGCGCGGCACCAACGACCGATCCTCCTCGATCTGGTCCCTCGTCAACGAATTGAGAAAGCCTGCGTCGTCTCCGAACAGGGCCTTCTCTAGGCGCAGTTCGGTGTCATCTTTCTCGAGGACCTCTGTGGCCGACTTCCCTTTGACTCCGTGTTTAGGCTGCTTGGGTTCTGGCATCTTTCCAAGCTGGCCGTATCTCCTGGCCGTCGTTTGTCGGACAATTTGAGCACCGCAGGATGTGCAGTCAACTTTTTTTGGGTGTGGCCGGCAATACTTCGGAGTGGAGCAATTTGTGACTTTTGGGGGTTGCGGGCCGAAGCCGCTGCTTTTGTCCTTTTGTCTACAATTCACACAATTCGATCGAAACTTGTGGTAGTGGTGCAGCACCTGTCGACGATGTCCCCTTGAGAATGAAGGTTTTTGCTTTCTGCTGCCGGAGGAAAACAATCAATGGGGACTTTGTCGCCACTGGTCGTCAACGCTGCTCGCCCAGTTGACCATATATCCTGATCACGTCGCAAACAGGTCGGAGGGGGTCACATCACAACATCCCTCGCTCAGTCGTTGATCCAATATGACGACCAATGGCCACGTCTCTGATCTAGAGCATGAAAATGAAACAAACAGCGTCTACAATGCGAAATCCGTGTCAGAGATCCGTGCCGCATTGGCCGAGCTCCACAGAAAAGAGGCCACAGTAACTTCGCAGCTCGATGCTCTTGTCAGTGCGCAGAAGGATCTCCAACGAGAACTCGGCCGTCTGGACTTGTTCCGCGCAAATGCCACTGCGCAGGCTTCCAAGGCAAGAGCAGTCAGCAATGGCATGCTCTCAGACGCTGCAGCCAGCGCCCAACGAATCTCAAATTCCGTCAAGAGACTCGACCTCGAGCAGGAAAGGGTCAAGGCTACACTCACCGTCGTCGAGCAGGTCAGGGAATTGAAAGCTTGTGTGCTGGGTGTATCTGGATCCATGGGAGCGGCTCAGGACTGGGAAACCGCAGCCAGCTATCTTAGCAGAGCCTCAAAGATTCCCAGTGCTGTCATTAATGGCCCATTCGCCGCGAGAATAGTTCCGACTGCAGAAGTCCCCGATGCCCCTGCTGTCACCTTGGAGAATGCTTCGGAATCATTGTGCAACCTGTTTCTGAGAGAGTTCGACAAAGCAATCAAGGAGAACGACGGCGCTCGAATAACGCGTTTCTTCAAACTCTTCCCGCTGATCAACCGCTCGGACGTTGGTCTGGACGTCTATGGTCGCTATGTCTGCCAGGGCGTCGCTACTCGGGCTCGTGCCAACCTCAATGCTGGCACTGGTGGCAACCAAAGCAAAGACGGTTTCTTCTACGCAAACGCCTTGACGAAATTGTTCGAGCATATTGCACAAATCATTGAGGGACATGGTGGACTGGTTGAGCGCCATTATGGGGCCGGCAAGATGGCACGAGTCATTGAACGGCTGCAAGTCGAGGCTGATCTCCAAGGAGGGATTATACTTGACACTTGGAGCGACGAGAGGAAGATCGAACGCCAGCTGACTGATATCAAAGCATACGCTTTCACGTTCTTGGTCCAGAGCTTCATGAATGCACAGAGAGGTTCAAGCGCAACGCCGCGAGCAGGCTCTCCCGCACCAGGAAGGTCGAGTGAAGATGAATCGGTCGATATGAAACAGGTGGATGCCTTACTCAATGAGATGACCCTCATGTTGGGCAAATGGTCCTTGTACACCAACTTTATTGCCGAAAAATGTCACGATGCTGGCAGCCCTGATGGATCACTGTCGATACCTTCATTCCTCCTCGACTCGAACCTCCACAAAAAAGTGCAGGAGAAACTCCTCACCCCGTTCAACACCATGACTACGTTCTTCTTCCGGCGTTCAGTCGAGAAGGCGTTCCAACTAGACGAGCAACCGCCCGACTTGTCTCTCAACCCTCATAAACCACTCAACTCCAATCCACCTCACGTCACCTCTGCAATCGAGGACATTATGTACATTGTCAACAAAGTCCTGCAGCAGTCTTTAGCCACGTCACAGAAACAGGTCATCTCCAGCGTCATTCCTACTCTGGGTAGAATACTAGGCTCCGATTTCATCGGCATGGAACAGCGCAAGATGCGCGATGAGAGCTACCCCAAAGCCGCAATTCCAGGCCAGCTCCCACCCGAGGCGACAATCGTCTCCTTCCTCGTCCTCGTCAACAATCTCGACGTAGCTAAGGACTACGTTGTCCAGATTGCCCGTGCTCGAGTGGAGCCCGTCGCAGGCTCACCTCATCGACCATTAGCAGAACTCTTCCCTGGGCATGGCGAGGCAGACGAGGTTGCGGCTTTGCTGACCTCCTTCGCCTCAGTGTTCTCGGAGAAAACCAACGAGCTCATTTCTGACGGCGTGAACGTGGTCTTTCACAATGTCATGAAACCTCGTCTCCGACCTATACTGATGGACGCCTTCCGCGACACAGACTACCAGCTCTCGCGGGAGCAGCTGCAGGACCTTGCGGGCGATGTCGACGGCGGGGACGAGACCGAGTCCTTCTCGGACGAAGTCCGCATGCGCTTCCAACTGGGATGGGACGCGCTGACGAAACCGATCGGCCGGATCATGACGGAGCGCACGTTTGACCAGCTCCTGGCGATCGTGGTGAACTACCTGAGCAAGATGCTCGAGAAGCGCTTGTGGACGTACCACGGGCGGGTCAACGAAGTCGGGGCCGCGAGGCTGGAGCACGACGTCAATGAGATCGTCAAGGTCGTCGTCAAGGGCCAGAAGTACGGCCTGCGCGAGGCATTTTTGCGCTGCACCCAGATCTGCATGATCATGAACATGGACGAGGAGGAGTGGGAAGAGTTGCTCAGTTCGGGGGGCGAGGTTGCGGATAAGCTGAAGCATGAGGAGCGTGTAAGGGCGAGGAATATGGTCAAGGACACTACTGCATAGTAGATGGTAGAGCGTAAAGGGGTAGAAGAACCAATTGAACGAGAGAAAAGGAGCTGCGAGCTACAGACAGATAGGCAAGAGAAACCAAAAGAAGAAATCATGCAAAGGCATCATCTCAAGCAAATCCGTGAGTTGGCTTTTTCCTCTCTCTACTGGTCTTGATTATTTTTGGGAAGGGAGGGAGAAGGAAGCAAGTCTTGTCGCGTGATCATTCTCATGGACCATCCACTCGAGAGAGAGACACACACAAAAGGGGAGAACGCACGCCTCAAGGGGAAAAATACGCCAGTGATCTCTCAACCATTTTCCACTACCGAGTACCTATGGGCTTACAATTCCCCGGGGGGTGGAAGGAGTCGATAGAGATAGATCCGTAGCAGTAGCAGACAGAAACAAAGCCCTGTTATTGTTCACTCTCCCACCCTTTCGTTGGTGTGGGTGTGTCTCTCTCTCTGTCTTCGTGCTAGCTCGCCGAGAGCAGCAATCAGGCCCGAGGATTTGTTCGTCCCCTGTCCGTCAAAACAGTCTCTCCTTCAACCCTCCGTCTCTACGACACACCCTCTCCTCACTCTCGCCCTCGCCCTCCCTGCCTCTGCCTCTTGGGGTTCTGTTTTTTTGTCTCGTAAAAACACATTTGCTTCGTGAGGATCGTTTCCCCTTACGGTTTATCTACCCATTATTGTTTTTTTGGAAGACCGGGCCGAGAAGACAAAATCCAATCACCCACCCCGGCTCTATGCTCTGGCCATGACGCCCCACGCGCGGATCTTGTTGTCCGTGTAGCCGGAGAACAAGGTCTGGCCGTCGGCGCTCCAGGCCAGGCTGACGCAGTACGGTTCCTGGGACTTCTTGCCCTTCTCGACAAAGTCGGGCTTGAGCTCGTCGACCTTGCTCTTCTTCTCGAGATCGAAGATGGTGATGGACGACGAGGTGGCGGCGCAGAGCCAGTATCGGTTGGGCGAGAAGACCAGGGCGTGGATCTCGTCGCCGGCTTGCAGGGAGTACAGGTGCTTGGACTCGTTCAGGTCCCACAGCATGGTGGTGCCGTCTTTGCCGCCCGAGGCGCAGAGAGATCCGTCGGGGGAGATGGTCACGGTGTTGATGTAGCCAGTGTGGCCAATGTGGTCGGTTTGGAGGCGGCACGAGGCGAGTTCCCAGACCTGAAAGAAATGTGAGGTCAGCACAAACCCCATCTACCGGCTCCAAATCAAAATTGAGATTCAAAATTTGAAAACAAGAATGTTGTATATGATTCGCCTCAGTCCGCCGGTGAATAGTTGTCTCATGGCCCCCGAAGGGGCTCCGAAGTAGCAAACACTAATAAATTGCGTAGCATCTTGGGCAAATATGTATGGGAGGAATCTCGTGGGACAGCTTATTTCTTACCTTGACCAATTTGTCCCAACCGCAGCTCACAATGACCGGGTTCTGAGGGTTCGGGGAGAAGCGCACGCACGAGATCCAGTCGGTGTGGCACTTGTCAGTGATGGTGTATTTGCAGTCTCCCAAGGTGTTCCAGAGCTTGATGGTTCGGTCCCGGGACCCTGAGACAATCTGTCTGTTATCTGCGGAGAAGGAAACGGAGAGGACATCGTTGGTGTGGCCGACGAAAGTTCGAGTCGTGTTGCCCGTGGACAGCTCCCACAATCGCAGCGTCTTGTCCCAGGAAGAGGAGAGAGCGTATGCGCCATCTGAGGAAATGACACAGTCGGAGACAATGTGGGAGTGGCCGTGGAGCGACCTCTTCGGGTAGCCGTAGGCAGTCTCGTCGCGAGTCAGGTTCCAGATGATGAGGGTCTTGTCTCTCGAGGCCGAGAGGAGCATGTTGGGGCTAGAATTTTCAATGTCAGTCGACGGTCGCAGATGGAGGTGGTTTTCTCGCAGGTTACTGACTTCTCCAAGCTGGTCGCGAGGGAGGTGACCCAGCCGCTGTGGCCCTCAAGAGTACCACGTTGAATAAGTTGTTCAGCCATGGCGACTTGAAGATCCAGGAAAGAACAGAACGGGCTGGTGTCTGAGGGAGATGGTTGTCGAAGATTCGCCTGTCGAGACGTTGGCATCTCCGCCAAAGATTCTCTGCAGTTGTGCGCTCTCCAAATCCACGCCAAGATTCGCGGGCGCTAAGCCCATTGTGGACATACTGAATTTGCGGCTAAATGTCGGCGCAAGGAGTCGCATGGTTGATTCTGAAAAGCCCATAGAGCTGTGTTGGCTGTGCCAGCTCTTCAATGAGAGACGATCAATTTGATGCAACCAGCATGCCTGATCGAGTGCGGCAAATGGAGTTTTCCCACTCGCCTGAATCCCGTATTCCCATGCAATCATCATCTGTCATTTCCTATGTGCCTCGTTGCGCCCGGGCGTTATACCGGAGTCATGCCCGTTACCATCGCGGAGTACCGGCTAAATGCAACGATGCTGGGGCGTATATAACCTGAGGTCGATCGAGATACGCCTGAATTGGCTCTCGCTGTCTCTCCGTCCTGAGTCATATATCTGCTTGTCATCTGCTCTACCTCTGCCGCTTTTCGTGATCTATCTAAACATCAAACCATGGCCTCTTCCGGTGATCAGCTGCCAAAAATGCAATACCGTTTCCTTGGTCGGTCTGGACTACAAGTGTCTGCAATTTCACTTGGAGGGTGGTACGTGATGCCAAACACGCGCGGACTTCCTCAGTACTAAGTGCAACAGGGTCACATACGGGGATGCAGTGGGAGATGGTAGGCTACAACGCCGTCCAGCTGTGCAAGTCTAACTCGGCCCTGCAGAGATTGCTTTCGAATGCATGAAAGCGGCCTATGATGCTGGAATCAATTTCTTCGACTGCGCTGAAGGTTATGCCGACGGCAAATCCGAAGTTGTCATGGGCAAGGCGATCAAGAAATATGGTTGGAAGCGCAACGATCTGGTCATCTCGACTAAGGTCTATTGGGGTCAAGCTCATGGAGATAACCCGGTCAACAATGGCGGTCTCTCCCGGAAACATATCATTGAAGGAGTGGAGGGATCACTCAAGCGACTGCAGCTAGACTACGTCGACCTGATCTACTGTCATCGCCCAGACAGACACACTCCGATCGAGGAAACTGTTCGAGCCATGAACTATATCATCAACACCGGAAAAGCATTTTACTGGGGAACCAGCGAGTGGAACAGTGAGGAAATCGCCATGGCCTGGGCTTGTGCAGAACGGCTCAACTTGATTGGACCTGTCATGGAGCAACCGGAGTATAGCATGTTGGCCCGTGATCGAGTCGAACGAGAATATGCCCTGCTGTACGAGAATTACGGACTTGGCCTGACCATCTTCAGTCCGCTCAAGCAGGGTATCTTGACGGGCAAATACAACGACGGTATCCCCGAAGACAGCAGAATTGCCAAAGCCGCAGACGGCTTTACCGCGTCCCAAAGAGAGAGCTACGGGAATGAGCAATGGAAGAAGCTTCTGGCTCAAGTCAAACAACTGAAGCCGATAGCTGACAAGCTGGGTACTGATCAGGCAACTCTGGCGTTGGCTTGGGTACTGAAGAACCCGCGGGTGAGCTCTGCCATCACTGGAGCATCAGAGGTGGAACAGATCACGAAATCCATCAAGGCGTTGGATCTGGTTGCTAAGTTGGATGACGCTGTGATGGCTGAGATCGATGAGGTACTTGCGAACAAGCCAAAACTCCCATATAGACGGTTGTAGTGAGACAGTCGTCCTTTTTTGAGGTTATACTCTTGCATGCCTCCAAATAGTTCATCAGCTATTTCAACTTGAACCATGTTTAAGAATCTGACAGCAAGGCATGCTTAATTTTCAGCCCATCTTCAATTGGCTGTTGGGTAGGACGAGGAAGTGGTTGGCATCATTGGTGGAGGGAGAAAAAGGTGATGGTGTATGATGTCAACGATGAAACCTCCTCACACTTGCTCCTGCCGCCCTGCGTCACGTTCAACCACAGAATTCACTGTTCAATTGTATCTTCAACAACAAAAACCCGACAACCACTGGTATTCCCAAGCTTGTGCACAGCTAAAATACTCCCTCTGGCGCCAATATGAATGCCTCACGTCTGGTTACTAGACGTCTCGCTGGTGGCCAACTGGCTGCAAGCGTGTCGCGACGCTGCATCTCCTCTACCTCGTCACGTTTCAATGAGAACCCTCGAGTCCATTCCAACGCCGAAGAACATCGCAAATACCAAAAGGAGAGGGCAGACAATCCACACATGACAAACACAAACTCCACGATTCACAACAAGATGCCTTCGGTGGGCAAGGATGCGCCTCCACCAGAAATGCTGAGTTCTGTTGATTCCAAGTACATCCCGAAGGACAAAGTTCCAGAGAACACAGACAAAATGACAGGAGGAACACAATCGGGAGATCCCAACAAAGTAAGCCAGTCAGAATATGCTGTTGGTGAAATGGAGGGCATCTCGTTTCGTGTCGAACCCCTCCGTCGGACGGGAGAAGACCTTCCCACCATGAGAGCCAGATTACTATGTCGGTGCACACCCTGGGATGCAATATTCTGCACCCGGGAGATTTCAAGTGTCTAAGGAGCTTGCTGACGTATTGCCATAGACCAAAGCAGGAAACGGGGGACATTAGAGTCTGACCTCCTACTCTCCACTTTTGCAGCAGAGAATCTCGCCTCCATGACTAGGACTCAACTCGAGCAATACGACTTCCTCCTGGACGAGAACGATTGGGACATCTACTACTGGGCCACTCAGTCCCCGGCCAATTCTCCCACCTCGCTCGAGTCTGCAGAAGGTGCTACGAGTGACAAGAAGACCCAGACAACCGAATATGCGTCCCCAGCGAACCCGGGGCAAACTCAAGAGACCGACGCATGGAGACAAGGAGCTCCGCGCAGCGGAGAGTGGGCTCAGACGGTGGGGACTTTCAGACCTGCGTATAGACCTGTTCCCCAACGGTGGAAGGACAGTGAAATACTGCACATGCTACGTAGGCATGTCAGGGAAAGGAGTGCAGGCGGCGTTCTGGAGGACGTTAACGCCACTCCCAACAGCAAAGGTAGTGGTGCTGGTCTCGGGAGAATGCCTGATGTACAAACCTTTGATTGAGCTTGTCTGGAGCTTTTTGTACCTACTTCGTACATGCAACCACCAAAATATGTATACCATCCAATAGGAGTCCAAACAAGTGGAATACTTTCTCTCATTATTACCTTCACCGCTGGTCCGGTGATGAGCCCAGCTCTCTCCGAGCTCGGCCACAACGGCCTGAACGGCTTTAATCGGTGCAGCAACCTCTTGTGGAGAAGGGTTTATAAGCATCCCATGAGCTCGGATTTAACTGGTCGAAACTTCAAACCCAAAGCATCTCGTACCATCCAACATGTACGAATTTGCTAAGATCCCGCAAAGGTGTTGTTCGAACATCATCCTCCTGGTTGAGATGAACTACGGGACTATGTGAACTCCCACCCTCCGCCCCGCCAATTAGGGAATTGATTACCGCGGAACAACTCCCACTTTTGCTGCATCGATAACTCCACCGAATTCTTCGACTCATCGCTGTACGATCGACTCTCCCCATAGCGCCATAGTTTTTTGAAGTCATAGCCGGCTATACGCTCATCGTCATTCATATACTCTCCATCAACATGGCCTTGGTCGCTCCGTATCGATGTTTCTTCTTTCCCTTTAGCTTCACTCCCTCCCTTGGCTTATATCATTCTGTGCTCTCTATATTCCGACCTTGGCCAGTATCTTGTGCGTCTGAATGACTCGGGGTAACCCCCTGTTTTCCTCGGTTCTCCAAAAGTTCTTTCGGGGCTTGTTGACACAACGCTCCGCCCACAATGGCAGACCATGAAACCAACGAGGCGGAGAAGAAGGAGATCTTGTTGGATGTCCCGCGTCAATATCCAGCCTCGTTGACTCCAGTTTCGACAAACCGAAGTCAGCCTCGACCCAGTATACACTCTGGTCGATCTTATGTGGATGGGCACAGCACATTCTTCAGTGACCGAGAACCTGGCGATGAGCCGGAGCAGCCGCAAGAGGTGGACGTGGAAAATCCGTCCAAGACGTTCGAAGTGGGTTGGGACGGTCCAGATGACCCTATGAACCCCAAAAACATGCATCCGGGGAAGAAATGGCTGGTGGTCATAACACTGGCCTTTGGCTCGTTGTGTGTAACGTGTACTTCTTCCCTCTATACCATCACCTATGGTTAGTATAAATGCCAATGCTTCCCTCCAAGTCATGTTCCGATGCTGATGGCGCCACAGAGCAAATGGACGCAGAGTTTGGCAATTCACGGATTGTTGCAACGCTCGGCCTGTCCCTCTTCGTCTTTGGCCTGGGGTTGTCTCCCATGATCCTGGGGCCTTTGTCCGAGTTTTATGGTCGCCGTCCGATTTATATTCTGGGATATATATTCTTCACCATTTGGCTGTTCCCCTGTGCCTTTGCACAGAATATTCAGACCATGCTGATAGCCCGGTTCCTGGACGGCTTTTCTGGGAGCGCCTTCTTGTCCGTCGCGGGCGGGACCGTTGGAGATATGTTCAATCGCGACCAGCTGCAAGCGCCCATGATGATATATACGGCTTCCCCTTTCATCGGGCCGGGGCTCGGCCCCATCATTGGAGGGTTTATCAATTACAACACCACCTGGCGATGGTCGTATTACACACTTTTGATATGGTCCGGAGTGATGGTCATTGCCATCATTGTGGTCGTGCCAGAAACGTACATGCCCGTGGTGCTGAGGAAGAAAGCGCAGAAGAAGCGGAAAGAGACGGGTGACGACAGGTACAAGGCTCCGATTGAGGTTTACGAGAAGTCCATCTTTTGGACGGTAGTGAGATCCCTGTATCGTCCGTTCATGCTGCTGTTCTTGGAGCCCATGTGTTTCAACCTGTGCCTGTTCTCCTCCATCCTCTTGGGCATCCTCTACCTCTTCTTCGGCGCCTTCAATCTTGTCTTTACCGAAGTCTACCACTGGAAGGTCTGGCAGGTCGGCCTGTCTTTCCTCGGCCTGATGATTGGTATGATCCTGGCCATCTTGTCCGACCCCATCTGGCACAGGAATTACCTCCGACTCCTCCAGAAGCGAGAGGAGACCACCGGGGAACGCAAGTCGGAACCGGAATATCGACTGCCATCCTCGATATTCGGCGGGTGGTTCTGCGTGGCTGGGCTGTTTTGGTTTGCCTGGACCATCTATCCAAGCATTCACCCCATCGTCCCTATCGTCGGCAGCGGCTTTTTCGGGTTCGGCATCATTCTCGTCTTCACAGGGGTCTTCACCTTCCTCGTTGAGGCGTATCCCCTTTACGCAGCCAGCGCCCTGTCGGCCAACTCGTTCGCGCGGAGCTCCTTTGCAGGGGCATTCCCCCTATTCGGGGTTCAGATGTACAACAAGCTCGGCTTCCACTGGGCCACGACACTTTTGGCATTTCTGTGTTTGGTCATGGCGCCATTCCCGTACCTGTTCTTCATTTACGGCAAGCGGCTGCGCAAGAAGAGCAGATTCGCGTCCGTCCCTGGATCTGGATGAACATTGGAGGTATTGGTAACCTGGCTAGCAAGTGCAAGTGCAGAGAGAAAATTGGACTTTTTGGGAATTCTTGGAAAGTTATTATACAGATACAGTGGGTCTGACGCAACTCTAGAGCGGACCAAGTAGAGAAGGGGGCCCATATACACTGTCTGCATTGGGGAAGCTGCATGGCTTTTTATACAGGGCAAAACTACAATAGACAAGATCAAACCTGTGCAAATGCAAAATATTTGAACGTCAAACCCCCTGTTTCGCTGTGCCTTGTTCTACAGTATCCACACATACAAGGCCCGGCCATGATTACCCTTGACATCTTCCTTGCCTCTGTCACAAGGGGGACGATGGAAAGAAGTTGTCGATATGTACCAGGGGGCAGGCGGGCGGGTAGACGGGTTCCTGCGATTTGCAGTTGCAGGTGGCTCATCCGAGTTGTGATGATGTTAGTGGGAACAACACTTTGATAGGACGATCCTGCCTGACACCGCATCAAGCCGTGTCAATCAATGCACACATAAAACACGGCACTGTTGTCCTCGCCATACTCAGGGAGAGAAGGAGAGGGATCCATTCTCGTGCTGCGCTCTGCATGTGGCGTGGCATTTTTTCAAGGATCTATGCCCCAAGGGCTTGGGGCGTGAGCACGGTCACAATAGCGTGGGAGAGGCGGCGGAACGGATGACATGCGCGCCCCCGTCCGTCCCAGGACAATAATATTGGGTGACACCAGACGCGATGCGGTGAGTGCTTCAGGATGGTAGGACGAAATCCTCGATGGGCGAGGCACGTGTGGCGTCATCTTGGTCGGTGTGCAGGGCGAACACTGGGCAGGGATTTCGTCTTACACGGACTGAGAAGAGGGCGGGAACTATGGTGTATTACTCACAGAGATCTCCGAGTTCGAGGACAATAACAACGGAAGTTCGGCTACTTGGATGAACGGTGAGGTGTGTGTGTTTTGCAAATGAATGGACTAAGGAATTGCCTTTTGGGGTAATGACGAGCCTGAGCCGACAGATTCCGAAAACCTCGGACGAAAACGGGCAGCCTTGTTCAAGAGATCAACATTGACCTCGGCACCCAATACCCGGGCCCCCTGCTTTACTTTGGCTTTGCTTTTCAGTACTGGCTTACCTGGGTGGATCGGATTCCCACGTCCTTGGAGAGGAGGAAAAAAAAGGCCATTATTGCTGCCCAAATGACCCGGTACATGGCTTTACAAGCTTGCATCCTGATAGGTTGGTTAGAGTACATAACGCCGTGGCGCGGCGTGTGGGAGATCTTGGATGCTTTTTGTGTGTGTGTGGAAAATTGAATTTCACAAGTTGCATGAACCTTGAAACCCTTAAAAGCCAGGGGAGGGTAGAGCTAGTTGAATTAGTTGAATTAGTTTTCTGTATGAGTACGCGGTAGTAGGGAGAACAACTTGGTTCTGTTGATGCCTCGTGCGACTACTCAAGCTCAAAGAATAATCACAATAATAATGCACCGGGGAGGCTGGGGTCACCCCGAGAAATAACTTGAGAGGTGGTGGTTGGACATGGTTGGCCAAAGACACTTTGGTGGCTTGCCTTTGGTGGCTGGCACTCCGGGGGGGGTGGTTGTCCTGTGAGCACTGAGCACCAGCACGAGCAGAAGAGGACCCTGGAATATGCCGAGGGAATTACTTAAAAATTAGCGGGCGCAGTACCCCCCACCGCTCTCGAGCACTCCAAGTGGTGGGTGAGCTGGTGGCTCCAGGGGGGCGGCATATAGAGGCCGTTGTAGGTCAGATGGGTGGGTAATCCAGCTCGTGCACTGCTGGGCCAGGTTGCCAGCATCATCAGGCTGACAATTCCAGCTTTACCGTCGCCCAGCATTGCCATTCCCAGGTGGCAACCAGACGCCAAGTGCAGAAGCTGCCGGGCCTACGAGTGCGAGCACGATGCACTTAGTGAGCCCCTCACCCGCGCCCGCGTCCTTGACCTTCAGGCGTTACAAGATTCTGTGGGGTCGCTTATAGTTAAAAGAGGCCTAGCAAATCATCACTCACACCAATCTCATTATTGCGCGAGTGCGAGAGCGGCAGCGGCGAGCGCACCACCAGACTCCTCACTCACAAACTCTCTGCCTCGTCACCCCGTCATCTCTCTCCCACCCCTCTTGTTCCCTCATTCCCCTTCACTCCTGCACGGTGCAGGAGAACTCTGTCCATTGCAGCAATAACGACAGGAATCCCCGTCGCATTGACAGCGCCACATTAGCCCGCTCTGATACCAGCTTCCCAACTGCCAGAAAAACTGACTCCGCATGCCGAGCCGCGGTCGAAGCCCTGGCCGGAGACTGAACCCTTGACGCCGCCCGCCCTCCTTTGGGCGATCCTCTCTGCCCGCATTTGCGAATCTCCTCAGTGCTCGACTCACTCGACCACCCAGCACCACCACCAAACCTCAATCCCGCCTGAAAATGCCTTTGCGCTGCTAACGATCTGTCCGATCCAAAGTCGGCGCTGAAAGAGACGTCTTGTATTTCACCTGAAGACAGCTATTCCTGTACTATCCGGTGCCACCTGCGCCCCGCGGCCGCCTTTTCAAGCCGACACACAACCTTTGTCCTTCCTGGACCCTCGACACGAGCGCACCAGAAAAATATTGCTCCTTTTTGTCATACCTAGCAGGGTCGCACGGGCTTTTTGGTCGGCCTCCTTACACAATCTGGCTGGACAAGCGAAGACCCATCTGCCATCAACCTCCAAAGTTGCGCCGCCGTCATACGCACTTATCGCTTCTTCCCCACCATTCTGCTTGAGAGGGAGCTGGTTTTTTACGAGTCAAGCGCTTGGTCCCCGTAGGGGGCCCGCGTCCTTGACTTACGCGAGCTCTGTCGACGGTGGACCTGCAAGTTAACGGAGGCCTGCTTCTGAGAAACTGTCATTCGGTCACTGCTCCTTGACTGGGCAAAAGCAGTTTCGGGTTTCTCGTGTGACGCTGACTGTCCTTGTGCAAGCCATCTCTTCACGTCCTGCATTCCCTGACATCTCATTTATGGTGTCGTTATAACAAGATGACGGCCTCAGATGTCGAGGATGGGCACTCTCATTCGGCCTCTCCTGAGGACAGTGGGACCGAAAACGTCCAAGTGAACATGGCCGAAGGTCAGAGCAAGAACGACGTTAAGAAGCAGCAAAACGGAGCCACATCAACCAATCCCAAAGACCCTTCTCGTCCCCGGAGAAAGAAGGCACGTAGGGCATGTTACGCTTGCCAACGTGCCCATTTGACCTGTGGTAGGTGAACTTCTGTAACTGCGACACGCAGCTTCGTCATTTGTTGTCATTGACATTTTGTGGTAGGAGATGAGAGACCGTGTCAAAGGTGCATAAAACGAGGACTCCAGGATGCGTGTCAGGACGGTGTCAGGAAGAAGGCCAAGTACCTGCATGATGCGCCCAACGAGGCCCTCATGCCTGGCGTGGGAGGGAATCTCTATAACCAGACCGGACCGAAAACGAGTTCGACTGCGAGCAACGAGACGCCGCATCAACAGCCGTTCTTCCAACAGGCGCCAACGTACAACAACTTTTCCACGCCCTCGCATATGCCCCCCCCAATGCTCCACGAGAGAAGTCTGAGCACGACGAGCTTTCCTCAGCAATCACCGCTGGCCACCAATTTCCAAAGCGTTGGAGGACAAGTTCCAATGCAAAGTCCTGTCCTGGGTGCTGACCAGTCAAATAACAACAACATGACGGCCGCAGGCTGGCCAGGACAGATGTATAGCGAAGACCCCATGTTCAACTTTGACATTGCCAGCATGAACTTTGGCAATCACTACGGTGCTTTAGAATTCGGCATGCTGGGCCATATGGCGACAAATGCGGGAGACACTCCTCCCAGTGATACGGCGACACGAAGCGGCTCAATCTCGCAACAGCAGTATCGTATGCCCTTTGGAAGCTTCAGTGAGAGCCCGACGGCCCGACAACAGATCTACGGCGAAACGATGCTGCCAGATTGGCCCAACGGAACTGATCCCTATGGCGCCCACGGACACAATCGCCATATGGCGCCCAACGCCTTTGCTATAGAATCCAACGCGGTGAACTGGACCTCCCCCGACACGAATGGCACGCCCAATAACGCTGTCAAATTCGAAGAGTCGCCATTGATGACCAGCTCAGGCCTCCAGGTTCCCCCTTCAGCCTTGGATGGCGGTCCGGTCATTCATTCAACCGGAACCCTGGACGCTCGAAACAACCGAGCCCCTCCTCCTATATCGACTCCGCAATTGAAGGCCAAATCGCAGCTGCCTGTCAAGGCTCTGAAGCGGCCCAAGGATCCGTCGTCGATCTATACTTCAGTTACCCAACCTTACCCTTATACAACAGGGTTCCACAGCTCAATTGCGTACCTCCAAAAACGATTTGCCGCACATCCTTCCAAGACCCTTGCCATAGCCAAGTCGTTGGCGTCGATCCGACCCTCCTTCATTGCCACAACCAAGACCTTAAACCGGGAAGACCTGATTTTCATGGAGAAGTGTTTCCAGAGGACCTTGTGGGAATATGAAGGTTTTATTGAAGGGGTCGGCACACCAACAATTGTAGCGAGGAGGACTGGAGAAGTTGCTGCTGTGGGCAAGGAATTCCAAATCCTCACGGGATGGACAAAGAATGTGCTCCTTGGTCGGGCCCCAAATCTAAATGTGAATCGCGGTCATTCTGGGCAAACGCCTGGTACAGGTTCTGGAACCAACACTGCACGACAGACAGGCACCAACACTCCTACGCAACGAATGTTTGCTGACACCGAGAACGGCGAGAAGCGACCCCAACCGGTGTTCCTTGCCGAGCTCCTTGACGATGAGTCGGTGGTACAATTCTACGAGGATTTTGCGAGGTTGGCGTTTGGAGACAGCCGAGGCAGTGTTTGCGGCAGAGCCAAACTCCTCAAGTACCGGACCAAAGACGATGAACTCGCCCAGAATCTCAATGTCGAGGCCGAGGCGCGCACCGAAGAAGGGCGCCAGGGGCAACTGGAGCTGCGACGGCAAGACAGCTCTCGCCGCCAGCAAGATATGAAGCGGGAACGCGACGGTATCTCTGGCGAAAAAGGTATGCAGAAGCTGGGATCTGCTGATGGGAAAGTGGATTGCACATATTGCTGGACGGTGAAACGCGACGTTTTCGATATACCCATGCTTATTGTTATGAATGTGAGTTCTCTAGCCCCTATGTCCTTTTCAGCAGACTAACACGCGCCACAGTTTTTGCCCTGTATATAGGAGGCCTAAAAAGTTATTTGCGGTTTACGATTGCTTTATGTATCAAATGGAGGTGCGATGTGGCGGGATACTTTGGTTATATGGCCTGGAGGTCTGGGCCATGTTGGCTTCAGGCCCGGCAATTGGGGAAGACTGTGGATATGCTGCAGTGGAACTGCGCGAGTACAGGATTTATATACCTACCCATGACCCTTGATTTGGGACAGAAACTCGAGGCGTAGACCGTCACAGACGGTGTAGGTCATGGAATTTCTTGAGTGTCCCGAGAGCCTTGCCTGGCACTGTTTATGAATGGAAAAATTGCGAGGCCAAAGATGGGTCGACTTCTCTTTCTCTTTGAGTATTCGTAGGACACTTGATCCGACCCAAGGACGAGTGCACCAGTGTTTGGTCGTAGAGCCTCTCTAGTTATTGAGGAACCTACCTACAGTATATACCCCTGCAGGCCCCAGTGACAGGAAAGGGAGAGGGAAAGGGAAGCTATACCCTCCTTGAGGAGTTCTTCTTATACCTTGTACCGATGTCCTGTATCTTGCGTGTCAGGAATACCTCTACTTCTACCTCTACCGTTGGTTAGTCAGTCCTTTGCATCGTTGCCCACTGGGGCATCTCTCTCTCTACCCCTACCACGGGATTGACCACTGAATCGACCCTTTCCGTCTAGTCATGCCTTCATTCCTGCACATCACCATAACCATCACCCTAATCACCACTATCATGATCATCACCATCATCAATCTCATTCTGGGTCTGACTATGCCCCTAACCCTGCCCCTTCCCGTCTTGACCCAACACGACCCTCTCCACCTCCTTGGCATCCACCTTGTCCATCCACGAAAAGTCCGTCAACCAGCTCTCCCACCCGGCCTGCCGAAAGGCCTGGTAGGCGGGCCGCTCGAGACTGCGCGCCGCGACGGCGCAGTCGACGTGGATGTCCTCGACCAGGGCGTCCAGGCTGACGTAGTCGTACTCGGGCCGGATGTACCCCAGGATGAGCAAATTGAGGGCGGCGCCGTAAAAGTCCCGGGGGAACTCGTGCAGGATGTGGATCTCGACGGAGCGCACCGTGTTCTTGTAGAAGGGGTTGAAGCCGATGGAGAGGACGGCCGGGTGGATCGACACGAGGGGCGGAGCGGGGATTGAGGATGAGGTTGAAGAGTCGGGGGCGGAGGATATCGAGGATGACGAGGAGGTGGGATTGGTGTTGGTATTGGTGCTGGGAGTCGAAGTCGGTGCCGGTGCAGCTGCAGACGGGCAGCTTTTCAACGACAGGCCCACGAAACCGTAGTAGATCCCGCTGGGCAGCGTTGGGTGCTCGGTCGAAAGACCTTCCGTGGGGATGTTGGCTGTGGGAATGCCGAGCTGTTTTCGTCCGAGATAAAAGAGGAAAGTTAGTTTTGTCTGTTTCGTCCGGGGGTCTTGATGCTGGTTGGTGTATATTTGAGGAGAAATCGAGGGTCGTAAACATGGAAAAAGGAAGACAAGGGTAGGGAAGAGAAGAGTAGGCTGGGGGGGACGAGGAAGAAGAGATGGCTTTGGTCCTCGGGTAGGGGAGCTCTGAGATGAGATAGCAGCCCCGGATAATGGAATGACATCTCAGGAAAAGGATATCTTTCGTCCGAAGATTTGGTGGAGAGAGTTGGCTGTCCTCGAAGGTCCAAGGTTGTGAGATGGCGAATGCGGTCGTCTTCTCGTGATCAGAACGGCAGAGACCGCAGTCGCGGATGTCGTGTAGTCGGCGTTTAATAACTCGAGAAGATCTCTCAGGACACGACATTCTCGACGTAGCAGTGCAACAGCACAGCCTTCTTACTCACTCACTCAGCCACTTCTAACCTGCTCTCGTAGTCTCCCCTTCTTCCTACCCGCTCATAGACGTCCCTTGGAAGCACCGATTTCTCTCTTTCCGTGGATCCGAGGACCAAACCCGGGACACGAAACGACGAGGAACCAAAAAAGAAGAAAACAAAGAACCACTCCCACTCACCTCTTTACTCCCCCTCCCAAACCCCTTGATCACCGGCCCGCACAGCTTGATGGGAAACGGCGGTTCGGGCCCTGCTTCAGGCCCGGCGTACGGATCGCGTGGTCCGTTGGGTGGCATGGCTGAATGAAAGGACTCGGGGTCTGTCGAGGTGTGTAATTCTATCGAGAGCAGGCGGCAATTGCAATGATATGGTGCGGGCGGAGGGGTTGAGGTCGTGCGCAGGCAGATGGGAAATTCAGAGAGCGTGTGTGGGGGAGATGGAACAGAGAAAGAGCGTGGCAATGAACAAGCCCTGTGCGTCCCTATCGCTACTGATGCTGTTTCTTCAATGTTGTCTCTATCGCGATCGCGGTCGAAATTGCGGTGTCTCCGTCGATGTTGATATCGATATCGGATCTGGCTGCTTGCTGACTTATCCAAAGATTTTTTTCTTTCCCCCTCCGTACGCAGGGCGTCCTTCTGCCACCTTCCACCGGCTTTGGCGCAAACCTTGGCTAGTCGCACGGCCTGATCCAACTGTCCGACAGAATTCTCGGTACACGGGGAGAAATAGTGTGCAGGGTCCGAGTCGCTCGAACCAAAGCTTGCGATGTCCCAAGCAGAGAGATATCGAATCCAATGGTCATTGACAGTAAAGCGGGATAATGAGGTTCCGGAACCGACTGGCCAATAGGATGACGCACATCCACTCAGCCTTGTCGTTCTCAGCCTCGTCAGTCCTTGTCACGGCTACGCAGCTGAAACAAGGGCATTACGAGCGATAGCGACACGTCTCTTGTGATAATTAATGTTTCTTCGTTAATGCACGGTTTCGTCTAATCTATACACCGCCACGACTATACCTGGGCTCCATGAATAGAGTTACTCACCACCATATCCCTCCCAGCAGTCATCCTATACATTGGCCGAATACCCAACACTCGGCATGCGTCCAGAACTTCGCCTCCTTTCAGCCCATTTCCTCAATTCATCAACCCAAAACACAGTACTGCTTATGCAGATCAGAGAGACCAGGTCCCACAGACCCAGCGCCTCGGTCTGAAAAACCCGTTGCAAAAATGGCAAGTATATAACACACAGTTGGCCCGCGAGACTGCCTGCAACCGCGTAGTTGAACATTTTGTTTCCAAAGAGCTTGATTTCGCCAATCAGCACCGACTTGGATTCCGACCGGCAAGTCAGCGCATTGAACATGTCAAAAAGCACAAACGTCGTAAAGGTCATGGTGGTGTCGCGTTTCGTCACCATTCGGGTGCGGAGGGGTGTCGACGCCACCGCCAGCGGGTCGACCGTGGGATCATCAATGTCCACCATCTCTCGAAGATAGATGAAAAGAGTGCCCATCATGATGACCGACGCCGAGGTGAGAACCCGGCGGATAAGTCGTTTGGTCAGCACATTGGCATTGCGAGGTCGTGGCGGCTGCATCATGACCCGCGGATCAACTGGTTCAACTCCCAGTGACTGAGCAGGAGGGCCATCCATGAGTATATCTGAGACACGTTAGCTGAGGTACTGCGAACAATCACCCGACATGACTTACTGATCCAAAGAATCTGCATGGCATTGAGTGGATTCTTGAAACCAAACATGGTACTGAGAAGGACCAAACTCAACGCCGCAACACTCGTGCTCAGCTGGAATGTGATGAAATTTTGAATGTTGAAAAAGATGCCCTTCCCTTGTTCGATGGCACGGAGGATTGTGGAGAAGTCGTCGTCTGTCAGAATCATATCGGCCGCCTCTTTGGCCACATCTGTGCCTAGCTTTCCCATTGCAATTCCAATGTCGGCCTTTTTGAGCGCGGGAGCATCGTTGACCCCATCGCCCGTCATGGCCACCACGTCTCCCCGAGCCTGAAGAGCTCGAATAATCTTCATCTTGTGGTCTGGGCTGGTGCGCGCAAAAATGTTCGTCCTGACAATGGCCTCCGACAGTTCTTCCTCTGACATACGGTCAAGCTCATCACCTCGAAGGACGGACCTCGAACCTGAATTTCCTTGACTGACGGGCATCCCGAGATTCCTCGCGATCGCCACCGCCGTCGTCTCTGCATCGCCCGTGATCATGATGACTTTCACTCCTCCATTCATCAGCCGTCGGATAGATCTGTTCACGTGTTTTCGGGGAGGGTCGTTCATCCCGACCAAACCTGCAAAACACAAGCCAGTAAAGATATCCGACTCTGGCTCTGCGGTCTTCTTATTTCCCAACGATGGTGTGGAGCTTCTGCTGGTCTGCCGTGGCTTATGCCTGAGGACACCACTGGCAAATGCGATGACCCGAAGTCCCTCCTCCGCCATGGCCTGTGCCGCTGCACTGGCTTCTTTCCGACGGCTCTCGTCAAGCACCACTTCTTGACCATCTTTAGTCAAATACGTGTCAGACCTGCTCAGAATCTGTTCCAACGAGCCTTTGATATAGGCTGTTTCTGATCCATGCCCATAGCCGTTGGTCATTTCGCCAAGGGCACTGCCAATGACAACGCCCATCCACTTTCGCTCCGAACTAAATGGCGTCTCGGTTGTTCGTGGCCCGATCTTTTCACGAACATCGTCTTCACCGTGCGCATCCAACAAATCGAGCATGGCGATATCGGTTGGCTGACCCAGCCATCGACTCTTGGTGACGGTAGATGATCTATCTCTAGTAGAGGATAGCACCGCAGCGGAGGCAGCAGTCGCGGGAGTCCCGGAAGCATTGTGAGAGAGTCGACCGTTGTTTGCAATATTGCCGATTCGAAGGATGGCCTTGGTCGCAGACGTGAGTGCTGCTGTCGGGTCGACGGAGAATGGCTTCCCCGTATCGAAATGCCACAATTTGGTCACGGTCATGTGGTTGAGAGTCAAAGTTCCCGTCTTGTCGCTGCAAACCACATTCACCGAACCTAATGTCTCGACGCTGGGGAGCTTGCGGACAATTGCTCCTCGTTTAGCCATACGTAACACTCCCAGTGCCAGAGTAACCGTGACAATGATGGGTAAACCCTCAGGGATTGCGGCGACAGCCAGTGACACTCCAATGGTGAACAGATCCAACAATTTCTTGCCCTGAATAAGGCCGATGATGATAATCACTCCAATGACGACGAAAGACATGTAACTAAGTTGCTTCCCCAACAAATCCATCGATTGCTGGAGAGGCGTCCGAGGAGCCTCAATCTCCTGAAGCGACAACGAAATCGTCCCAAACTCGGTTTTTCCACCGGTGGCGATGACAATTCCTTCCCCATGGCCTGACCGCACTAGTGTTCCCATGAACGCGATGTTGTGCTGCTCATTGAGACGTACGTCGGTGCCTACTGCGCCAGCCGCATTGTAGGGTTCAGGGGTGCCGTGGTGCTCCGACCTACGGATGGTCGGGTCCAGCGCGGCAGGAAACTTTTCCACTGGTTCATTTTCGCCGGTCAAATTGGATTCGTCGATTGTCAGCTCGGCAGCGTGGGTGATTCTGATGTCGGCGGGAATGCGGTCGCCGGTAGCAAAGATGACTAGGTCACCCACGACAAGCTGAGATGCAGGAATCGTAGCAGACGACTTTTCCTCTGGGGGGACCGCGGCGCCGTTAGCCAATGGCTCCATCTCAATTGCTTCATTTTCAGAATGCTGATGTCTAGCCGTGTACGTGGTCGACCGAGGCCCCGAGCGTCTGACATGGGCGTAATGAGGCACCAATTTATGCAAGGCCTCCAAGGATTTCTCCGATCGATACTCTTGCACAAAAGCGACGGTAACCACAATGGTGACGGCGAGGGCAATACTGACGGCATCGTCTTTGTTGCCAATGAAGAGCGAGATGGCGGCCGATGCGAGCAGGAGAAGTATCAAGGTCTCCTTGAACTGCTTAAGAAATCTCAACCATAGTGGCTCCTCCTCTTCATGGGGTAACTCATTGGGCCCGTCTTTTGCCAGTCGCGCATGTGCCTCAGTCCGCAGCAGGCCCTGAGTGATTGAAGTCTTCAGTTGCTCGGCGGTTTCTTGGGGGGTGAGGAGAGAGTAAGAGGATGTTATCGAGGAGGAAGTGGATGCATAGCGGGCTGGACTCCGCGGCCTGTCTGTCTGCGATTCTGCATTGAAGACCGGTAGTAATGTTGACATGATTGCATGTTAGCTATGTTGATTTCCACCCCATCGTCCGCAAAATGTATGATGAAAAAGGATAGTCGAGTGGATGATCGAAGGCAACGCATGCACAGACGACGAACGCTAGAGTGGACTCAAACAAATATTGACAGAGAGAATAGGAGGATAATTGTTGTCACACGACAGAATGGTCAGCCGTGTGCCGCAATGAATCTGTTGGAAAGAAGAATGGGGGTTCGCAGTAAGATCTCAGGGATCCTGTCGCCTCTGTCTCCGTCCTCGAAGTCTTGCAAATTGCATTGACGCTACGGTAAGGCATGGGCTCTGGTGGGCCGCAACTCCGAACTCCAATTTGCGCCCCCGAGGCGGAAGGTTGGGCGAACACGAGAAGCCACTAGGCACTAGGCACTACTAGGCGTGCTCGGACACTGGTCATTGGGTTGGCGTTGGGCGGTGGAGGGTGGGCGTTACGGGCGAGGCTGCCACGACTACGAGGTACTCCGTACAAACAAGATCAACCTTCGCCCATCCACCTCTCATCTGGCCATCGCACGCCCAGCCACTCCGCCCTCTTTTCTCCCCGACCTTTCGCATCTCAAGTCGCATCCCAACCACCAACTCCCATCATCTACTCGCATTCTTCCGTCGTCTCCATAGAGAGCGCGCCTTTCTCAGCTTTGATTCTTTGCGAAATCCTCCTCGCATCCTTTTTTAGTTGGATCTGTCTTCGCATCCACTTGCGCGACCTGAAATCAACATCATCTTGCCTCGACGCGTCGAACGTCCATCGCCCACTTCTACAGCCTGACTGACCTCTCCTCACCCGTCCACATGTCCCCGTGAACTGTCACTCACAGCTCATCCTCTCACTTACCTTGACATGTTTTATTCAGAACAACTCCTGGCCAAGACCGGGCCTTTGGCTCGTGTCTGGCTTGCTTCTAATGTCGAGCGCAAGCTCTCAAAATCGCAAATCCTACAATCCGATATTCAGAGCAGCGTGGGCGCCATTGTGGACCAAGGACATGCTCCTATGGCCTTGCGCCTGAGTGGTCAGCTTATGCTGGGCGTGGTGCGAATCTATGGGAGAAAAGCCCGATATCTGCTCGACGATTGTAACGAGGCTTTGGTCAAGATCAGAATGGTGCGTCGCCTTTCTTCCTGTAGTATTCTATGCTAATGATACATTAGACCTTCAAATCGACCAACAACCACGATCTGCCCGCCAATGCGACAACCACTGTCGACCTCAATCTACCTGAATTGCTCACCATCGATGATTTGTTCTCTAACATGGACTTCACGTTCCCCATGACCCAACAACCACCCACTACAACTGAACAAAGTCAATTGCTCGATGAGGAGGAAGAAGAAGACTGGACCAGCTCTCTCGTCCCTCAGCAGAAGAGTTCTGAATCGATGCTCACTCCTAACGAAGAATTATTATACAACGAGGTCGATCTTGATCTCGACTTTGGAGAAGGCGATGACATGGACATGAATGACACCACCGTCAGTATGAATCTTGGTCGAAATGCACAGAGCCCGAAACCTAGTGGCGAAGGAGAGGCCCTCCTTTATGACGACGAAGAGGCCCTCGACTTGGATTTCGGTGAAGACACGCCTATGCCGGATCAGCCTTATGCAGATGATACTCTACCTCCTGTCGGTGATGCAGCACCGCTTGAGTTCGAAGATGACGAGACACTCCAATTGCAACGAGTGGCGGGGGTCCCGTCTCGTGGACGAGACACAGAGTCTCCTTTATCAGAGGCTAACTCTGACATCCTTCGCGAACTCGACACGACATTCCATAACCAACCGGAAGAGGAGATCGAAGAAGTGGTAGTCCGGCAACGTCAGCGGAGTAGAAAGCAGAAAGTCCTCATGCCCGACGTTGAAACTGTGCTCCATAACAACCAGATCAAAGCACAGGCAGCAGACCGGTCGAAGATCTTGCGCCCTCCATCGTTTCTGCCTTCAAATTCTCTCACGATGAACTTAGCGAGCATGCAAAAGAGCGGCGGCTTTGTCTCGTACGCAATGAATGACGGTCAGTCCAAAGATTGGGCACCCGAGCTCCAAGGTCTATTGTCGTTTGAAATAGTGTCGAAATCCGGGCAACTCAAGAGGAAGCGAGATAGCGGCATCGGTGGTCTAAGCGAAGACGAACACAGTGAAAAGTCCCCACGACTACAAGGCCCAGAAAATGCAATGGAGGATGAAGGTGTCCACCTTGAAGATGCCCAGCGCGACATCACCCTGGATGACATAGCCCCTCTACCCATGAGCGACGGTCTTCCAGTCTTCGATAATGCTGCTGAGGACGAAGATGATGCCGGCGACGGCACATTCAACGATACAACGGTGCCGCTTGTCCATCCTGCCGACAGTGGCCCTATCTCACTCGGGACACAACATGCAGTTCATCTCCTGCGTGACCGACTTGGGAATGCTGATGATGCCCATCCATCTTCGCCAGCCAAGAAATCCGTGCTGCTACAAGATCTCGTCCCAGAAGGTCGGGCAAGCAAGGAGGATGCCACGAAAATGTTCTTCGAGGTGCTAGTTCTAGCCTCAAAGGACGCAATAAAGGTTGAGCAAGGCAACAAGTCGATAGGAATGCCCCTACGGATCAGAGCAAAACGAGGACTGTGGGGAGCATGGGCAGAGACAAGTCCAGGCGACGATCCAACTGTCCCCACAACGGCTTCTCAGCAAGTGGCTGCTTCAGCTTGAGGTGACTGGGTTTTTGGTACGATTTTTTTTTGGCAGCAGCAGACAACTATGATTCTGAACAGCTCTGGTAGTTCTCTCGGGGAACTCTGGTACCATTTGAGACAGATTGGGTCGGCGACGCCTGTATTTTTAGCGGGCTGGGAGGGGCAGGCTGACGACCCGAGAAATATTTGGATAACAGGGTTTGTGGCATTGGAAAAAGGCTACGACAATGAAAGCGCGAGCGTGTCGTTTGCAGGGCTGGGTTGGTGTTTGTGGCAGCCTTGGATACCCCGGTACAACTGCAGATAAGTGCTTAGGTCTGAATGAGGATATGTCTTTTTATCCCTTAATGCAGGTTCATGGTCAACTGGGAATTTGGCTCTTGTATAGGTCTGTCCTTTGTCCTGGAATAATAGTAGTGGAAAAGACGTGCCGCTTGACTGGCTTGACCCTGACGACGCAGTGACAGCTGAGAGCTACATGGGTAGGTAATGGAGGTAGCTGTGCACGTCCTATCGAAGGTATGTTACATTCCTACGACTGAACGAGATGTACACATTTTGAACTGGTGAAAGCGAGGAAAGAGATTAGCCCAGGCGGGATGCTGTTCGAAATTATGTACCTAACACAAATCAACCATATTGGACCGGAGTATATAATATGTGTTAGTATGAATACCTATCTCTAGCAGTGGCAAGGGGTAGGTAGTGGAGAATCCGAGTCCGCATTCGGAAGAAGCGAGTGAATCTACGTTCTGTTTTGAGGGTCAGGATGTCAAATCTCCATTGTGGAAGGCTATACAAGAGCCTCATCGACCTGGGAATGACTCATAGATGCATTGTCCTTCCAGTGCACACACTGGTTCTCTCTCTTCTAGGTGTCCTTGACCCAAGTACCGTCGTCCATCAAGCCTTCACGCTTCGGCCCTTCTCTCGCCCACGTCTCGACCACTCCATTCTTGGGATCTTCATCCGGCAAACCCCTGGAGCGTCTGACCTCGAGGACCGCCTCTCGGACACGTTTTGTACATTCGATCCTCAGCTCCACGGCCTCGGGATGATTGGCCAAGTTCTCGGGCACAAGACCCAGAATCATCTCGTCCCATCCAGGCAGTCCGGCTTCACGGGCATGTCGGTCTGCCAGATCTCGCCATCGCTTGCGCAGGTCGCCAAACACGGCCTCAACGTCCAGCTCCCGCCCGATTGTAAGAGAAATTCTTTTCCCGATCCTGGGTATGAAGCGAGGGAACGACCGACTCTCATGCATAACCTGGTCCGTTCCTTCAATGAACATAGGTACCACGTCAGGACACTCGGGCGGCTCGAGAATGAGCCGGGCCACACCCCATTTGAAGTAGCGCATCGTCTTGTCAGTGGCTTGGTGGATCATTCCCTCGGGAAAGATGTGTACCCAGCTGTACGAGTTGCTGGCATAGCGTGATGGGGCGAGATACCACCTCACATCGGAGGGCTGTGACGGGTAGGACGGTGGAGGCGAGATCTCGGAAAACGGATCCACGCAATCCCAGGGCCATTGAGCAGGCTTCCAATCCTTGTGAAACCGCGGGTTGCTCAGGGGACTGAGTGATTGCTTCTGTGCAGAGATCTTGGAGAGCAGGCGGACAGCTTCGGTCATAGTTGCCTGGTAGGGTCCACCAAAAGGTGAGTGTGCGCCGCGGTGTATAGGGAGGACTTGTCCCAATGTGAAAAAATGGGACGTAAAAGCATTCTTGAAGCAAATATCATGACTACCCAAACTCCAGCGGTGGTTCATATAGCCGTGGAAGGCTGCGAAGGAGAAAGGAAGAACACCCCATATTAATGGTTCGTCGAGGACGGAAATATGGTTCGAGACGGTCAACAGCCCGCGACGACGTGTTTTGAAGTCGGATCGCGACTTTAGGAGGTCAAGAAAACGGGGTAGGCCTTGAACTTCGGTTTTGTTCAGAGTGTAGAGGAAGAGACGCGACAACGTGGCAACGGTAAGGATCGTTTGGTACGAGGCACCGCGCCAGAAAAAGCTCGGGGACTCCAGGTTTTGGTAGAGATTGAGGTCATTGCGGTGGAAGGGCATTGGTGCTGTAGCGCGGCAAAGGAACGAATGTAATGAAGTCCATCGAGTCTGATTAAGGAAGGGAGGAGTCGTCGAGCGCCGTAGATAGAAATTCTCATTAATCCATGTCTGCTGGAGGCGTCGTGCGGGAGCTGTTGGCTGTCAGTAAGTCGGCGGGAGATTTTTTGGGCTGAAGCTGCGGAGCGAATGATTGCGGGAACATTTCCGATAGCGCTCAACTTCCCCATTCTTCTACGCAACAATAGCAGCTCACTTTTCGACCTGCACTTGATCAGTTAATTGGATATCCCTTTTAATTTCGCCAGTCATGTTCAGGCCGACTTCTCCTCTAGCAGGAGGTCTTCTATGGTGCGTCCATGTCGGAAAGGGAGCGCTTCGCCGGTCGTCCATACTAATTGAGTCTTGCTTGCAGGAAAATCCCCTGGCGCCTCTCTTCGATGCAGAAAGCGCGTCAACGAAAGCGATTAAAGTTGGTCGATAAAGTCGTCGACACGGTCAGCACTGCCCTGCAGAAAAATGGCGGATTGACGGCAAAAGCGGTAGAGCGATGGTACCAGGAGATGCCTCGAGAGGAGGAGATGCTTCCAAAGGACAAGTACACGATTTTTGATCGCAAGGAAAAGAAATACAGGAAAGGCATTCACAGTATGTCTGGCAAGCTCTGATCCGTGCATACAATTGCTGATGAAATATTTCAGAACTACCGAAATGGACAAGAGTCAGTCAGAGACTTAACCCGCCCGGCTTCTAGAAGGCTCAACTCGATCGATACTGTCATACGTTACCTCTGCTTCGCATATTCTCAGAAAATGCACCTCGCTCCTCCAAGCTCTGACTGAAGCAAATACAGACTGGGAGCGGTACATGCGCTAGAGTGCGCGTATTGAATATTTACGGAGTTGAGATGCGTTTCGCGTCCACCCAAAATCTCGAGCTTCGACCAGCTTTCCTGCTGATAACACTTATGGTGAAGCAAACAAGACGTTAGACGTGGCACAACTGTTCAGGCCGTGCTATGCGAAAGAGCTGTCGGGTACGGCCGAGCTACGACTCCTGGTGGAAAACAGGTGTATTTTTATCGAGGCAGAGAGACGATCTACCAGGAAGAGAAAGAGATAGGTCTAGGGATAGCGGATAGACCGACCATGAAAGTGTGGCTTGTGTTTCTGGGATGGGTTGAAACACACTGGCGATTACATGGGCTCCCAGTGGCATCGGCCCCGTCCCTCACAGCTTCACAGGAAAGGCAGCCAATATTATCTGTATAATACCATTGACGTGGATTTTTGACTGATGCCCTCTCATCCTGCCCTCCCTCAACTCTACCCTGCCAGCCTGCCACGCCTATTACCTTTGTGGTCAAAAGAGCTACAATAGTCCCTCGCCAAGAGAGCCAGTGAGTGTGAATGACTCCCCCACAGCGCTTGTTTCCCGTTATCCGAAAGAGCCAGGAGTCCACTTATACCTCTAACTCTGGGATCTCTACCCCCCCAACCTAACTATCCTTAGTGTCTCCATGTAGACTGCTAATCTCATGCACCATATACACCTCACATGCTAAGTAGCCGCCTTTGCACTGAGGCAATAAGCGGTTGGACATTGTGACAGTCACTGACAGCGGGAATGACATACGAGCAAGTACATTCTCTCTCTTGGCTACACGTGATGGTCCGGTCTGGAACAGGCGGCGGTCAAATGACTACTACCTACGTCCATGACTCCCTTCCTGACTCGATCATGACTCCCCATGAACAGACAAGATAGCTCGATATAGCTCGATAGGTACTCATCCTCGCCTTGTTCCCTGTGGACTTCACCCACCTGTCCCCTCGTCACCCGTCACGGTTGAATCTATGCCGAAGAAACACCAAAAACGAGTCCTATTCCTCAAACCGCAGTCCAGCAGTCCTCATACCCTCTCGCTCTCGAAGTCGCAGGCCTCCAAACCTGAAAACTCGGATACTCCACGCACCGTCAATGATCTGATTCGGGAGTCTCGTCGCCAGCAATTGAGAAATGGCACGAGGGTTGACACTGCAGCTAACGCATCCTCTGTCCACCCCTCTGTGAGAGCCGTCCTTGACCTACCCACGCCGCCTGCGCCCGCCCCACGACCCAGATTTGGTCCTCGCGCAGCTGGCGGCGAGTTGGGTCCAAGTCTGCTGTGGCACATCCCTGGTCCGCCTCCACCACAGAGCTGGCTTACAGGCAGACGCGGCACTTCGACTGCTTCCAGTTGTCCTGTCGCTCTTACCCCCGATCCGGACATTGGCAATGGTCGCATTCAAGTGCGGTCGAGTAATCTGCCGAACGGAGCCTTCCCCTCTGTCACCTCCCTCCAGCATCTCGTGTTGAAGAGCATAGCATGCAATTGGGAATGGCACGCAGAGTACGACGGCGACTATTTTGTGGATCTGCCTATCTCACTCAGGGAAAATCTGTTGAGCTACATTGCCGTATACAGCGAGACGGTCCGGAGCAATCCCTTGAAGATTCTGTTTTTAGATGAAACGGACACCGAGGACAAGGCGCAGGTCACAAGGCTGGACTTAAGCAATGCCGTAGGGACTTGGACGACTTTGAAACAGTTGGAAAGAAATCTATTGGTTAAGAATGCAGGTACTACAACTATCAAGAAGACGGCCGGAAATCAAACTATTACAATGGATCCAACTCCAGATAGCTGGGACACTGATGCAAACGGTGAACACGCAACAGACACTCCAACTATCAATCCACTGCCTAAAACTATCCACAACTTCAAGAATTTGAGGCATCTGTCCCTCGCTGTCTCTCCATACAACTTCAAGGCTGCCTCGTGGTCTTCGCTTCTTGCTCTGACTGCTGAATTGGGCACTTTGACCTCTCTTTCTCTGGCACACTGGCCTCAACCTACACTCACGCCAAACGCCGCGTTCACACGAGCCCTAATCAACCTGCCCGATTTCGCATCGGCTGTGTATGACGGATCGGACATTTATACCTCCCTCGACGACGACTGGCGAGAAGCAGCAGGAATACTGCGGACACTGAGCCGCTCCCTATACTGCCTAAAATGGCTGGATCTTACAGGTTGTGGAGACTGGTTTGCTGCACTTGAATGGAAAAGCCCACTGGCCGTATCGTTCTTCTCTCCACCCTCATTATCCCCCCCTGGGGAGGAAATGGCGGGCCCTGAATGGAACAGTGGCTGGCGTGGGCTCGAGACGCTGATTCTAGAAGTTGGATGGAGACCGGTTCGTCCTTCGGCGATAGGACACGGCACTCCAGCCAAGGATGAGGATATCGAGGCCGAGCGCAGGCTCTATCGGTACAAGAAAGAGCGTGAACGCTTCGACAGGATTCGAAGCACTGCGCAGTCTGTGGCGCGACATTTGCGGAATGTCCGTAAGGCGGCTGGCGGCAAGTGGATCGAGGTCAAAGTAAGTGAGGAGCTGGTAGCATCTCCCGAGCGTGATGGGCGAATGGCAGAGATATGACCAGCCCTCGCCAGGGCTCACATTTAGGTATTTTCACTTGCTGAAGAAATTTGTGATCTGTTGCATACCTGGTTCGACTTTCTTTGCAGGACTAGACTTCAGGGTCATGTCCTTATTGCTAGTTGCACTCTTCGGCTTCTTACCCAGAGTCGTCTTGGGTGGAGGAGACTTCAAGGACTGAGTAGTGGAAGACACTTTCGTGTGCTTCTTTGTTGGGCTGCCTTGGGATTCGTCATCATGCTGTCGCTTTATCCCTTGCTTTTCTTCGGGAGGGGAACTCGTTGCAGGCAGCGGCACATCCTTGCTGTCTCCAATATCTTCAGCCGCAGACTGGGTTGGTTCTGGCTTGACTTTGACTTTATCCGTGGCCTTCTTTGCACCAGCGTTGCTGAAAAAGTTGGCGATGTTCTTCTTGTTCTCCTTGCTGTCGATCGGAACAATGAAGCTGGGTGAATTGTTTCCCACTTTCCCAACGGCTGAGTCTACTTGGTAGCATTCAAGCTCGCCCTCATATGGTTTCAGAATCGCCTGAAGCTCCTTGCTCCACTTGTTCCTTGTCGGGTCCAGCCACATCTTGACTTCTTCGGTCCCCGGAGTCAGAATCACTGGCATTCGATCATGTAGGAACTGCAGCTGCTTGTTCGCATCTGTCGTGATGATGGTGTAGGTGTACAGCTTCTCCCCTGTGTCTTCATACTTGACACAGTCCCATAGTCCAGCGAACCACATCAAGTTGCCATCTTTTCTCTTGACGAAATATGGAATCCGCTCTTTTCCACCCGGACCTTTCTTCAACCACTCGTAAAAGCCCTGCGCCACGACCAAGCAGCGCTTCTTTTGCTTCATCGTGTTCCACATACCCCGATTCTCGATTAGAGAGTCGTCGCGGCAGTTGATAGTACGCAACATGGACCCGTAGTCGGGGGCGCGCTTGGTCCAGAAGGGGATCAAACCCCATTTCATGACCTTGAGCTGGTAATTGAAGTGCTTCGATTGACTGGATGTCGGCGGGGTCGACTCTTGCGGCTCTTGTTCCACTTGCTCTGCTGGACTCTCGTGATTTACTGCAGCGTTGTCGCTGGTTCCTGCTTCATCGCTGTCCCTGACCCCTTGGTCCGGGACATCTGCCCTGTAAACAAGGCCAAAGGATCCGGGAGGGAAGTTGTAGGTTTCGCGGGCTTCATCGTCGTCAGGGGCATCGTCAACCGGCATGCCTTGTTGCTGAAGCTGGTACCGCACAAACGCCGCACGGAGACCTAGCGCGTATCTCCCGCACATTTTGGAGGCGTTGAGGAACTATGTAGAGCATGTCAAAAGGAGCTGGGCGCAGAGAGAGTTGGCAAATACGATGGGAATACGAGTGAGTGGTGGTGGCGCGACGATGGTGACGTCGGCGCAGTTCGCGAGAAATCTGGGGTAGATTCTCAAATTTATTTCCGCGCTCAAAAACGGTGGACCATGAATAAAGATCCTGCCGCACTTCTTTCCAGTTTGCCCTTTTCTCTCCTATTCTCGAGAACAATCTTATCATCGGCGGTCATGAACATGAAATCCGGTATGCTCACAGGTCAGATACTTCGCAGCTTCAGGCCTGCACAACCCGCCCCCTCTCGAGCTTGCCTCAATCGCATCCACAGTCTGTCCAAATCGCGGCCTCTCGTCCGAAACACTCCCTCCCTCAACGCACGAGTCCAGACAAGAAACGCCAGAAACTATGCGAGACCTCCCAACCGATTCGAACAAGCAGTCATCGATGCCCGGGTCAAGCACCCTGTCTTGTTTCCGTTCCTGCTCTTTGGCTCGACTGCTTCAGTAGTCTTGCTCATCATCATGGCGTACGACCAATGGCGGAGGGAGAAGAAAGGCACCTCAGTATATCCTCCGGCGGTCGAAGACCAACTACGGCTAGCCTTGCACTATACCCACATCTCGCCAGACCCGGACACCGCGTCACAATACTTCATGCAAGCTATCAAGAAGGCGGAAGAAGTTGGGATGGACCCGTATAGCAAAGACACGGTTGGCATTCGGGTCCGCTTCTCCCAGATGTTGGAAGAGTTTGGACACGTGAAGGCTGCAATCGAAATTCTGGACGGTATCTCTTCGGATCTCGAACAAAAGCTGGCAGAGCTCGACCAAGCACAGTCCGTCAAGAGCGATGCTCCATCCGCTCTGGATCCAGAAACAGCAGATTTCCGCGCGAATCTGATCAAGGGAATCGTCAAGCTCAAGATCAAAGTCTCCTCAATGTACGAAAGCGATTATCTCCAAAATCCCACCATGGCCAAACAAGTGCTGTCGGACGCGGTCGGGCTTGTCGTCAAGGAGACCAAGAACCCTCAGGTCAATACTTTCACTGAGGAGAATGGTGCAGGCTTAACTACTGGGGAAATTGCTGCAATGCTGTCTCAGATGGGCGATCTGTATGCCACTTCGGGAGAAGAGGAAAACGCCATCCAACTATATATGCTCACTCTGCAACCGCTGAGGGCGTCGTGCAACGGCACTAGATCCTGCAAAGAGGTTCAAGTCCTCAGCAACATCGCTTCTGCCATGGACATGGCGTTGAAGAAACCGACCGCCAAGATCAATGGAAAGCCAGCGACCAAGGACACGCTCGCGGCCGGGAGACGCGCCGCCCTGAGATGGGCAGACCAAGCGATCGCCACGGCCGACGTTGTCAAGTCTGAGGAGCGCGATGAAATCTGCACCGCCGCTTTGATCTCCGCCCAGATGACCCGCGCAGATCTGTTGCTAGATAATGGCGACAAGGCCAAGGCACGCGAAGCCTTCCAGAGTCTGCTGCCTATGTTGAGGGAGAGAAATCTTTTGCCTCTTGTCGAGACGGCTGAGCAAGGGCTGAAAAGGGCTAGCACTTAAGAATCAGGCGCTGATGCTTATTATGGCTGCGAGTAATGCCTAGTGCCTTGTATATCGCCACCTTCTTCCCTTTCCGATTGCTAGGGAACATGGAGGGGATCCCGCTTGAGATAATAGTCCGCTTTGGACCTGCCAATACTTCAAGGTTCGTTACAGGAAGACTTCCTAGAGCAGAAGGAGACTCATTGGCAATTACAGACGATTTATTGTCCAGCTCGGCCCATTACCATGGGTCAGCTGAGATTCCTTGTCTATGATAGACTGGACTGAGCCCAAGCTCACCCTGAAGGTGACCCAGAGAAAATGTCGCAAACATAGTTGAAGAGCTACAGCTCCTGGACCAGCCGGCCGAGGACCAGCCACATGCATGCCCTAGGAAGAAGATCCCTTTTGCTGAACAGCCCGGAATTCATGCCGCGACTTGAAGTCTGTACGCATGGCTTTGATCGTTTCGACTCAATGATGACGACCGATGGTGGTGCGTGTTTGGAGTTGATCATTGCTGGCCCAGATGGTGGACGAGGCTGACCAATCACCATCAAGGGACGACCAACCCGACATGAAACAAGCCACTTTTGCATCCTGTCGCAATAGCCGCCGCATGCTACCCTCAGTCTTCTTTTCTTAGAACCGAGCTTCGTCGAGTTTCGCGACAGCTTTCAGACCTGTCAACCATCTGTGGCCGATGATGGTTGCCCATACTCTCCAAAAATTCTACATTTCAAGTCATGTAAAAACGATTCTGCAACAAAATCGTGGCTTTCTGGATTTGTTTATTCAGCTTCCAGTACTTGAATGCCGCATTCGAAACGCTGTCAGGACGGCGGGTCGTCCTCAGACGCTTGAACCTTGTGTCTTATAAGCGCCAGGCCAATTGCGAGACCTCCCTCGACCTGCGGCGTTTGGCGATTGTAGCACCCAGGACTCGCAGCATATATATCGCCTCTGTGCAGCTCTTGATCTGTGTGACCTTGACGACTCGGTTCCGCCCCAGTCATTCTTCATACCATCAATCCACGTACCACCAGCGAGTCACTAAACTTTGGCCACGTCTATAGCACATCTTATGTCCTAAGCAGCAAATTTCATCTCTGAGAAGATAGCACCTTGTCAGAAAGACAAGAAAGGGTAGTTGCTCGACACAAGTACCGACATGCTCTTGAGATGGCGGCAGCAGAGACGAGAGAAGGCCGAAGATGGTCCAAAACACCTGTGGAATTCGGTCTGGCTGTCCGGGCCGATGTTGGGTACGTTAGCAGCCATCTCTGCTATCTGTGTGACAGCGCTCGCAGTACTTTGGCACTTCAATGAGGAAGGCGATGGATTTACATTGGTCACAACAAACCATTACTCGTGGACCTATGGCCCAACTGCCATACTCGTTCTGATTGTCGCGATGTGGAGGCAGGTCGATCAATATTGCAAGGCTCTGGTTCCCTGGCAACGGCTGAAGCAAGGCAATGCCAATTCAGCTCAAAGTGTCCTGCTCGACTACGTCTCGCCTCTACAACCAATCAGTCTCTGGGAATCCTTCAAAAACAGGCATCGAGTTGTGTCGACAACGATCATTTCCTTCGTCGTCTTGAAGCTGATCACCCTTCTGTCCACGGGCCTATTTTTTACAGATGGACGTGTTGTTACCACTCCGGGAATAGTCTTTACTGGGACCACCATGTTTGATGCTTCTTCGTTTAATGCGACAGCAAATCTCGAAGTTGCCGATTCATCATTCTTTTACAGGGCCTACGCGGTCATGGTCAAGGGTCTGGCTGATACTGAGGGCATTCAAGGCCCTATTGTCTACCAGGCCATGTTGCCACCGGCATATGCACAAGCTGTCAACGCTACTATTACAACGATCGTGGATACCTTTGTACCTTCATTCAACTGTGAAAAAGCTGCTGTGACCGTGAATTTGCAGCCGGCAAACTCAACAGAGCGGCACCCCGAAGATTCGATAACCTTGCTTTCCCCGAGATGCAATCTTCTTGCTGGCGCACAGCCGGTTTATGCTCTCAATCCTGCATTATACGAATGTCCCAAACGGCAGTTGAGCGGGCTGATGCAGCGAGTCGATTGCTCCGGCGAGGACACATCGAACCCCACTGGAAATTGGCAGCTCTTAACAATGACCGATATGCGCTATGAGCAGACTGTGGCAAATTCCACTGGAGACGCAAGCAGCATAGATTTTGAAGCTGAGTCTTGGTCAACCGGCGTGGCAAACATGACAGGCATTGTTTGCCGCCCAAGTTATCTGATCGAGAGGCGGAATCTTACATATGACTTATCTGAAAGGCCTTTCAAAGTGACGCTAGAGCCGGTGGCCACCCCGTCACCGCGCCCCCTGGAAGGCTTTTCTAACGAGGTACTCGGACAATTATTCAGCTCTGCCTATGTGGACGCGGCACTTATGTTTGGCAACAAAGCAGATGAAGAAACAGCCGCCGAATACCCAGACACAATGTTCGAGACCATGGCTCAGGTAAACGGTGGAGATTATGAGTCCCTGCTGGACCCAGACGTCATGATTCAAGCTGCCGAAACGGTCTTTGGTCATGTTGCTGCTCAGATCGTTGCAAAACATCTAGTAAAGCAACAAAGTTCAACTTTGACCGGCCAGGAGACCGTTCTACAGGAGCGCTTGTATATCAGGGAGTTGACTGCTTGGTTGATGGCTGGAGGATTTAGCGCACTCATTCTCTCATCCTTGCTCATCCTCTATGATCGGCCAAAGGATGTTGTGCCACACAACCCAGAAGACCTCGTCAACACAGCCTTTATACTTGCACAAAGTCCTGCCTTTGAGGCAATCCTGAACTCTCAATCATCGACTGCGCAACCGTCATTCGATCAGCGGTTGGCTAAATATCATTACTCCACGTACCTTAACAACAACGCCTTTCAGGGATCAAACTTGGTCCTCGATGTCCAGCCTTCAAGTGATGGAGACGAGTCTCAGATTCAAGGGAAGAATGAGATGTGGAAGCCACTATTTCTTCAGCGTCCGATGATCGTCTTGACCTTGGTGCTCCCTGTCATCCTTGTCGCTGTTCTCGAAACCCTGCAGCGGCTATCTGTACGGGCAATTGGTATAGCAGCTTTAGATGCAACCAGCAATCTCTCTACGGCAGTCTACACCAGGTTCATCCCCGCTCTGGCGATGCTATTGATTGCTACCTGTTTCAACGCGCTGGATTTCAATATTGCAGTTCTCGCGCCCTATCAGGCACTGAAAACTTGTAAAGCTGGGGTGAGTCCTTCCAACTGCAGCCAACTGCTCGGTAAGATACCAGTAGCTGCACTTTGGACTGCCGTTCGAAGCCGCTTTGGAAGTGCGGTCTTCTCTGGACTTGCGGCTCTCTTGGGAAGCGTGTTAACCATCATTGGTTCTGGCCTGCTTACCGTTGAGGATGCGAGTACATCCGCAAGCGCTGCCTTTGCTTTACAGAACGTTGACAGTTTCAATATGAGTTGGGCTCACAGCGTTCTCAACGACAATGGAGCAGCTGTGGTCAGCAGTCTCATTGAAGCAGCGAACCTGAGTTATCCTCCATTGACGCACGGAGAGTTGGCATTGCCAAAGCTTCAGCCAGCCCAAGAATACTCTGACAAATATGCCGACAACACTCTATTAAGTGTCAATGTACCAGCGCTCCGGTCATCACTCAGATGCGACATTCTCAACAAGACTGCATATAACATTACCGGGTTTTACAATTCTCATATCTTGTCCTCTAGTGTTTCCATTGACATTTCCTACGATCTCCCCCCTCAATGTCTATTTGGTGGCCCTGGCGGTAATCTCTCTACTTTGGACGTTCAATACTCTTTCCAGTTTCCAAGTTCTACCAACACAAGTTTCTTTGGCAAAATGCTCGATTTGCATGTCGGGCCCTACTCCGGGCCCTTTGCAGATAGCTCTGATGAGATCTCTCCATATACTCAACCCGACAACCCAAAGGGTTGTCCATCTCTTGGATTCATTTACGGCTTTGCCGATGCCAGCCAAATAAACAGCAGTACCGTCTCAGCAATGGTGTGTTATCAGGTGGTCGAGGAAGTTCAAGCGAACTTGACACTTCTCACGCGAGATCTTTCCGTCTCCGCAGACAATCCTCCAATAATTGTGGCAAACTCTTCGTCAGACGATGTGCTCATCACTGGTAGTGACAGCAAGGACGTGCTTGGGAACGGCCTGACCTATCGAATTCAAGTCCACATGGATCAGTCCCTTTCTCTGTTCAACCAAACCCAGTATTCTTCCAGCAGCTTATCGGGCCCCGCGGTGGTGGACAATTTTTTCCAGGCCGTTCTCTTCGGGAGGACGCCGATTCGGCAAGAATTATTGAGCGATGGCTCGGAATCTTCTCAGAAACAAGTTCGCATGGGCATACAGCGATTCTATCGCAGATATATGGCTCAAGTGATCTCGAGCAACATGCGCGTGAGCTTGCCGCCTTTGTCCTCGACGCAGCAGCAGCAGCAGCAGCAGCAGCAGGCGGCGGCGGATGTGGTTTCTTCAGCACCGAGCAGCCCATCAACGCTCACAGCAACGGTGCTGAACATCCGGACTCCGGTCCTGCGTCAAAACAACGCCTCGAAGCTCACGCTTCAGGTGATCCTGGGTGTCATGTTCGTCTGCGGCCTGATCGCCGTCCTGCTCAACCCGACAAAGGACGTGGTGCCGCATAATCCCTGCACGATTGCGGGATCTGCCGCCCTGTTGGCGGGGAGTCGGCTCGTCGAGGAGATTGCAGAGCGAGGCCACGCTTCCTGGACCAGAGACGACCACGTCAGGTTACGGCTGGGGTGGTGGAAGGGAGATGGGAACGCCGTGGACAAGTCGTCATCATCGTCATCATCATTGGAGGGCCACGACTCAGAAGGAAATTTCCCAGAAAGATATGGAATCGACAAGGTGGAAAAGTTGGAGTGATGATGGGAAATCTTTCGGAATCATCTACATTCGGCAGGTTGGTTGGTTGTCCGTCCATCCGATGTCGATTTCACTTGTGTTTGTATGTACAGAGATGGAAAACAAGATCCAGATGTCATGTATGTACTCAGTATGTGTCCCGTGTGAGAAATGGGGGTAAGACGATGATACCACAAGATGATCTGAATCTGTATTGTTTGTATGTGTGTACGTCGTTGGCATTGCTACCTCTTGTTTTTCTTGATATATACCTTAGTTAGGCATATATTTTGTATATTGATTTCGTTAATTTCATTCGTGCCTTTCGTTAAAGAATTTCCACCTCTTTCCTTTTCCTCTCTAAAAAAAGACAATGTGGGTGGAAAATGAGTGTAATGTGCTCGTATCTCGCTTGCATGCTCGGACCAACCGCGAAAGAAAGGTCCAAAAAAGATCAAAGGGGTGGGTTATTTTGATGGATCTGCCACTATCTCTAATCACGAAAAGGGAGAAGAGAGAGAAAAAGGTGGATTTCCCGATCCCAAAGATCTAGTATTTTTGCCTCCCTCTCTTGACCGACCCGAGAAACCGCAATGCATCTCTATATCCCAAAGTTCACCAAAATTGGAGGAGGTTGACCTTTCTTCCGAATACAAAAAAAATAGTCACCAAAAGTAATATACAAGAATGGTCCGTAGAAGGGATTCCCAACAAATAGTGATAGATGCTTTTAGACGGTTAAAATAGAAGGTTGAAACGTCTGCTCGTGAACATCTGGAGCGAAATAGAAGATACTCTGACACAGGGGCTGTGTGTGCTGCTGGTACCGACGAACTGGGGTTTTCTCTCTTAGCCCGCATAGGTGGATCCGATCGGTGAGGAGACGGAGTTGCCATTGACGAGGATGCCGTTGCTGCACATAAAGTACGCGTACCTCTCGACGGCGGATTGAGAGTCCAGCCATGGGAGGACGGTGTCCAGGAAACTGGCTACTTCACTGTCCGAGCCCGAGGCGCCGAATTCGGTCAGCCACACCTTGCTGATGCCGTGCTTTGCGGCTGCGTCAATGACGTCTTGGACATGGGACTGGAAATAAGGTACGTTGTTCGCCGAGTCGTACCAGTGGAAGGCCACGAAGTCGACCTTGCATTGTCCGGCACATGCGTCGAAGAAGGCGTTGAGCCAGTCGATACCCATGAGCGGGTTGGTGCCTGCGCCGTTGGTGATGGCGGGCGACCCAAGTTGGACTTGGCCGGAGAGGGGGTTCATGTTGTCGATGTACAGCTTGGCGGCCGTCGCGGGGTCGATGTTCGATTGGGAACCAAGATCCGGTTCGTTGAAGGCCAGGGCATGCTTGGATCCGCTAGCGATGGCGGACTGCACAGCGCTGGACCAACCTGAGATGGAGTTCTGGCCCCAAAGAAGAGGGACAAATTCAGCACCAGAAAGAATCTGGCCACCGGGCGATGCTGCCCAGTTGTACGCCCAGCTCATACCCTTTCCGGAGAAGGCGTCGGTCAGGGAAGCATCGTTGTAAGAGAGACCTCTCTTGCCCGATGAGCCAGTGCTAGGAGGTGAGCTTGGGCTTGAGGCGGACGACGACGCAGACGAGGCGCTGCTGGCTGCGCTGGAAGCGGGAGACCCGCCAGTCACAGTGGCCAATGTCGTTGGGATGATTGTAGAGGGGACGCCTTGGGAACCAACGGATGGCACCGAAATGGAAGAGCCACCAAAGGATGGAACACCCGAGCTTCTTCCGCCTCCGGGGAAGAACTGCCCAGCAGTAGGAGAAACCGAAATAAGGCTGAATGAGCTTGATGAAGACAGATCACCCAGTGCAGCGGACGTAGTAGATGAAGCCGAGGTCCAGCTTTGAGAAGCACCATAGAATCCGCCGGGGCCTTCGGGCGCAACAGATGCAGAACTGGTGCTCGATGAAGCCCCGAAGAACTGGCCTGCACCCCCTGAAGGGGCAGATCCCTCGGAGGGGAGAGTGGCTGTAGAGTCCGAAGGGATGCCGAAGTTCTTGCCCGAGTCCTCGGATCCACCAACGCCGGCAGTTGCTGTGACCGTGACGTACTCGACAGATGTGGCGGTGATGGTGGTAGTCAAGACGAAGCAAGATGACATGTCAACATCGGTTGGAGCAGCAGCCGTTGCAGCGGCGACTGTTGGGGCGGCATCGGTATTTGCGAGGCCGGAGCTAGAAGCGACTGCTGCAACCTCGGCTGGGCTAGAGAAAGCAGGAGCAGGAGCAGGAGCGGGAGCGGTATCGGGAGAGGACGAGTCGAGCGGGATGGGCTGAACGGTGACAGTCCTGACAGCTGTAGCCACGGCAGAAGAGGGTGTCTCCATCGAAGAAGCACCAGAGTCTGGGCCCTTGGTGTGAACAGTGCCATTCATGGGGTAGATGCCACCAGTTGGCATAGCCCAGCCACCACCCGTGCCACTGCCATAGTGGAATCGTTCGTGTCGTTTAGGATATGCCAAAACGGCCGAGGCGAACAACGCCACAGACAAGTATTTGGCAACCATATTGAATCAGATGAGTAAGCTGCTGACGGGGATAGTGTTTGATGGGTGCAGTAGTCTTGCAGGAAAGCGACACGAGGTATAGTATATGGATTGTATGAGGACCCGCCTGGGGAATGCTGTAGCCGATTCAATCAATGAAGGACCTGGTTGGGTGAAAGAGTGACCGCGAGCGTAGCTCTGCAGTTTGCGAATGACGGAACGAAGGACTAGCCTTGCAGAAAGAAAGACGAAGTGCAATGTGTCGCACAAACGTGTCAGAGAGCCTACAACGGGGGAAGACAGCTGTGTAGGAAGGAGAAGGAAGGAGATGCAAATGAAACGACAAGAACCTCAGAGTTATACCTCTGCCAGCAGAGGGGTCGATGGGGAACATGGTGGAAGGGGTTGAAGGAGAGTTGTGAACAGGACAGCAAAAACGGGTTGGCACGTTTCATGGTGGTCTTTCGTGTGACCGGGATCCTGGTAGATGGTAGACCGCATGTTTCCCGGTGTTGTAAGAGACGTGTCTTTTCAAGTTCCATTCGCTGGCAGCGAGAAGAGAAGCGGGTAAAAATGACATGTATCAGAAAGGCCGTGACCATGGGTCGGGCTATCGTAACGGTCCTGATTGCTGGCATGGGAGTCCCAGATTCCCAGGCTGGGGCCAGAAAAGGGGAAAGCTGCAGAACAGGCGAGGTTAATTGGCAACGAGGCTACTGTCGCAGGATCTGGTCGTTCCGAAGCCAGTCAGCGGCCAGATTGGTAAAGATCTGACCTGAAACCGCCAATGGGGGCGGCAATGCAGGGGAAACATCCACCACTGCGAGCTCCAGCGAGCTCCAGCAAACGGGTGAGCCAGTTAAGCTCTCAAAACAATCCGATGAGGGTTAGCTTCGCCGGTCGCAACGCTACTTGGTGTCAGGTACCAGCCACCCACGCAACAGACCCCTGCTTGGGCCCGAGGGGAAAACGGACACTAGCCCAGAAGATCCCTGTGGCGGACATTCTTGACATCCTGAACAAGGAGCGGGAATAGTGATTGACAACGGAGTCTCTGCGGGCAGTAAAGAAGGGGGAATTGGTACTCAG